TTTTGTATCTAGAGATACGACGTGTGCAGAGACCAAGACACAGTGACTACACAGTAGGATATCTATGATATACATACATACATAACATAACATAACTTAACATAACATAACATTACATTACATTACATTACATACATACATACATACATACTTACTTACTTACTTACATACATACATACATTATATCAATCGTTAGCCTGTTTAAATGGCTGTTTCTGTCAAGATTTCCGTATAGAGATTCTTTCTCCAAAACACAGCCCCATACATAGCACCATACATAGCCCTGATTCAAGCCCAGATTGATGTCAAAACTGTTGTTGATATTCAATTTCCCAGTAACATTTTCACCCTACCTTCGTCGAAACTTCCCAAACTGCCGAAATGTCCAAGAGCAGCAATGCCCTTTTTGAAAAGCCAGCTGCGCACAGTTGGAATTAAGAGCGCTGCAGGATTAGTCCGATAGGAAGCTTTAAAACAAGTTTGAAGTTTAGGCACTTGTTGAGTTTGGACATGATATGCTGCGATATGATTCATATGATGTGATGGTATGACTTGACCTATACAACTTATGACATGATGCAAATTGACATTGCATGACTCCATGTGGAATGTTATGGTATGTTATTTCGGTACGATTTGTGTCTCTGTGTCTATGTCTATATACCGTGGAACTACCATAGCGTGGAAACGTGGAAGAAAGGGCTCCTTGATTTGTTGAAATGAAAATATTTGATGCGATACATGGTGATAAGATGTGGTATGCTGAAATGATACTAAAGTACTCCCCCTCCTTTTACCGTAGCGCATTTTTTTTTATTTCTTCCACGTTAACTAAAGTGACAATTCGGAGGTTTACTTCCATGTTAGTTGCAATGGGGGGGGTAAACTGCAAATTTGTGTTCTTTGGATCTGAGCCCTTTTTTTTTTGGCTAGTTCTTTTTGCCACGAGTTCCCCGGGAATCCTGGGCATTTGTTGATTAACGTAGAAATTTTGATTTTTTCAAGATAAAGCTGGGAATGCATCCATTTTTTAACAACCAACGATTGGAACGGATAACTTACATAGAAATTTGCTACTTGAAGTCGGATGTGGGAAGTACCATGTTAGCGAGCACCAATTTGGCACCATTGATTTCGAAAGGTTGCATCCTCAATTGCTCGGACATGACAGGGGTGAGAAGATAGATGCAAAGAAGAAAAAAATGATGTGGCGGTCAGCCTGGGGGTTTTAGGGATCGCCCTAGAAGGATGTATTCAACATGAGGGGAGAACATGTTAACGTTGCCAACCTGATGTCTGGACCCTCAAGTTACTCCCACGTAAGGGTTTTTAGTCTCAGTTTTCACACTTCCATGATGAATATGTTACTGACATATCTGATGAGCTACTTCCATGTAAGAGATTCACGGTCAGTTTTTCTGCATTTGCTGGCCCGGTAGCCCAGTTTCACTTTTTCCCCAGGAATTGGACGTAAACGACTTCCATGTAAACCGACAGGTTTTTCCATCCTGACTTCCACGGTAAAAGGACCCGGTGTAGTATAAAATGATATGCGTTGAACATGAAGCGAAATGATTCAACATGCAACGATGTTTTGAAACCATATGATGAATCGTGATGAATGATTAAGATATCAGATATCCGTAAAAGAAAACAAGTTTAAAAATACCGTTCAAATAAATACAGAAAAACACTACTTTGGGATGCACAAAGAACGGTTCAGAACGGTTCTCGGATGAAAACTTCACCCCTCAAAGAACGGTTCAGAACGGTTCCGTTTCCGGAACGGTTCAGAACGGTTCAGAACGGTTCTGAACTATTTGCGTTTTCTGGTACTTTCTACAAAGAACGGTTCAGAACGGTTTCCTGGCAGATGTCTTGGGGCTGTGTTTTGGCACATGTTTTTTCAATATCAAAATTTTAAGTTGAAAACGTGGTCTTAAAGCTTTGAAGTTATTACTGAAAGGGAAGGGCAGTTTCTATATTAAAAAATATCGCAGCAAGAAAAACGTCTCACACTGTGTAAGTCGTAAAAGAGAAGTCGACTATGAATAAAAGTAAACAAACCATCACAATTTAATTTATGCAATAAATTGTTCAATTGATATGATATGCGAAAATCATCGAAAACTGCCAAGGACTAATTAAAAAACATGTGGTTTGGCTGTTTGATCATGCGATCTACAGCAATGTAAATAAGGGGGGAGCGTTTGACAAGCTGTGAGGAGTTTGGCAGCTTCAATGTCAAGTTTGTCCAACTCCCTCGCATTGAAATAAGCTAGGAGGCCATTGTTGCTGCACAAAGCCTTGGAAAGGCTCAATCCCCAGCTCCGATTTCACAGCCGTTTTTTTGTTGTAGAATCCTTCCTCTTCAGGTCCTTCCCAGGTGGATTGAAACCGCGAAAATCGTTAAAGAAAACAATAAAACACACAAAAAACTCCCAAATGCTGGTCCAAACGTGCCCAAACACCATGCGTAAACACCCCCACAATAGTTCAGAACCGTTCTGAACCGTTCCTGGGGGGAAGTTTTGGTGGCAAAGTGGAACAAAGTGCAGCCCAAAGTGCAGCCCAAAGTGGGAACCAACCCCATGTCACAGAATCAAAAAGGATAATCCTGACTATCCTTACTGGTTCAAATTTCCATATCAGCTCTGAGAAGTTCTCAACATGTAAGGTGGGCCCAAGCGCCTTGGACGCCACTGTTGGCGCCTGCAAATCGTCCAAATCCAAACGATCAGTGCAATAGCCCCAGCCTAAGCTACATCCCCCGCACAACCACTCAATGGAAGAGGTCGCTCGAAGCAAAGGCAGTTTCCTGCCAACGCTGGAGAATGATTGAAAAGGAGCAAATTTTGAGATAATCATAGACTCAAAATCAGAATCGTTATAGCACACAGATAGGCGTCAGCAAGTAATCAATGTCAGGTGTCATCACAGTATTTAGCCAAGAAAAGTCACTGAACAATGAACATATTCTTGCCAATGCGCAGAAGTATGTTTTACCGCCGTGCTACCCCTAGCTCAATCTTGGCCTGCTCTTTGCAGCTATGGATCAATCCGGAAGGTGACCAGATTCCCGGCAATGCACCGTGATGAATTGGACCATGTTCGAAGTTGTCCTTGTCATAGATCTGCTGCTGCACCAACTATATAGCAACGGCAGATTCCAAGTGCCAAGCATTGGGGTGGCGCCGTGCCCATGAAAAGGAAAGAGGTTTCAAGTTGCCTAAAGAAACATGTCGGAATTTCATTCAGCCAGTCTAGACATCAAACCGTCGAACACTACCTTGACACCACGTCCTCCACACTAGACAAGTCTCTGAAAACTGCTACGCGTCTTCGCGTGCAACTTCAGATGGTGCAAACGTTGATGTAGCAGCAGCTTCCTTACATCAAAGGAGCTGACGGGAAGTGGGAAGAGTGCCCCAACCACTGTACAGCACTCTCACAGACTCCCTGCCCAACGTAATTGCAATGTATGGTATGGCCATTGCAATGAAATTCCAAAAAATGCCACCCGGTGTCAAAGTGGCAAAAAAATGACTTGCTGCTAGATGTCTGGGGCTGGTTCATCATCACTACTGCCGCTGGAATCGCTGCTGCTGCCAAAAACTTCGCCGTGCAAACGCTTCATGGCAATAGCCCCCGGTCAAACATCAAAATCAGGTTGTCAAAAATGCCCCGTGAACTCAATAAGTATGTCACTATGCGGGAACAAAATCCAAGTCTCAAGCAAAAAACGCCTATTCCATGAAATCACTGAAATCACCATGCTCAAGCCAAAACCCTATGGGCCAATGGCCCTCGATGACTATGCTCAAAGTGTGGCACTGGCGCTCCAATATGTTGTCCAAACAGACTTGGGTCACCTGACTCAAGAGGTTTGTTTCATACCAAGTTTGATTGTGCACGCCAAGGCCTGAGGTGAACCCTTTTTCAGACCCGACATGGGTCTTTTACATACATTGGGGCTCCATTTGGGGCTGCTCATGGGCTGCCCCCTGGGCTCCACATTTTGCATACGGACATGGCCACAGACAAACAGGGTAACGATTGATATAGTACATACATACATACATACATACATGCATGCATACATACATGCATGCATGCATGCATGCATACATACATACATGCATGCATACATACATACATACACACACATACACACGCATACATACACACACATGCATACACACACACACATACATACACACACACATACATACACACACACATACATACACACACACATACATACACACACATACATACATATACATATACATATACATACATATATACATACATATATACATGCATATATACATACATGTATACATACATATATACATACATATATACATACATATATACATACATATATACATACATATATACATATATACATACATATACATACATATATACATACATATACATACATATACATACATATACATACATATACATACATATACATACATATACATACATATACATACATATATACATACATATATACATACATATACATACATATATACATACATATATACATACATATACATACATATATACATACATATATACATACATATATACATACATATATACATACATATATACATACATATACACACATATACATACATATCAATACATACATATCAATACATACATATCAATACATACATATCAATACATACATATCAATACATACATCTCAATACATACATATCAATACATACATCTCAATACATACATACCATTACATACATACCATTACATACATACCATTACATACATACCATTACATTCATACCATTACATACCATTACATTACATTACATTACATTGCATTACATTACATTACATTACATTCATAAATACATAATGTAAAAAGGCAATACTTGCATCCCATTTGTGATATTTTTGTCTGAGAAGGGGATGGCATACGCTTGTTCCGTGTCGATGAAAATCACAGCACAGCTCAGGTTGCTTCTGATAGTTTTTTCGACCTTGATGCTGCTTTGCCGCAGTCGTTGAAGCAGGGCGAAAGGGACCAAGGCAGATCAAATGGATAGCATGGAGAAGCAGGCAACTCTCAAAAAATTGCTAGAAAAATGCTTCAAATTTTGAAAGAGTGGAGCAGCATCACTCATTTTTGGGAAGGTGCTGCTAGTGACACCAAACGGATTGTCCTACATCATGGTCCTACATCATGAGGTGTCCTAAATCATTGCGTCTTTCTTGAGGTCAGTCCTTGGATTGCTCTACACTGACAACTTCATCAAAGAGCTGCATTGCATGTATTTTATCCAAGCCTAGGCTGCCGTCAGTCGACAGTTTAGCCATTGTGGCAAAGACCACTGCTTTCCTTGTGCCATCACTTGATGAGACTGGGTTGTTGTTTCGATGGCTCCCTTGTTTCTTGTCACCAGCATTTAGGAACATTTTGTATGTGAGGATTTCTGGTGACACAACGGGATGTACAGAGATGCATGTAGGGCACACTTTTTTTCGCGCCCGATGTGGATTGGATTCTTATTCCTGGCAGTTCCTCTGTGACTCCAGTCCTGCTTTGATATGGACATTTGGATGTTTCTTTTTGTTCGACAGATTTTACAGGCTTTATGTTATGTGGTACATTGAGTAAGGACCATGTTCTACTGGTTCAATCATTTTTGGTAGCTTGCAAAGGAACAGCAAGTTGACAGAGAGACGCTGGCAGCGTAGAAGTTGGCGCCAAAGACATGTGCTTTTGATGATGGGCTGAGGACAATTTTCCCAGACCATAGGAAGTCCTTGAAGTTCAAGGTGTTTTCGGGATTTGCCGTTTCGTAGTGCGGAGAAGGATGAACTAAATCCGATGTTGCATACAATAGAAAGCATCTGGATGGCTAGTGGAATCCACGATTTGAGACACAGACCGAAAGCATCTTGTCTGTTTGAAGTGACTTCTTCCTTGGTTGGAACTGGACTTTGCAACTGGAAGGGCATTAAAATTTTATCAAACAACTTTTTCTTTCTTTGGGCCTAGCTTTTAGTTTTGTTTTTAAAGCCGATCAAACTGCCTGAAGTCGTTGAAGTTCCTTTGAGCTGGGTGCAGATGGCATTAGACAACTCATTGAAGGTAGAAGAATCTTGGATGACCGGCGATGTTTTTTTTTCTTTTTTAAATTCAAGTTTCTCTGACACACTCTCAAAACGTGAACAACAAAACATATATATATATATAATCAAATTGGTTCAGTTATGTTCAGTTCCAGCCGGAAATTGACCTGCTCGATTCACTGCCCCAAAAAGCGATGCGGCAATGCGCGCAAGCTTCATTCTGACACACTCGAGGGTCCGCTTTATGTTGGCGCTTGGAGGTTCTATTTAACTCAGGGAAGATTCTGATTACAAACAGTAACCGTTACACTTACACACCATTTCACGTACTGTACGAGTCACTGCTTCCGTTCCGACGAAGATATTAGGAATACAACATATTCCATCTACATTGATTTGGAAACATTTGGACATTACTTCAGCAAAACAATGCTATTGTTCTCTGATGGTAGGAGTCCCTGACTTAGTTTTTTTCCCGTTCCCTGAGGGCCGTATACACCGTCCCTTAAATTGTTTCCTATCGTTGTGTTCTGCGATGTGGCTTTCTCGTCGTGACCGAGGTTGGTTTTGCCGTTGCCAAGCATCAGGATGAAACCCCGGAGACTCTTCTTGAGGCGCTCTCGTGTTGAGGATGCAACGATTTTGATGCAACGATTTTTCAGTGTTGGGAAAACAGGATTCTTCCTTACACCAGTTGTGTCTGCTTGCCATTGATCGCAGAGGCTTGGCTGTCACTGGATTATCGAATGTCACCCCTCAGGTTGAAGAGGATGTGCACCAGAATGAAGAGCACAGTAAAAGGATCTCCTTCCTTGCCCGCAAATAAACCGAGGAGAGGTGGCTGGGGTTTGGGGCGAAGCTGGAGATTGTTCTCTCGAAAGATGCGAAGAGTCAATGCTTATTCTTTCAGTTTTTGTCACCCACAAAACTGTCCAGTACATTCAAAGTTATGCAGAGTTTGCTTTTTCTATCTTTCTGTAGAATATACCACTACGAACCGTTGTGACGAATCCTGCTTAACAACATGACGCCATCCAGCAAGTAATAGACATTTTGATGCATTTTGCAAGAATATCAGCTCCATATCCAGAGCTGCTTCCACAGCCAGGATCTGCGCTTCTGGTGCTGGATTCAGCCTGCTTTGTCAGTGTTTAACCTCTGTACTAACTCTGTACATGAGTACATGTGAGGTGGAGCACGGACGCTCCTGTCTCCTTGATGGTTTCTAGGTAGGCTTAGAGTAGATCCCGGTTTCTGAAGCCCATTGTGAAGTCTTGAGTGCACCTGAAAATTGCTCCGTTACTGAACAGCCGTCCATGGTCAATTCTTTCGTTTTCAGGTTTTCGGGCCGACGCAGAATTGATTTGAATAGATTGGTGTCAGTATAGTATATGTGTACACTTGCTTCTAGGTACAGGTATACATGTGTATATGCCCTTGAAGGTGTGTACATGCCTACTTACACTTGTGCACATGTTCAAAGCTTGATTAGCCAAGGCTTCCCCTTGTTGTTCTCCAATTCCAAAGGTCTATAGTCTATTCGTCGTGTCATTTTCCTGGGGATTGTAACTTTGCAAGGCATTTCCATTGCAAAGCAATCGTGCCTTTTGTTTGATTTTTTTCCCTTTGATCCCTAGTCACCCTAGTCTTATTTTTTTGTAACGGAGAGAATAGCTGTAAAGTAAATTCATATTCCGCCGCTGAAAAGCAGAACCAGAAGTACAAAGTTATTTCTGGTCCCACAAGCGGTTCTGTGTGGACTTGTGAGAGGAAAGGTCAAGCAGGCCACAAGCCACATGCAACATGCATATGCTAGAAAGCATGGCACATCCAAGTTGACAAACCACAAACATCAGCAAGGTCAAGAAGTGATCGGCAATGTTTCTTGGAAAACCCCAAGAGTGCCAAGTGATACATCAAGTCTCAGCCTGAACTGCAAGTACAGGGGGCCAAGTTGTCTGACCCATGTATTGTTTCTAGAGTACATGTGAGAGAAACTTCAAGAGTGATTGCCTTCTCCAAGCCATGGCCAAGAAACCTCCAGGCCTGGGTTTGGCTGAGTTGGAAGTTGAGTTGAAAAATTCCACTGCAGTGACAAACCTGCTGCAATGTGCCCAGTGCCGGACAATGTCATCCCCTTCCTGCGCATTACTGTGCTGCAGCCTCGAAATTCTGTGGCAGTGGAGCAGTTTAGGTGCAAAAAATCTGCAATGTTTGGTCAATTTTGGCCATTTAGGATTGGTGATGCAGAAAGTGGAAAGACAAGCGAGAGTCTCAGATAGTCTCAGCTCAAAGTCATTTGATCTTGCAGGTGAAGTCAGGAGCATTGCTACAGACCTCACACTCATATGGCAGTGTGTCAAAACCTTGTACCCCTGGTGAACATCAAAATAGCTGGTAAATGGATGTTCATCCCATTAAAAATGGTATTAATAGGTATTGATCCATACCCATATTTGTTTGAGTAGTGAGTAGTTTGCCGAGGTCCTTGCATCTTCCCCAGACCCCTTTTCGCTGAGGTCTGATCAATGCCTGGATGAACAACTCATGCTCTTTGGCCCGGGAACTCATCGATGCTGGCTGTCACAAAAATAACGATGTAGTTATTTGATGATACAATGATATGATATCCGACCTGAGATCCAGCAATCACTTTTCGGATACTTCAAATATCTTCAAATTTGTAGAGTGATTTGGGACAATTCTGCAAGCAAAGTGCTCCTGATTTCTGACGCTCTAAGAACTACACGGCGACATTGGATCCAACGCTCTATCACAGGCCAGACGAAAGTCGCGCAGTTTTCAGCTCTGCTTCATGACATGGACACCGCGAGGACGATGAAAATTCCAAACCCACTGGAAGAGGAGGAGACGGTCACCGCTCTGATTGAGCAGCCGACTGAGTTGATCCAGAGCTTGGTTAGTGAGCTGATGAAGATTAAAGGATCATTCAAGGATCTATGTATCAGCATTGTCACTGTCCTGTGATGATGAAAATATCCCCATTGAGTCAATATCCCCATATTATCCCCATATTATCCCATGTTATTATGTTATTTGGTGTGTGATAATGTGTGATATGGCTATGGATCAAACATTGAAGAAATTTCACCATGTTTCACCGTCCCATTGGAGGCTACCCAGGCTACCCATATTTGAACCATTGGACCATTGGAGCGTTGTGCCGTTGTGCCCAGGGTGGAAGACACCTACGCTCCCATTCGTACAGGTGGCATTGATATGTGCCTTGGTCGTGATGCTCTGCTTGTCCATTGCCTTCGGTTTTAAACACTGTATGCACCACTTGCATCACTTGCATCACTTGCACTTTTGGTTTGAAGATTTTGAAGGCTTCAAGAATTTGAAACGTGTCAACTTTGGATGTTCTAGGCAGACTCATGATCGCAAGGGCTTTTCCTGGAAGCTGTTGAAGAGCAGACGTACGGGCAGGTACGGGCAGAAGCGCGACGTTGATGAGCTCGTCGAGGTGAATTTGTGGTGATCAGTCAACTGGGTAGCAGACATTTTCGGCGGCAAATGGACAGTCTGAAGATGGACTTGCTGACAGATCCTTTGAGTTGGAGAGCGAAATGAAGCCTGTAGGATCTGTAGGATCTGTAGGGGCTGTTGACATCGGAATACAGAGAGGACACCTCTCTCTCGGATTGAGCTTGTGAAAAACGCTGCACGAAGATGGTCAATTGGCTGCTGCCGTGGCAGGTGAAACCGCCTCCACGTGAGCCAGTGGTCACACCAGCATACTACGGACCTTTTGCTGAATATGAGGCGGCTAGTGTTGCTGGGCCATAGATGATGATGATTCAACACGCGACTTGCTGTTTTCACCATCAAATACACCTGGCTATCAAAGCGTTTAGTTCCACGTGGTACCACGGGGCAGGCGCTGACGCAGTTGGAGTGTGAGGCTCAGTTGACCATGTTGACTTGCTACAATCACAGCATGACGCCATGCGAACTTCTAAGAGGCGACAACGGCCGGTGCCAAGGTATCGTCCATTGTCCCGTTGCAGGCACGTGATTTTGAGCAAAGTTTTGTTGAATGTCCCTCATGGCCCTTCTGCAAGAACTGCTGTTTGCCGATTTCTTGTCCTTGTGATCGTTGTGTTTGCGAACGAATGATGCACTGCTTCAGGATGGGATTTTTGCTGGTCTTTGATGCTACGGTGGAGGTAGGGGAAACCATGTTGAAGCGAAGCCTTTGAAGGCTTTTGACAGCTTCCATTTGATTGATCAGTGAAGGAGTCCTTGAAGACCGCCATGGAGATGTTCAACAGTATTTGTTTGCAATCGGCGCCTGGGTCCCAAAGCTGTCGCTGACCTGCACAAACCTTTCTTGGTACAAAATTGATGGCATGCGCTTTTTTGGACCAAACCTATCAAAGCTGAGTTTTTCGTCGGCGCTCAGGACCAAGACGACAGTCCCGACAGACCCTCAGAGTAGTTTGTCCAGCTGTTTCTAGCCAGACGTTGAAGACACGACTGTACAAATTCCTCTTGGGTGGTCAGGTTGGGGCCCCCTGGGTGCCTGTGGAGCAGTTGCTGCTCACTTGAAAGCTGTGATTCTCACGTCCCATGGTCAAAGACATTGAAAGGGAGTCGTCAGATTCAGATTGTCAAGACAGGTAAGACAAGATTCTTGCCGACATTCCTCAACACTATAGTAAAGAAACATATTAGAAACATAATATTGAAAGCTCCCTTAGATGGCATGTGCTGGGCATTGCCTGAGTCTTGATGAAGAGCTTAGAAGCCAAGTCAACCAAACTTCTTCGTCATGCAGCTTTCGCAATGGCGCCATTTTTGATAGTGGCGGGCTTGCTTGCGCCAGCAATTGTAAAGGCTCGTTTGGGAACTGAAGGGGTACTGGGCAGCCCGCCCAGGGGCGTCACACCAGAAAGTGATTCCTTTTGTTGGAACACCGGGCTGGGCAATAAATCATAATAAATCCCTCCTTGGCACCATCATGGTGATCCCGACCCAATCCAGAGTTTGCGCGACTCGTGCCACCGTATAAAGAGTGCTGAGTGGATAATTGGACAACTTTGGATAATTGGATAACTTTGGATAATTGGATAACTTTGGATAATTGGATAACTTTGGATAATTGGATAACTTTGGATAATTGGATAACTTTGGATAATTGGATAACTTTGGATAACTTTGGATAACTTTGGATAACTTTGGATAACTTTGGATAATTGGATAACTTTGGATAATTGGATAACTTTGGATAATTGGACAACTTTGGATAATTGGACAACTTTGGATAATTGGATAACTTTGGATAATTGGACAACTTTGGATAATTGGACAACTTTGGATAATTGGACAACTTTGGATAATTGGATAACTTTGGATAATTGGACAACTTTGGATAATTGGACAACTTTGGATAATTGGACAACTTTGGATAATTGGACAACTTTGGATAATTGGATAACTTTGGATAATTGGACAACTTTGGATAATTGGACAACTTTGGATAATTGGACAACTTTGGATAATTGGACAACTTTGGATAATTGGACAACTTTGGATAATTGGATAACTTTGGATAATTGGACAACTTTGGATAATTGGACAACTTTGGATAATTGGACAACTTTGGATAATTGGACAACTTTGGATAATTGGACAACTTTGGATAATTGGACAACTTTGGATAATTGGACAACTTTGGATAATTGGACAACTTTGGATAATTGGACAACTTTGGATAATTGGACAACTTTGGATAATTGGACAACTTTGGATAATTGGACAACTTTGGATAATTGGACCTTGGATAATTGGACTTTGGATTTGGAATATTGGACAACTTTGGACAAACTTTGGATAATTGGACAACTTTGGATAATTGGACAACTTTGGACAATTGGACAACTTTGGATAATTGGACAACTTTGGATAATTGGACAACTTTGGATAATTGGATAACTTTGGATAATTGGACAACTTTGGATAATTGGATAACTTTGGATAATTGGACAACTTTGGATAATTGGACAACTTTGGATAATTGGATAACTTTGGATAATTGGATAACTTTGGATAATTGGATAACTTTGGATAACTGGATAACTTTGGATAACTTTGGATAATTGGACAACTTTGGATAATTGGACAACTTTGGATAATTGGATAACTTTGGATAATTGGACAACTTTGGATAATTGGACAACTTTGGATAATTGGACAACTTTGGATAATTGGATAACTTTGGATAATTGGACAACTTTGGATAATTGGACAACTTTGGATAATTGGACAACTTTGGATAATTGGACAACTTTGGATAATTGGACAACTTTGGATCATTGGATAACTTTGGATCATTGGATAACTTTGGATAATTGGACAACTTTGGATAATTGGACAACTTTGGATAATTGGACAACTTTGGATAATTGGACAACTTTGGATAATTGGACAACTTTGGATCATTGGATAACTTTGGATCATTGGATAACTTTGGATAATTGGACAACTTTGGATAATTGGACAACTTTGGATAATTGGACAACTTTGGATAATTGGACAACTTTGGATAATTGGACAACTTTGGACAATTGGACAACTTTGGATAATTGGACAACTTTGGATAATTGGACAACTTTGGATAATTGGACAACTTTGGATAATTGGACAACTTTGGATAATTGGACAACTTTGGATAATTGGACAACTTTGGATAATTGGACAACTTTGGATAATTGGACAACTTTGGATAATTGGACAACTTTGGACAATTGGACAACTTTGGACAATTGGACAACTTTGGATAATTGGACAACTTTGGATAATTGGATAACTTTGGACAATTGGACAAACTTGGATAATTGGCAACTTGGATAATTGGAAAACTTTGGATATTGGATATAACTTTGGATAATGGGACAACTTTGGATTATTATGGACAACTTTGGATAATTGGATAACTTTGGATAATTGGAACTTTGGATTAATTGGCCAACTTTGGAAATGGATAACTTTGGATAATTGGACAACTTTGGATAATTGGATAACTTTGGATAATTGGACAACTTTGGATAATTGGATAACTTTGGATAATTGGATAACTTTGGATAATTGGACAACTTTGGATAATTGGACAACTTTGGATAATTGGACAACTTTGGATAATTGGACAACTTTGGATAATTGGACAACTTTGGATAATTGGACAACTTTGGATAATTGGACAACTTTGGATAATTGGATAACTTTGGATAATTGGACAACTTTGGATAATCGGACAACTTTGGACAATTGGACAACTTTGGATAATTGGACAACTTTGGATAATTGGACAACTTTGGATAATTGGATAACTTTGGATAATTGGACAACTTTGGATAATTGGACAACTTTGGATAATTGGACAACTTTGGATAATTGGACAACTTTGGATAATTGGACAACTTTGGATAATTGGACAACTTTGGATAATTGGACAACTTTGGACAATTGGACAATTGGACAACTTTGGACAATTGGACAACTTTGGACAATTGGACAACTTTGGATAATTGGACAACTTTGGATAATTGGACAACTTTGGATAATTGGACAACTTTGGATAATTGGACAACTTTGGATAATTGGACAACTTTGGATAATTGGACAACTTTGGATAATTGGATAACTTTGGATAATTGGACAACTTTGGATAATTGGACAACTTTGGATAATTGGATAACTTTGGATAATTGGACAACTTTGGATAATTGGACAACTTTGGATAATTGGACAACTTTGGATAATTGGACAACTTTGGATAATTGGACAACTTTGGATAATTGGATAACTTTGGATAATTGGACAACTTTGGATAATTGGATAACTTTGGATAATTGGACAACTTTGGATAATTGGACAACTTTGGATAATTGGACAACTTTGGATAATTGGACAACTTTGGATAATTGGACAACTTTGGATAATTGGACAACTTTGGATAATTGGACAACTTTGGAGAATTGGACAACTTTGGATAATTGGACAACTTTGGATACCATCTTTCCTCATCTTTCCTCATCTTTCCTCAACGCTGCAGGCCGCAGGCGATGTGGTTTCACCCAATTTGTCCAGTGAGTCCAGCGCATCAAGTGCAGCTTCGAGCCAGGAGCGTTTCTGACGACATGTCATTACCCTCTGGTAATGACTAACATAGCTATAGAAAGATCCACCATTTTATAGCTGGGAAAATCCACTATTTCGACTGGGCCATTTTCAATAGCTATTTTGACATAACCAGAGGGTAATAGGCCCAGAAGTTGGTTTGTTTCACAGGGATGGCAAGTTGGTTTTCACATGTTTTCACTGAAACGATGTGTTTGGAGAAACTTACGCCCCAATCGAAAATTAGGAGCCGGAGCATGGCCCGGAGCATTCGGAGCATTCGGAGCATCCGGAGCCTGATGCCAATGCAGGCTGTGCATTGGGATTGACCCTTAAATGGTGCTCCCAGCCCATGTCGTTCAAGAATCTCTGTTGTGATTGGGAGATTTCTGCAGCAACGCGTTGCAAAACATCACTGATTCTGAGCAAATCCTTCAAATCCTTCATTGCTTCCGAGTTATTTCAGCTGACAGTGCTGCCAGTGACAGTGCTGCCAAGAGCTCTGGACAAATCAGAGCTGCCAAAAAGCCTTTCTTGGACAAGTATTATGTACAGACATTTGGAAGCTGTGAGCAAGCGACCGATCAATTTGCGCCATTTTAAGGCTCTCACAGACCACACCACTATAATACTAAGCCTTGTTGTTCCATGCGCCCAGTTTTTATCATTTTTTTGGTGTATGTTCCCTATGGGCAGAGCTGCAGCCAGGCCTTTTGCTGTTCAAAAGCTGGGAGCTGCTTGACCCCAGCTCCAAACGGGCTTTGGATCGTGCCAATCGTCAGCCATATCAGCATTATCTCTCTGCATATGTCCTGGCCTTGGAAGCCTTGGTACATTGCAATCCTCCAATCCTACTGGTACCGCTGCGAGCTGTGCCCAGGTCAGTTTTTACGAAGCTGGCCGCGCCGAGGCCGGGTACCGATCGGTTCACCGATTGCTCGCGCTTCACGTCAAATGATCCAAAGTAATCGTGCTTGACCGACTTTAAACTAGATTTTGTGTGAGAAGTGAGAGGATGTATATGTCTATACATATATAAATATACACATTTATCTATATATATATATAAATGATATAAATATATAAATGATATAAATACAGTTGCTGCGCTTGCACAGTATACGAGACTCATGAATACATGCTCGCCGGTTTATAAGCATGCGAATCGCAAAGGAATTTCACTTCCAAAGCGATCCAAACGAAATTCTTCCAAATTCGGTGTTCTAAGAAAGGTTCGTTTTTAGATCTTGACTTTGCCGCCCTCTTTCCATTTTGTACCTGATACAGTATCATACAGTATCTATGTATTTGTCATTTTTCGATATTTTGTTCCACTTTTTGCAATGGTTTCGAGGAGTTGATGCCAGATCCCTTCTTCAACCGCCATGAGAAGCTGGAGCCTCGCTTTGGGCCCAGCCCGAGCAGCCAGACCCTGGGTGCGACCCTGGGCGGTGCCCAAAATGTTGCCATGGATGCCTTAGCGGACGGCTGCCGCTTCGAGGACCTGGGGATGCCATGTTTTCAGAGAAACCCATAGTTGATCATAGTTGAAGGGATGAACAGGCATTTAAACAAGCATTTATATACATTTACCAATTTTGAGCATCATTTACCAGCGATTTTGATGTTTGATCGAGAGCCATAATCATTTTTCCTCAAACTGACCACTCAATGTGTGATTCCTATCCCTGCATGTCGGCCCTATTTGTCATTTGCCTGTTTTCGAGAATTTCTAGATTTGCTCTGAATCAATTAAAGAAGACCTTGTTTCCTTCATCTTTTCTCTCTCGCAGCTTGCAACGTCTTACTCGGGCCTAGCCCTCAGTCAGATCCTCGTTGGCAGGAGGGGCATGACTATACCGGCATCGACATCTTGACCATTCCTGGTAGCTGCTTGGCTTACAGCAGATTCTGCATCCGAAACGCCCCCAATAGTGGTTTCAATTGGAGACAGTTTAGTTCGTTTGGCAAATTCTTCTATGGTTTGGATTATGCGGCAACCTGTTTCTTTTGTATGCTTCCGTTGCCCCTGGACAAGCTACGACAATCTCTGGTGTAATTAGACTATCGTATAAATAGGAAAGGAGATCCTTACTTCTACAAAGCAAAATATATTGTTGACCACAACTTCTCAAGGGGCTTAGCAATCCTTACCACGCTTACCATACGCTGTATGTTCCAGTTTGGGAGGTTCGCAAGAGCAGTGCTGTCGGGCTTGCCTCCGCTTCAATCAACGAAACCCTGGCACCTGTGCTGTGGCAGTGCTCAGTTTCTCGACAAGCCATCCCCCGTCCTGGTTTCTCTCGATGTTTGATATGTTTGTCTTTGCTGATTTTGCAGCTTAAAAACTGAAGCTCTCTTTTGGTTCTTTGTTTGATGACCTGCCAAACCTGCAATTATGAATTGAATGGACCCCCGCAAGAGCAGCTGCTGATCTTGTAAGCACAAGGCTCGGAGCATGATGATCCACCCATGGCATGCTGGGTGAAGAGTCAAATACAGGTGGGAAACGACATCTCCAGGAAGCTTAGACAGATTCATGTAATCCTTTTTTGTATCAACTGTATGGTTTGCGCAATTTTTGGCCGTGCTGCAATGCTGCGCTTCCCTTTGTCATTTCACATTGGATTTTGCCATATTTTGCCATCTTGCTCGAGGATAGAGTGGATACAATGGCTCATTATGTTTCACATTTGTCAATCTGGGCCATTCATGGTCAGATTTGGGTGGATGTTTTCCTTTCGACACTTGGAAGGCTGCTGTAGCGAAGCAGGGAGTGGTTGCATGTCCGGTGTGCTCAGTTGGACATCGCTGTCGCATGTGTTGATTCTCTTATGCCTTATACACTGATATAGCACATATTATATTACATTGTATATAATATAATATAGTATGATATGATATGATATGATTTGATATAATATAATATAATATGATATGATATAATATAATATGATATGATATAATATAACATAATATAATTAACATAATATATATATAGCAATATATATATATATGTATATCTATAATTTTGTGTATATATATATATACATACAGAGTAATAATATTGGTTTCTATGGTTCAAGTTTCTTCCTAAAAAGGCAAACTCTTGGGTCTCTGGCCATTGTCTCCTAGTGTGGCGGGCCCCTGGGCCCGCGCATGGGCCCGGTCTCACCTCTGAGGCATTCCCGAAGAGAAAAAGTGACTCAGCCGACTTAGCCCGGAGTTCCACAGGTTGCTCTGTGTAGAAGCGCTGTGTACTTCGCTACAAACTGGCGTTGACATGCGCAGTGCCGGGTTGAAGATTGTTGAGGTGTCTAGTTACTAGTTCTGTGACGGAGTACAAAGCGGACTCCCAAAGCAGCAGAACAGTCGCATTCGCAAAAGGGAATGCAAGGCAGCAACAAATGACTCAGGTGTCAATTTTGGGGACGTCGTGCATGCAACAGGATTTAGGGCCACATTGGCAAGCTCACCGGAAACAAAATTGAAGTTTTTGTTCTGTATGAAGCACAGCGCATACCGCATACCACACAATGACTGCAGCTTGAACCCAGCTCCTTGACCGCCTTTGTTTGGTGCCACCATCGGACGTTGGATGCAAGCATTTGGTTGGAGAAGAGATTCCAAAACAAGGATGTTATCAGTCCAACGATTTGCCAATTTCTGGCTGGGAAAATATCCTCAAAACCGGTCAACACCATGGATTTCGATACTCACAGCAACTGGCTGCGGCGAATCAAGGAAGGGAATTACAGTCTTCTTGGTCGCAAATAAGTGCCGTACTCAGCGACGTGGTGTAAGATGCACTGAATGGTGCCCGGCCATGAATGGACTCTGAATGCCTGCACCATGTGGAACACATCCACGAAATTCATTGAAAGTCAATGCAGGTTCCCTTTGCAACCGTTGTTGACATCAGGATTGACAAAGATCCCTTGGTGGCAGGGTGCTTAGATGGAAGTATCAGGCAGCATATTGTGACAGTCTCGACTGCAGGGAGGAAGGAGGTACAGGAGCGTGTTTGGGCATTTGGTTTTGCGTGACAGCTGGAGCACGGACTGATCGCACCCTTGGTTTCTATCCTCAGCGCATTGCCTATTCGGCTAGTACCCCTTGAGCCATGGCATGCGGCCATGATGAAATGGAGTCTGACCAAGAATGGTGATGCACTCTTCGCACCGACTATACTTTATGTTGGTCAGACTCAAAAGATAAAATGCACCTCGTATTGAGATGTTCGTTCAATGAGCTTTCTTTGAAGAGCTGATCCCTCCTCTAAAATCGCCCACTGGCCTGTGCGAATCACATGGCGAAGCAAATCTGACTTGGACTCCTTGGTGAGAGGGTCGGCCAACATAGTTCTGCCGTCTATCCATCGGATCTTGCCGTTGAGCTCGTTGATCTCCTGCTTGATCAGGGAGATGTCTATGGAAGTTCGCTTGTCGCCACATTGAGAGGCCGGATTGGTGTACTTACTCACCGCATCGTAGAGAGACTTGGAGTCTGTGATGCAAATGAAGGGAAGTCGGGAGACTTCACGATGCCATTCACGAGCAGAAAGTTGGAGTCCTCGAGCTTCAAGTATCAGGATCCGATACCAATGAACCGATCCAAGACCACGTACTAAGGCCTGAGTCTCGGAGCTCAGAGTGTTTACTGTCTGCCGTTTAAGGCGATAGCTCTTCCACGCGGCAATGGAGACATTCTGCAAGTTCTGTGACTCGGGGAGCGCCTGGTCATAGAAGATGACAATCTCCCCGCCTTGGCTGTAGAGCTTGTTCAGCTGGTCGTAACCGGCATGAATCTCTTTGGAGTCCAGCACCTTGTTCTCTTCCTGCTTGAAGAAAGTTGTGGTGCCAGTCCAGTTAGATGTTGATAGTGGCTTCAAACTGTCGCTTGTGTTCCAGGAATCATCAAGACGGTGACTTCTGTTGTCAATCGTCATCTCTGTGATACGCTGGGTGGTGATATCATGGAGGTCTGGCCCGTCAGGACATGCTGCTGGATGGAAAGCCAAGCGTCGTGCAACACGATGGTGACGAATCCAGCACTGGGAGGTTTCTTCCCACCAATCTCCAGAATCTTGCTCCAAGTAGCTACCGAACTCCTTGGAATTGCCCCATGATGCATCTGTGATCACACCAGCTCGAAGTCGCTCAAGAGGAATTGGCATCACTCGTATGCCGAGGTCCTTGTGCTCCAACGCTTCCTTGGCAAGCTGGTTGGCCGTGATGATATCTCTAACTAAGGGCTTTGGAAATGCTTGTTGTAGAAGAGCAGTCTTACCAGCTAAATCACATCTCGTCTCTTTGGAAAGCCAAGAAAGAGTACCAACAAGTGCTCGTAGTTGTTCAACTTCATCAGGATTGCAAACTGAAAATTTTCGACGTTTTCTATCACGACTCAGGGGAATAATAGTAACCTTGGATTCCGTGTAGAATTGTTGATCAAGTTGAATAGAACCATCTTCTCGTTGATGAATATCCTTGCCTACAAATCTTCCAGATTGCCATGTAAACTTCCCCAGTTTGTACCGACTGCGAATAATTTCAATCTTGCTAAGATGACGAGTCGAACCACCATGAAATAAATCGTCGGTTGCTAATGCCAGAATACCTTCAATATGTGATTGTCCATTCTCATCCAATGGTGAATCCAAAAAGAATAAGCAGGGATCTACAACAGACTGTCGATATTGAAGTTCATCGCATAGAAATCGAACGATGTGTTTGAACCATTGATAGGGGCCATCAGTGAGTCCATAGCAAGTCTTGAGGAGTTTGATCAGCTGCGTCTTGCTCACCCCTGGAAGACCTTCTACTGGTTGTTCCGCATACAGTTCACGATCAATGGGATCGCCTGAATGAAAAGCCTGAGTAAAATCTGCAAAACCTGGTGTCCAACCCATACTTGACATGATCTGAGCCGCAAAAATCACTGAATCTCTGTGCACTTGAGGAGTGCTTGTCTCCAGTTCCAGCAAGGCTGACTCAGAGTAGCCCTGCATCACATGGCGACATTTCGCCTTGCATGGCTGTCCTGGTGGGGATGAGTCTAGTACCTCATCAGCTGACATTGCATCCTCCACGGCAAAATCCTCAATGGGCTTCTTCGTCAGAACATATCGGGACTTCATGATCTTGTCCGGGGCATTCTTCCGGATCAAAGCTGAAGTTACTGGATCCAAAATCTCATAGGCTCCAGTAGCCAAGTTGTTGTTGAGCTCTTTGTGGATCGCCCTTTGTAAACGTTCAGCATCTCTTCCAGAAAAATCTCGGAAAGTAGATTCTTTTCCTTTCTTCTGACGTTGTGCTGACTTGTTTGCTAGTTCTGTGTAGTACAGGTCGAGGAGGTCTAGTCTGCTTCGTTTTGACACAGGAACAGCTTCCCAGGCGGAATCCGTTTGGCTAACGTCATCATGATCTCGTTTTCGATCTTCTTCAACTGAAGGTGGTATGGGCACATCTTCTGGTTTGATGCTCTCCTGGACAATCGAACCATCCTCATCATTTTTGATGCTTTCCTCCGGCAGAGGGGATTCAGGATAGACCGAAAGGTCAGAATTCTTGTCGTTCTCGGCCAATGGAGTTGGTGATTCAAGGCCCGGAGGTGCTCCAACTGGCGGCGTCTCAGCTTTCTCAGGCAAGGGTTCCACTTCACTAGGTCTGGTCTTCTGCCTCAAGCGTCGCGGAAGTGGATCTGGTTGAGCTTCTCTTTTGAAAAGTTGGGTGGATGGCTGGCTGCCATCACCCATTTCAAACCATGTCTCGCCAGTCCAGAGCTCTCCATGGAGTGGAACGTTGGCTCCAAGGTTCCAACGGTCCTCCAAAATCTCTTCAGTGCCACTCTCTAAGGTCATGCAAGACTTTCTCCATGGTTTCAACTGCTGAGTGAAAAATGGAAGTTCCATGTCATCATCGTCAGGTTGATATAGTTCTTTTCGTGGTTGGACATGAACTCGAATCCAAAAATCTCCTTCTTGTCGCCAATAATCTCGATCTCCATCTGGAACAGGAGCATCTTGGTCTTTGGACAAGTCGATGATGCCCTTGACATTCTCGGTCTCGAACTGGCGCTTGGCATTGGAGATACCTTCAAGCCAACCTGACAGGGACAGGAATTCCTCTTCTGCAGCTGGTCGAATCTTTTCTGGTGAAGCTTTGATGAGGTGGTGGTTGAACGACAACCAAACCGTGGTGGGCAATTGGGTGGCCACCACACGTGCTGGTCCATGCCAGAAATACGTAGGTGGTTTTCGAGCTGTATCTGTGCTTCTTCTCCAGAAGTAGACTGCCTGGCCAGTTTCATAGTCATAGTGAGGGCGAGGTCCATGAGTAGCAGCAGCTCTGACTGCCTGTTGACATTCTACCTCATGGAAAGCCACAGATGCCGCCTTCCGAATATTCATGGCCTTGGCCACGGTAGTGTCACCAATGGCAGCAAGACTTTGCACTGCTAAATCAGATTCGCCTCCTGACATCAGTCCACCTGGAATTCGTTGTTGGTACCCAAAAACCCTTTGTGCCGGTGAAAAGCCACCTCTTGAAAGTAATCGATTCTTGGTGAAGCAGACCAGGTCGATCGTCTGAAACCAGGTGGGCCAGTCAGTGCATTGGATCTGCTCCATAGTCTTGTAGAACATCTCCTTGTACAATTGCCCTTGACGTTCGACGAGTCCTCTTTGTTCAGGCGTCTCCAAGGATGAAGGTAGGAGTTCAGTTCCATCTGACTCGGCCAGATTCTCAAACTCCTTCTGGAACTCACGGCCTAAGTCGCACAGCAGCTTTCGTGGTGGACCAAAAATCTTCAGCCACAGTCGATAACCAGCTCGAGTTTCATGAGCTGTATGCCCAGTCAAGGGAATCACCAATTGAAAGTGGCTCCCGTAGTCCACCACGTTCAAGCAGTACTTGGTCTTGTTTGAAAAGGGTACCCTGAGCTGGAAGATGTCGATGCCAACCACTTCATTCAAGCCAATCTCCCTTGGAGGTGCCCCAACACGAGATGGTCGTGGAAGTTTGAACTTTTCACAAACTGAACATTTGAGGTTCTTGGCAATGTCCATGACCTTCTGGCTGGCTTTACTATTTTTCAAAATTCGCAAGAATCGATCCCGCCCAGGATGTCCAAGGCCATCATGAGCCCTTCTCACCAAAGCCTCTAAGGAGAGAGGATGACTTCCTGGGAAGTGTTCTGGCTCTGGTTTATCTGGTGGTTCAGAATCGATCTCCACATCACCATCAGGGGATTCTGCTTGTACTGCATGAACTTCAGAAGGATCATCGAGACATACACAGGGATGTCGTGGTTCTTTAGGACCAGCTCGTGGGGCTCGATCAGGGTCAGGATCAGCATTGTCTCGAACTTGGTTCATCAGGTTCTCCTCGGCAAGAAGTAGATTCTGCTCCAGGTGCTGTTCCCATTCCAGAGTCTTCTGGCCATCGACAATGTAGAGCAGATCTGAGGAGATACCTATCGAATTGGCAAAGGCAATCAAAATCGCTGACACCAGCTTGATGGGATACTTCTGGGCCAGTCTTGAGCGATTGATGGATGCCCCACGGTCGCGTCCCATGACGTGTTGGTGGGTGTGCGATTGATCACAGGTCTGATTCAATTGTTGTGCAATCTGAAAATTGTTGGTAAGAAAACCAGAACGTTTTCTCATAGGTTCGCCATCATTTGTCACCAAACCAAACATGCACTGGTCTCCACGAGCTAAATGACAATCAGTTGCTGAAACAAGTTGTTGCAAACATGGTTCATTCCATGAGCTGGCCGACCATGGATGTTCAAATAAGAAACTCAAGCCCAGTGATCTGCAAAGTTGACAAACTTTTACACAAAATTTCAACAGTTTCTTGGCATCCCGAAGTTCTCGAATGTGTTGATCAAACCTTTCGGGGTTTTCATTCCACTTAGGAAGTGATAGGTTGAGCAGCATGCTGAATTTGACACATGGTGGCGAAATCACTGTGAGTCCAGGTCGTTCAGTTTGAATATAGTTCAAAACTTTTGCTTGTTCAGATGATTGAAGTAGATTCCAGCCTAACTCCAAATCAAATGCTTGTCCCGCTCGAAGTCCATAAAAATCTGTTTGGGGTCCAAACCGACCTGGGTTGCAAACTTCCGCAACAGTCTTCAATTGTTTTGGCTGCAAAAGGTATAGATCCGCCATATGTCTCATATGTGGCTGTTGTAACTGAAGCGAGTCACGAATCAACTTGCAAGTACTTTCCAAATGGTTCTCAGAAGTTTCACAAATCAACCTGTGTAACTCCAGCCAGGAGGTCTCAGTACGCTTCAAACAGCCAAAAATGTGTCGCCGCAACCCCGGCTTCACTGGCTCAGCTTCCGTCTCCATCACATGAACAGGCCGTGTCGACTTGATGCTCCGCGGGAACCGCTGGCCTGGTTCTCCATCTGTTGCTGTTGGGCCTGACGCCACAGCAAAAACTCCTGGAACTCCTTGTTCTCCTGCTTCAACTTGTTCTGGCCTTCGGTGGAACTCTGAGAGAGAGGTGTCGTTGGAGACTTGCGATTCTGACGTTCTTGTTGAACCATGAGCCCCAGTGGAGTCTTCTCGTCGACCAGCAGCTTGCCGCAGTCCAGGCACTTCTCCTTGCTCTTGAGTCCATTGGTACCTCGGCGATCTCGCCTCGTGTGTGGGCAAATCTCCTGCTGTCTCTTGGTGAAGTACTTGATGTTGGGATTCTGATTCAAGTCTCCTCGAAGTGGTTGAAACGTCAGCCACTGGAAGAAACTGCACTGCTGGGATCGTTCCCTGCCGCATCGCCAAAACAGGCGGTCTGGATTGTTCTCCGTCTTCGAAATCCAAAGTAGGGCTCCTTGCTGGCAGTGACATAGAGGGGCCTCTCGATTCACATCCAAGTCCTGCGGGATCTCCCACATGCTGGCACGCCGTTGATCTGGTTCCTCCGTTGTTGGCCTCGAATTTGATGACCTTGGTGTCGTTGGTGCCGGTCGATTCGATGGGGACTTCCTGAGGTGAGAGTCCTTGAGCGAAGTCACTCGAGACCATTCCGATGGCGTTGGAGACCGTGAATAGTTCTCGGCCAACGACTTCTGATGAAGAGCTTGGCTCAATTGGTCCACCACCTGCTCCAAGTGGACAGTCTCCAACAAGTCCCCCATCTCGATCATCTGCCTGGCAAGAACTCCTCTTGGCCCAGGAATTTGAAGATGGTGTTGAACTCGATGTTGAATGGCTCGGCTGATGATCATGATGGCTTTCAAGGTCATTCGGACCCAAGCCTGAGTCACCGCCGGAGGCATGTCGCCATCGCTGCGACCCCGCTTCTGCCGCGGACCATGCATCAGAGCAGTTGGAACGTGGGGCTGCTCCCAGGGCTGGAGACTTCCGTGAACCACCTTCTGAGCCACTAGATTGCGTTGTGCAAGACATAGATCGGTGATTGATCTTCTCGGTCATGGTCTGCATCAATTCATATTCATCTCGCTTTTTGGAAACCTTTGTGCTCAAAAATTTCTTCATTGAATCTGTAAATTGTTGAATAGGAATTCGCAATGCACCTGTAGGTCCCAAATGACATGATACCTTGAATCCAAATCGCTGTGAAACCAAGCTCAAACCTTTGTCCTCATCCAAATGAAGAATAGCTCGGCAGTGTAATAAAAATGGTAAAGAAAGTAAAAATGGAGCATCAGCACAATGTTCTTCCTCAAAAAGTGCCGGTCGAAGAATGCTTCCACGCACTCCCAAACTACATGGAATACATGCCAATTGTGTGGTGCATGAGACCTTGTGAACGCTTCTGAATTGATGGACCTCATCGCAAAATGTGATGGGAAGTTCCGAAGGTTGAAAATTCATCAGTTTATTCAATGTGTTAAGACCAATAGCCATACGTTGACACCCAGTATCAATAGTTGCACAACCATCATCTTCGATCATTGTTGTCATGTGAAAACACTGAATAGCCGCAGGACACGCCATGTATGCTCGATCAGATTGCGAAAAGTCATGGCAGTCATGGACAGATTCCTTGCTGCCAGCTGCTACATCTTCTTCTAAATAGAAAAACTCGCTCTCAGCAAAACTGCTTTGGTCCTGCACAAGGAAGTTCACCTCCTTGGATTTTGGCTTGGAAGAGTCAGTCTTGGGCTTGGGGCATTCACGAGCCCAGTGGCCCACGGCCCCGCACGCATTGCATTTGGTTCTTTTCTTCAGCTCTGAGATGGACACCTCATAGGTTCCTGGTTTCATCAATCCATCTCGTCCTGCTCCATAGCCACGAGCAAGATCACGATTCTTCTTAGCCTTCAGGGCACCAGCATAGTTTCGACCACGATGCTTGGAATCCTTCAGCATCGTCATCAAGATGTCCTTCGTCTCGGACTCAGTCAGGGTGACCATATCGTCCGTGCTGTTGTTCTTGGGCTCCTCCAAGTCTGCCATGGTGGTGAGCAGAATGTCCGTCTGGTCATTCTCCATCATGTCCTCCTCGTCGTCAAGGTCCACAAGCTGGATCTCCTTGGTGTCCTCAGGGTCCGCCAGGTAGTTCACTGAAGCCTTCTTGCGATCGCTGCCCAAATGGTTCATGTCCAAGTCAGTCTCATGGACTCGGAGCCAACTTTTCACATCGGCCACCTGCAAGGAACCCTTCGTGTAGTTGAGCAAGAGCTTGGTCTTCTCGGAGTCCAGCTGGAGGGCATTCACCATGAGGAAGCCAAGATATTCTTGAGGAAGTCGTACATCATGTTCTCGAATTTTTCGTTCTGCAGTGTCCCAACGAGTCATGAAGGCTCTGGCCGTTTCCCCTCGTTGACGCCTCAAGTGATAGGTCAGCCTAGCACATGCAGCTAACATTGACTCACGTTTTTCTTCCCCATAGAATTCTTTGGAATCCATCATAGTGATCAGTTTGTTGCCATTGTCAGGATCTGCCATCCATTCATCATCATTTGCTAAAAACTTCAAATCTTCCCATGGACCCTTGGTAAGACTTTTGAGTAGGAGTGGTCCCCGAGCATGGGCCGGAGTCCTAGTAGTTCTCAGCCAGATTCTGGCCTTGATCTTGTAGTCCTTGAACTCAGTGCTAACTCCATCCCACTCTGGTGGCGGTCCCGCCGTCGTCCTCTCATGTTCGTCTCTGGCAAAATGCCATAGACCTTGTCCCGCAGCACCTGCGCCTCCATGTTGATGTCCCATGCCATAGGCCTGGTTCGGCTGGGCTTGACGCCACTGAAGAAATTGAAGAAACTCCTCCTCCAGCACTGGCGCTCGGACTGGCACCTCGCGCCTACGCCCATCAGCCCAGGGATCGTTCCCAGATCTTGCCCATGGATCACCGCTCGAAGCCTCAGATGCAGCCCTCGGTGTCGGGTCTGACCGACCGGGCTGAGGTTCCTCAGAAGAACCCTCGTTCGGCACAGGTACGGTTGCCATAGCAGCACTATTCGAAAAAGAAACACCCCTGGATCGTAGCCTGGCTCCGCTGCCACTGCGTGACAGCTGGAGCACGGACTGATCGCACCCTTGGTTTCTATCCTCAGCGCATTGCCTATTCGGCTAGTACCCCTTGAGCCATGGCATGCGGCCATGATGAAATGGAGTCTGACCAAGAATGGTGATGCACTCTTCGCAGGTTTGATCTTCTTGGATTTGATTTTCTGCAAGAATAGATCAGCCAAAACAAGCCACACAGATAAGATGCAAATGTTGACTTGGTTGACTTGGAATGGTTCCATGTGGTTCCTGTTTTGTTTTTGGTCTGTGACATGGCCCAGGACGAAACGATCAAGACACGAGCAGCAGCAAAAGCTTTCGCAGAAATCAAAGAGTTGGGTGGCTCAGAGTTAGCATGATTCAACTGTGCATTTCATCGTTCATGACTTCAGCCTCAAAAACAAATCCATCCGATATATCGCTTTCAGCGCTGTTTGAGGGATCTCCAAGCGTTGCATGTTGCTTTTGAAACTGCCATGTGCAAATTCAACTTCGGAATCTCTCACATGAGCAACATGTTAAGCAAGCAAGTGAGGCTTCCATATTTCGAGGCACGGGCAGATTGGGCTATGGTTATACATTCACATGAGCAGTGCTCAAAACCCTTGTTGGTTGATGATCGTTGGGTATTATCCTATCCAATGTATATTATCATCATCCAATAATGGAATGAACTTTCGGATTTGAACAGCCAGTGGAACAGCGATGCGGCAGGTCTCTGCCTTGAAATTCATACGAGTGCGGAAGGTTTTCAGGGAGATGGTGGAACACATTGTGCTGCAGCTGGGGTCACCCAGCGATCTGTGGTTCTGTCTACCTCGGAGCAATCCTGTGCCACGGCCATGAGGGTAGGCACAAGAAAAAATACATGTTCTTCTGCTCATGGAATCATGTGCTTAGTACCAATCATTCAGCCAGTACCTTCCTGACAAGCAAAGTGAAGCGAAGTCTCAAGGTGCCTTGAGGCGATATTGTTCAGTGAAGAAATCCATTTTGTGCGCAACTGGGTCATCCAGGCCCCACCAGAACGAGATATGATACATGCGATTATGTGAGTAATATCTTATCTAAGATTTAAAAGGTATGCTTTCATATGGTTCCATCTTATGCCAGAGGTTCGTGGCAGTTTAAGATGGCAAGTTTGGTGGCAAGTTCGGTGGCGGTGGCAGTTAGATATGGCAATGTGGGTGGCAGTTTTAGTGGCAATGAAGCGTTGGTGGCAAGTTTGATGGCAGAATGTGATGGCAAAAATGGTGGCAACCGTATTTTGGTGGCAAAAGGGGTGGCAACTTTGCATGGCAAAAATTGAGCCGGAAGTTTAGCAATCACATTTTGGCGGCAGCAGAGGTGTCAAAATTTGATGGCAGCTTTTTGGGCAGAAAAGGTTGCAAACACCTTCGGTCACAAAAAGGCGTTGAGTGTACATGGCACATGTTGACAGAAAGGGTGTGAGAGACTTTTTGGCGGCAAATGGGGTGGTAAGTTGATGGCAAAAGTGCTGGCAAAATTTGGTGCTACATCAACTACAGAGAAAGATGTTGACCAAAATCATGCCAGCCCTATTGCACCTTCTGCGGAGGCGACACCCACCGACCCTACGAGTTAAAGGACCAGATAACCCCACATGGCAACTTCTTCCAATAATGAGCACCAAATGTTGTAGCGGGGACGGGGAAGAAAGGAAAGACAAAGGAGGTGGTGGAGGACTGAGAAGTAAAACGACAAAATTGTGTGTGTGCTACAAAGTTGTGTGTGGAAGATGGTGTGTGTGAAAGTTGTGTGAAAGAGAGCGTGTGACAACGTTGTGTGTGAAAGATGGTGTGTGACAAAGTGGTGTGTGAAAGATGCTGTGGTGAAAGATGGTGGGTGACAAAGTGAAGTGGTGTGTCAAAGATGGTGTGTCAAAGATGGTGTGTGAGAGATGGCGTGTGAAGGATTGTGTGGTGAAAGAAAGTGTGTGACAAAGTGGTGTGAAAGATGGTGTGTCAAAGATGGTGTGTGAGAGATGGCGTGTGAAGGATGGTGTGGTGAAAGAAAGTGTGTGACAAAGTGGTGTGAAAGATGGTGTGTCAAAGATGGTGTGTGAGAGATGGCGTGTGAAGGATGGTGTGGTGAAAGAAAGTGTGTGACAAAGTGGTGTGAAAGATGGTGTGAAAGATGGTGTGTCAAAGATGGTGGGTGACAAAGTGCTGTGTGAAAGGTGGTGTGTGAAAGATGGTGTGTGACAAAGGTGGGCGTGAAAGATGGTATGTGAAAGGTGGTGTGTGAAAGATGGTGTGTGACAAAGATGGTGTGTGAAAGATAGTGTGTCAAAGATGGTGTGTGAAAGATGGTGTGTGACAAAGTGGTGTGTCAAAGATGGTGGGTGACAAAGTGGTGTGTGAAAGATGGTTTGTCAAAGATGGTGGGTGACAAAGTGGTGTGTGAAAGATTGTGTGTGACAAAGATGGTGGGTGACAAAGTGGTGTGTGAAAGATGGTGTGTGACAAAGATGGTGTGTGAAAGAATGTGTGTCAAAGATGGTGTGTGAAAGATGGTGTGTGACAAAGTGGTGTGTCAAAGATGGTGGGTGACAAAGTGGTGTGTGAAAGATGGTTTGTCAAAGATGGTGGGTGACAAAGTGGTGTGTGAAAGATGGTTCGTGAAAGGAGGTGGATGTCACCAAGCGCCACACCTGCCACGCAAAACGAAGGTAGATGTCTCCAAGTGCCACGCCTGCCACGTGAAACGAAGGTGGATGTCACCAAGCGCCTTGCCTGGCACGCAAAGTGGAAGTCGATGTCACCAAGTGCCACGCCTGGCACGCAAAGTGGAGGTCCATGGTCGCCAAGTGCCACGCCTGCCACGCAAAGTGACGGTCCATGTCGCCAAGGGCCACGCTTGCCACGCAAACAGCGGCGGTGGGAACCAAGCGCGCCACCAGAGCCAGCCCAGTGCCATAAGTGCCACGCCTGCCACGCAAAGTGGAGGTCCACGTCACCAAGTGCCGCACCTGCCACGCAGAATGCACGCACATGTCACCAAGTACCACGCCTGCCACGCAAACAGCGGCGGCGTCCACGGCGTCAACTGGGAACCAAGCGCGCCACCAGAGCCAGCCCAGTGCCATAAGTGCCACGCCTGCCACGCAGAATGCACGTAGAAGTTGTGTGTGGACAAGTTGTGGGAGGACAAGTTGTGCGTGAGCGATTTGGTGAGGACATGTTGTGTGTGAGCAAGTTGTGTGATGACAAGTTGTGTGTGGACAAGTTGTGTGTGGACAAGTTGTGTGAGGACAAGCTGTGTGTGAGCGATTTGGTGAAGACAAGTTGTGTGTGAGCAAGTTGTGTGATGCCAAGTTGTGTGTGAGCGATTTGGTGAGGACAAGTGTGTGAGCAAGTCGTGTGATGACAAGTTGTGTGTGGACAAGTTGTGTGTGGACAAGTTGTGTGAAGACAAGTTGTGTGTGAGTGATTTGGTGAAGACAAGTTGGTGTGTGAGCAAATTGTGTGATGGCAAGTTGTGTGTGAGCAATTTGTGTGATGACAAGTTGTGTGTGGACAAGTTGTGTGTGGACAAGTTGTGTGAGGACAAGTTGTGTGTGAGCAATTTGTGTGATGACAAGTTGTGTGTGGACAAGTTGTGTGTGGACAAGTTGTGTGAGGACAAGTTGTGGACAAGTTGTGTGTGGACAAGTTGTGTGAGGACAAGCTGTGTGTGAGCGATTTGGTGAAGACAAGTTGTGTGTGAGCAATTTGTGTGATGACAAGTTGTGTGTGAGCAAGTTGTGTGATGACAAGTTGTGTGATGGCAAGTTGTGTGTGGACAAGTTGTGTGTGGACAAGCTGTGTGAGGACAAGTTGTGTGTGAGCAATTTGTGTGATGACAAGTTGTGTGTGAGCAAGTTGTGTGATGACAAGTTGTGGACAAGTTGTGTGTGGACAAGTTGTGTGAGGACAAGCTGTGTGTGAGTGATTTGGTGAAGACAAGTTGTGTGTGAGCAAGTTGTGTGATGACAAGTTGTGTGTGAGCAAGTTGTGTGATGACAAGTTGTGTGATGACAAGTTGTGTGTGGACAAGTTGTGTGTGGACAAGTTGTGTGTGAGCAATTTGTGTGATGACAAGTTGTGTGTGAGCAAGTTGTGTGATGACAAGTTGTGGACAAGTTGTGTGTGGACAAGTTGTGTGAGGACAAGCTGTGTGCGAGCGATTTGGTGAAGACAAGTTGTGTGTGAGCAAGTTGTGTGATGACAAGTTGTGTATGAGCAAGTTGTGCGATGACAAGTTGTGTGATGGCAAGTTGTGTGTGGGCAAGTTGTGTGTGGACAAGTTGTGTGAGGACAAGCTGTGTGTGAGCGATTTGGTGAAGACAAGTTGTGTGTGAGCAAGTTGTGTGATGGCAAGTTGTGTGTGGACAAGTTGTGGGCGGGAGGGGCGGGAGCCGGAGGAGGAGGCGGCGGCGGGATACAGAACCAAAAACAAGAACCCCACACAAAGATGTGGGGAAAAAATGTTGAGGGCTTATTTTGGCAAAAATCGACCTTATTTCTTGACGGGCAGGTGGGCAGCTGCCTGGGCAAAATTTGGCTCAACATTTTTTCCCCACATCTTTGTGTGGGGTTCTTGTTTTTGGTTCTGTATCCCGCCGCCGCCGTTTTTGGTTGCCACCGTTGCCCGTCAAGAAATAAGGTCGATTTTTGCCAAAATAAGCCTTATTTTTGACAAAAATAGGCCTTATTTTTTGACGGGCAACGATGGCAACCAAAAACTAGTGCGGTTTGTCTTGAAAGGACAAGCGTGCGCGTTTTTGGTTGCCATCGTTGCCCGTCAAAAAATAAGGTCGATTTTTGTCAAAAATAAGGCTTATTTTGGCAAAAATCGACCTTATTTCTTGACGGGCAGGTGGGCAGCTGCCTGAGCAAAATTTGGCTCAACATTTTTTCCCCACATCTTTGTGTGGGGTTCTTGTTTTTGGTTCTGTATCCATCCCGCCGCCGCCGTTTTTGGTTGCCATCGTTGCCCGTCAAGAAATAAGGTCGATTTTTGTCAAAAATAAGGCTTATTTTGGCAAAAATCGACCTTATTTCTTGACGGGCAGGTGGGCAGCTGCCTGGGCAAAATTTGGCTCAACATTTTTTCCCCACATCTTTGTGTGGGGTTCTTGTTTTTGGTTCTGTATCCCGCCGCCGCCGTTTTTGGTTGCCACCGTTGCCCGTCAAGAAATAAGGTCGATTTTTGCCAAAATAAGCCTTATTTTTGACAAAAATAGGCCTTATTTTTTGACGGGCAACGATGGCAACCAAAAACTAGTGCGGTTTGTCTTGAAAGGACAAGCGTGCGCGTTTTTGGTTGCCATCGTTGCCCGTCAAAAAATAAGGTCGATTTTTGTCAAAATAAGGCTTATTTTGGCAAAAATCGACCTTATTTCTTGACGGGCAGGTGGGCAGCTGCCTGGGCAAAATTTGGCTCAACATTTTTTCCCCACATCTTTGTGTGGGGTTCTTGTTTTTGGTTCTGTATCCCGCCGCCGCCGTTTTTGGTTGCCATCGTTGCCCGTCAAGAAATAAGGTCGATTTTTGTCAAAAATAAGGCTTATTTTGGCAAAAATCGACCTTATTTCTTGACGGGCAGGTGGGCAGCTGCCTGGGCAAAATTTGGCTCAACATTTTTTCCCCACATCTTTGTGTGGGGTTCTTGTTTTTGGTTCTGTATCCCGCCGCCGCCGTTTTTGGTTGCCATCGTTGCCCGTCAAGAAATAAGGTCGATTTTTGTCAAAAATAAGGCTTATTTTGGCAAAAATCGACCTTATTTCTTGACGGGCAACGGGCAACCAAAAACTAGTGCGGTTTGTCTTGAAAGGACAAGCGTGCGCGTTTTTGGTTGCCATCGTTGCCCGTCAAAAAATTTGGCAAAAATCGCTTATTTCTTGACGGGCAGGTGGGCAGCTGCCTGGGCAAAATTTTCCATTTTTTCCCCACATCTTTGTGTGGGGTTCTTGTTTTTGGTTCTGTATCCCGCCGCCCCGCCGCCGCCGTTTTTGGTTGCCATCGTTGCCCGTCAAAAAATAAGGCTTATTTTTGTCAAAAATAAGGTTTATTTTGGCAAAAATCGACCTTATTTCTTGACGGGCAGGTGGGTAGCTGTCTGGGCAAAATTTGGCTCAACATTTTTCCCCCACATCTTCGTGTGGGGTTCTTGTTTTTGGTTCTGTATCCCGCCGCCGCCTCCTCCTCCGCCTCCCGCCCCTCCCGCCCACAACTTGTCCACACACAACTTGTCCTCACACAACTTGTCCACACACAACTTGTCCACACACAACTTGTCATCACACAACTTGCTCACACACAACATGCCCTCACCAAATTGCTCACACACAACTTGCCATCACACAACTTGCTCACACACAACTTGTCCTCACCAAATCGCTCACACACAACTTGTCCACACACAACTTGTCCTCACACAACTTGTCCACACGCAACTTGTCCACACACAACTTGTCATCACACAACTTGCTCACACACAACATGCCCTCACCAAATCGCTCACACACAACTTGTCCACACGCAACTTGTTCTCACACAACTTGTCCACACACAACTTGTTCACACACAACTTGCCCTCACCAAATCGCTCCCACACAACTTGTCTTCACCAAATCGCTCCCACACAACTTGTCCTCACACAAATTGCTCACACACAACTTGCCATCACACAACTTGCTCGCACACAACTTGTCTTCACCAAATCGCTCCCACACAACTTGTCCACACACCACTTGTCCACACACAACTTGTCCACACACAACTTGTCATCACACAACTTGCTCGCACACAACTTGTCTTCACCAAATCGCTCCCACACAACTTGTCCACACACCACTTGTCCTCACACAACTTGCCCACACACAACTTGTACGTGCATTCTGCGTGGCAGGCGTGGCACTTGTGGCACTGGGCTGGCTCTGGTGGCGCGCTTGGTTCCCAGTTGACGCCGTGGACGCCGACGATGTTTGCGTGGCAGGCGTGGTACTTGGCGACACGTGCGTGCATTCTGCGTGGCAGGTGCGGCACTTGGCGACATGTACGTGCATTCTGCGTGGCAGGCGTGGCACTTATGGCACTGGGCTGGCTCTGGTGGCGCGGTTGGTTCCCAGTTGACGGCGTGGACGCCGCCGCTGTTTGCGTGGCAGGCGTGGTACTTGGAGACATGTACGTGCATTCTGCGTGGCAGATGAGGCGCTTGGAGACATGTACGTGCATTCTGCATGGCAGGCGTGGCACTTCTGGCACTGGGCTGGCTCTGGTGGCGCGCTTGGTTCCCAGTTGACGCCGTGGACGCTGCCGGTGTTTGCGTGGCAGGCGTGGTACTTGGTGACACGTGCGTGCTTTCTGCGTGGCCACTTGGTGGCATGGACCTCTACTTTGCGTGGCAGGCGTGGCACTTGTGGCACTGGGCTGGCTCTGGTGGCGCGCTTGGTTCCCAGTTGACGCCGTGGACGCCGCCGCTGTTTGCGTGGCAGGCGTGGCACTTGGCGACATGGACAGTCACTTTGCGTGGCAGGCGTGGCACTTGGCGACCATGGACTTCCACTTTGCGTGGCAGGCGTGGCACTTGGTGACATCGACTTCCACTTTGCGTGCCAGGCAAGGCGCTTGGTGACATCCACCTTCGTTTCACGTGGCAGGCGTCGCGCTTGGAGACATCTACCTTCGTTTTGCGTGGCAGGTGTGGCGCTTGGTGACATCCACCTTCTTTCGCGAACCATCTTTCATACACCACTTTGTCACCCACCATCTTTGATACACCATCTTTCACACACCACTTTGTCACACACCATCTTTGACACACCACTTTGTCACACACCATCTTTCACACACCATCTTTGACACACTATCTTTCACACACCATCTTTGTCACACACCATCTTTCACACACCACCTTTCACACACCATCTTTCACGCCCACCTTTGTCACACACACACACCATCTTTCACACACCACCTTTCACACAGCACTTTGTCACCCACCACCTTTGACACACCATCTTTCACACCACTTTGTCACACACCATCTTTCACCACACAATCCTTCACACACCATTTCTCACACACCAGCTGTGACACACCATCTTTGACACAACATCTTTCACACCATCTTTCACACACCGTCACAGACCCATCTTTCGCATACCACTTTGTCTCACACCATCTTTCACCACACCATCCTTCACACACCACTTTGTCACACACACACACACACACACCATCTTTCACCACACCACCTTTCACACACACACACACAACTTTCTCACACATCATCTTTCACCACAGCATCTTTCACACACCACTTTGTCGCACACCATCTTTCACACACAACTTTGTCACACGCTCTCTTTCACACAACTTTGTCACACACACCATCTTTCACACACAACTTTGTCACACACACACACACACAACTTTGTTTTACTTCTCGGTCCTCCACCACCTCCTTTGTCTTTCCTTTCTTCCCTGTCCCCGCTACAACATTTGGTGCTCATTATTGGAAGACTTTGCCATGTGGGGTTATCTGGTCCTTGAACTCTGTGCCCCGCAATGTTCCAGCATGGATTAGACACAGAAAATCATTAGACCAAAACACAACCGAAAGGCAATTGCTGACCAAGTGAGCTGTAAACACAACAATTTCTGAGCACTAAGTTTGATCATTCGACACCACAACAATCTGATTGAAAATGCTCACTTGCTTTGCATATGACACAATTCCAGAAGCCGCTTGTGCAAGCCAACGGCTGCATACAATATCCTTTGGCCATGCAATGTGCCATCTGCTTTGCCCACTTACGCGTCGCGTCTTTAGCCCTTGCCACATTTTTTGCCAGAGCTTTGCTACCTGTGTTGCTATTGCTTTTGCCCGCAATGCAAGTTTGCCCTTTCGTTGCCACGTGTGTTGCCAAGGGCTTTTGCTCGCAACCCAAATTTTGCCATTCAATTTGCCGCCTGTGCTTTTGCCCCCGCCACGTATTTGCCAGTGTTTTTTGCCACCGATGTTGCCATTATATTTGCCCCCGTCGGTTTTTTCCATCCATGTTGCCCTGCAGATTGCCACCGCCATTGCCATTGCCATTGCTTTTGCCCTCAAAGTTGCCATCTTTGTTGCCATCAAATTTGGGCGCCTAATAGAGCATTGTTCTTGAATTTTAGATAAGTAATATCAATTAGGTATCGCTATGTATCCGCATGAGTACTAAAAGGAATCTAAAAACCACCAAAATCTATGCGGGTTCCTTGGCCTCACATGTGACCACATTTGACCCATTCCCAATTCATATGGCCTTCAGCTCAAGGCCGCAGCTTTGGAGCTCCGACTCCTTGAAGGTTGTCCACAGCTGGGGAAGATTTTGGGGATGTTGGATGATGTTGGAGGATGGAGAAGGTCTCCAAAAGGTCTCCAAAAGGCTATGAACTTTGAATGTTTGAATATGTTTGAATCCTTGTCACATTTGTGGCTGTTTTTCTTTGTCACTTTTATGGGTGTTGAAGAGGCTGTGAACATATTTAGTGTTTTGCTGGATTTCTCTTGTCGCTTCGTTTTCTCTTTCCCTTGAAAGGCGAAAATGACCCATAGTGCAAAAACCAGTATACAATGCTGCCCGGCCAGGAATTCTATCAGAACAAAAAGAAAGTCTCGCTGACGCAAGAGAATTGTGCTCTTCAGTGAGAAAGCCCGGGAATCATGGATCCATGTGGATATGGATCTATCACCCCCCAAAATGGATCGTTCAATACCAAAGGACAGTATACCTGTGTGGGTATTCCACCGTATTCCCCAGTCTTGAGCCAGAGCCACAACGGATCTATACAAACGCCCGAAGAAGTTGTTCAAGCGAAGGACAACATGTACAAAGCAGGACACTTGAAGGTGTGGGTGATGCAGCAGAAGAGAAAGTGACACCCGTGGTGGTGTGCATTCAACGGATAGATGCGATGATAGCACCAAAGGCAGTATCAGTTTTCTTGTTCAAAAGCGCAGACATACTCTTAGACTCGTGGTCACAAAATATACACCACCTTCATGGAAAAGAGGATTTCAGCTCTCGCGGAGCCTTTCCAAAGATTGAAAGGCGACTGATTTTTGTTTGACATCGGCCGAAAAACCGTTGAGGATCCCTGCAGCCTCTTTGAAATTCTGATTCAGGGAGTGTGGCAGCACAATTTCTTTCGGAAGCTGCACGCCGACGGGATTTTGCTTCACAATCTCTTTGTTTGTGGACCCAGTAAACTCAGTAGCCAGTGGCTCAAGCCACCAAGATTTTGAGCGCAACTCACGATGCAGCTGCACACTTCAAGGATGAGCTTTGATCTGAAATTGGTTCTGCGTACATATATTAACTGGGACTGCCTCTTGACACTTGCCTCTTCGCGGCAAGATTAAGACTTTGCACAAGGCCTCTTAGGTTGCTCGTCCGGCGTCAGAAGTATTTCAGAAAGCTGCCGACTTCAGACTTTCTGGTTGCATTTCCACCCTTGGTTTCAGCATAATTCTCCCAACGCGATCATGGAGCTGACTTTTACTGCTCCGCAGTGGCAAGCAGCGGTCACCCCAGCCGCTCGTGTGCGGCAGGTGGGACGTTTATTTGGAGAATGTTGCTCTCTTCACCGGGTGGGAGGGCAAAAGTGGCAAAGTTGTAAACACTATCGACAAGATATGGATAGGATATTCGGACAAAATGGTGCACACATTTGAAAATTAAGCGCGATGAGGAACTTCTCAAAGTGTGGTAACTTCTGGCACCAGGCGCCGGCGCCTTACTCTGGACCGAGTCCTTCTGTGGAGGTGCGACTGCGCTCGAAAGCGAGGGAAGCTCCATGGAAGTCTGTCCTTCAATGTTCTTGACATTCTTGACATAGCTGAGCATTGTCTGTAAGTAACTTATTTCAAATGCATGTGTTGAAGGATTTCCGTGACTGTTTTCGGGCCTCCACTGTCAGCTTGAACCTGCTTCTGTATAGAATTGCGGCAGAATTGCATAGATGTCCCCAAAAACGTTGCTTTTGATTGGAGAGACCTACGCGGCCCTCCTTGTTGCAAACCCCAGCAGCCCCCAGTTGATCAAAATGTCACGGCCAAAGGCATACTCCCACTATCTCCCACTTCGAATGAAAGATATCTTGTGAACTGCTTTATGGTCTGGAAAAATGCCTTGAATTTGAATCAAGATTGATTTTGGCAGGAGTTCCCGTAAAGCATAAGCCATTGGCCCATACATGAACAGGCTGGAAATTCTGAAGCATGGACGCCTGGACATTGCAGGACCCTGCGAAAATCTTGGCAGCTGCACTTCTTCTTGCGGGCTGCACCAGGCATCAATACCGCAGAAGTGGGCCCGGGATCGGCAGAGGAAGTTTTTTATTTTTCCCTTTCTTTGAACTTGGATGCCAAAGTATGGCTTCAAATGTGAGCATCAAAAGGAAGTTTTCTGTTGCCAGGCGCGACCGGCGCGGCTCCCATGTTGGCCGCTGCTCGCGACGATCCCACGGCCCAAACCATGGCCAAAACAAAAGTCGCGCCCGGCGCGTCGTTACGACGCTCCGGGGGCAGGTCATGGATAAAGTGGAGAAGAAAGCGGAGGCTGGGCATGGGAGCAGACCTTGCTGGGCCAGGGACAAGGTGTCTGAGAATGGGGGTATACTGAGTATACTGGTAAAGCGCACTCTTAAATGGCCAATTGTGTGGGGACAAAACTGATAAACTGTAGACAGACCTATATATCACATATATATATATTTCATATATATATAAAGAATATATTCTTTTCCATTTTCATGGGACATATAGAATTGTTTGAATTTGTCCAGATGGGATGATGTCATGGTGCAGGGTCAGGTGTAACTATGGCACTATGGGGTCCACATCCTGTGTCAGGAACCTGGACCTGACCCCGTGGCAACGAAAGAGGAGACAAACTGTGGCTTGAATCTGGAGAAATGCTGCAATGATCATCAATGATCAACGATAAAAAAGCTCTGATGACTTGAGAAGCGGAATGGAGTCCAATGAGCAGTAGACTTATGCCTTTTTTTGGCGGTATGTTTTCATGGAAAATCACCATACCACCACTTGGATCCAATTGATGTGGTGATTGGGGTCGGATGGGGGGATGGAGTCCCATTGGCTGCGGCAGGATGTGGCTTCAAAGGACAAGCATAACTCTTCGGCTGCTTCACCGTCGAACTCGACGCCAAAGTCCTAAACGTTCTCATGACTCCTGAAAGTGCAGAGTCAAAGCATGGACAGTGAGATTATATAAATTATTCAGGAATGTTCAGGAGTAATATATATATATAGATCAATATGTATTTCGCATATTTTATCATCATGTGTTTGATATTCAGAATACCGTTTGCTGCAGAACCGAGTCTGGTTTTCGTTTCCAAACTTTGAGCCACAACCACTATTTTATTTCAAGACTTGCCTTTACGGACTCCGCTTGCATTTTTGCTTTCAGACAACGGTCGGCTTCAAGTCACAGCATCAACTAGCAGCATTTGCGTTAAAATTCCACATCATCAGCTTGCGTCCAGCTTGCGTCCATTGCGCCTACGGTCATTTACAGTAAGAGATTTGATTGTCGAAGCCATGTTGTCAGCTCTGCGGCTGCTGGCTTTGCTTAGCTGCGGCGAAGTGTTTGTCAATGGCCATGAGGTGTCAAAATCGGACTTTGACAAATCCAAGGAAGAGACTAACTCAAATCGACATGACAGCTGCCAACGTTGGATTGTTTTCACCGTCATGCAACTTCTTATCTCGCTGCATCTCATTGCTATATAACTTGAACTCAAGGTGCCACAGTTTGTTTCCCATACTGAGAACTGGAAAGAAAGCATGGGAAGGGTGGGAAGCGTGGGAATAGCCGTGTGAACACACACAGGCCGTCTTTGTCCACATGGAGAAAGTGGCAGCTGCTCACCGCCCAAGCTGCGGCAGATTTCCTTGGTGCAACGTATCGCTCCCACTCGAGGACCGCAGCTTGGATGCGTCAGGATGCGTCGGGAGGCGGACATTTCACACCCGGTTTTCTAACATTTCTGCCTTTCTCCTTGGTGTCGGGAATGCTAAACTTTTGTACCTGGAGTTGAAATTTCGGGCAGAGACTCATGCAGTCATACTGTCATCATACTCCTCTCCCCCGAGCCCCGGCTCTCTCTCTCTCTCTCTTTTGACGGCATTTGTATAAATGTTGGTAACATTATTGATTTTCCTTCCATTTCTTATTTTTGGAAGTAGCTTGAGAAGTTCTTTCAAGAATCGGCATTTCAGGGGATGCAATCAGCATGTTTTCGCAAATGTCATCACCACTACCATCGTCATTACAATTTCAGACACGAACATAGGCATCAGCACTTCAAGAGTTGTGTCCTTAGTAAGGACATGTTGAAAGTTGAAACCTTCAGACCGCGTGACAGTCTCCTCGTCCTGAAGTGATGGCGCATATTGCCGCCCAGGTGTTGATTTGCTCGTTAAGGAAATCACAGCAGAGGCGCACAAAGAGGGTTGTGTGATGCGAAAGGGCTCAATCCATGGCTTCACAAAACTCTTGCAGTGATTGATAGATACTGATAGATGTGGAAAATGAATGAAAATGAATGAAGTAAAAAAGACAAAAAAGTCTGTTCCATTGATACCATTTTCATTCCATTTTCGCTCTGTCCAAGGAGAAGATCGCACAACTTGGCAACGACCTCTTCGGTGGAGTGCCTGCCATCGAGCCTTGCCATGAATTGCATTTGTCGTGTGAAGGTGTTTTTGCTAGACTTCAGTGACAGAATCGTCAGAATACCCTGAAGATCCCTGAAGTATTGTTTGATCAGTTCGATCCCGAAGTGACACATGATTTGGAGAAATGGTGGGTGAAGGTCCCTTATCTCTTGATCAAAGATGCTTTCAAGGGTACCCTTGTGACCTTTCCTTGAATTCAAAAACCCATGCCATCAGGGACGAATCGGACTTGACAAGTACAACTACATCCGCGAAGCTGCGCATGGTGTGCTTGCCCGAGGTGGATCTGCGGAGGGAAATCCAATGAAATCCAATCTGCAAAGCAAAAGGATGCGCAGATGATGGCATTCTGAACATTAAATTCTCATGTGGGTGTGTCTGAAAATAGTGTACCCCTAAACCCAATAGTTAATGATCATTATCCCTATTAAATGGCTATAATTGGGAATATACCCTATTTTCAGACAAACCCATGTGTTGAAAGTTTTTAAAGGCTCCGTGGCCCAAACATTGCAAAACTTATTGTCACGAGTCACAGCTGCGATCAATCGGAAAATTCTCTGGACAGGCGGCAAGCCTCCTGCCACCAGCTTCCCTCAAGTGGTTGCGATGGCAGCATCTTTCAACAGGCACAACTCTTAGTCTTACAGTATATTATATTGAGTGCTTCCCCGTCCCACTAACAGTCAGAACATGTCCTTTCCTATTACTTTGCCATCACAGAGGAGTTACAAATTTTGTCCTTCAACTCGCAATTTTGTGTAGGCATGTTTGGACTTTTTTTTTCCAAATTCAAGCTTGCAGCTGTGTGGATTCTGGCTTGCCCACTTCTGAGGTTGTACTTGTCATATCATTGTGTTTGCATTGCCCACAAAAAGGATGGTACCAAGTAACAAGTGGCTGAATGTCTTGGCATTTAGGGACCATTCAACAACTCTCCATAGCAAACGGTCTTCCCCGAAGTAGACAAAGTCAAGATTAATGTGATTTTTCTCAATTAGTGGCCGTTGTGCAGTGCATGGATGCTGCCAGGAGTCTCTTTCGGGAGGTGGGGAAGGCCGTCGGACGTGAAGCTCGTTACATGCAGGATGTGGGTGTCATGTGGGGCGACTACTTGGGTTTGGAGCCCCAGATCTGGAATACGGGAGCATTGAAAGGTACAGGTAATGACCCTGCAACCCAAAGTGTGGTAGCCTGCACGGCTAAGAGGGTAAAATTAAACGCATCTTGAGAGGTTCCGAGGCTGTATGTTGCTGACATACAGGGCAATGGGGGTCAAATTAGAGGCATGTTAGAGGTTTCGGCTGTATGTTGCCGACATACAGGGCTATGAAGGGCAACCAGAGGCATCTTAGGGTTTGTTAGGCCTAGACTCTTCCTAGACTGTATGTTGCCGACATACAGGGCTATGAAGGGCAAACCAGAGGCATCTTAGGGGTTTCCTAGACTGTATGTTGCTGACATACAGGGCTATGGAGGGCATAGGCATCTTAGGGGTTTGTTAGGATGTATGTTGCTGACATACAGGGCAATGGGGGTCAAATTAGAGGCATGTTAGAGGTTTCCTAGGCTGTATGTTGCCGACATACAGGGCTATGAAGGGCATACCAGAGGCATCTTAGGGGTTTGTTAGGCTGTACATTGCGGACATACAGGGCTATGGAGGGCAAAGCAGAGGCATCTTAGGGGTTTCCTAGGCTGTATGTTGCTGATATACAGGGCTATGAAGGGCAAACCAGAGGCATCTTAGGGGTTTCCTAGACTGTATGTTGCCGACATACAGGGCTATGAAGGGCAAACCAGAGGCATCTTAGGGTTTCCTAGACTGTATGTTGCCGACATACAGGGCTATGAAGGGCAAACCAGAGGCATCTTAGGGGTTTCCTAGACTGTATGTTGCTGACATACAGGGCTATGGAGGGCATAGGCATCTTAGGGGTTTGTTAGGATGTATGTTGCTGACATACAGGGCAATGGGGGTCAAATTAGAGGCATGTTAGAGGTTTCCTAGGCTGTATGTTGCCGACATACAGGGCTATGAAGGGCATACCAGAGGCATCTTAGGGGTTTGTTAGGCTGTACATTGCGGACATACAGGGCTATGGAGGGCAAAGCAGAGGCATCTTAGGGGTTTCCTAGACTGTATGTTGCCGACATACAGGGCTATGAAGGGCAAACCAGAGGCATCTTAGGGTTTCCTAGACTGTATGTCGCCGACATACAGGGCTATGAAGGGCAAACCAGAGGCATCTTAGGGGTTTCCTAGACTGTATGTTGCTGACATACAGGGCTATGGAGGGCATAGGCATCTTAGGGGTTTGTTAGGATGTATGTTGCTGACATACAGGGCAATGGGGGTCAAATTAGAGGCATGTTAGAGGTTTCCTAGGCTGTATGTTGCCGACATACAGGGCTATGAAGGGCATACCAGAGGCATCTTAGGGGTTTGTTAGGCTGTACATTGCGGACATACAGGGCTATGGAGGGCAAAGCAGAGGCATCTTAGGGGTTTCCTAGGCTGTATGTTGCTGACATACACGGCTATGAAAGGCATACCAGAGGCATCTTAGGGGTTTGTTAGGCTGTACATTGCGGACATACAGGGCTATGGAGGGCAAAGCAGAGGCATCTTAGGGGTTTCCTAGGCTGTATGTTGCTGACATACAGGGCTATGGAGGGCATAGGCATCTTAGGGGTTTGTTAGGATGTATGTTGCTGACATACAGGGCAATGGGGGTCAAATTAGAGGCATGTTAGAGGTTTCCTAGGCTGTATGTTGCCGACATACAGGGCTATGAAGGGCATACCAGAGGCATCTTAGGGGTTTGTTAGGCTGTACATTGCGGACATACAGGGCTATGGAGGGCAAAGCAGAGGCATCTTAGGGGTTTCCTAGACTGTATGTTGCCGACATACAGGGCTATGAAGGGCAAACCAGAGGCATCTTAGGGTTTCCTAGACTGTATGTCGCCGACATACAGGGCTATGAAGGGCAAACCAGAGGCATCTTAGGGGTTTCCTAGACTGTATGTTGCTGACATACAGGGCTATGGAGGGCATAGGCATCTTAGGGGTTTGTTAGGATGTATGTTGCTGACATACAGGGCAATGGGGGTCAAATTAGAGGCATGTTAGAGGTTTCCTAGGCTGTATGTTGCCGACATACAGGGCTATGAAGGGCATACCAGAGGCATCTTAGGGGTTTGTTAGGCTGTACATTGCGGACATACAGGGCTATGGAGGGCAAAGCAGAGGCATCTTAGGGGTTTCCTAGGCTGTATGTTGCTGACATACACGGCTATGAAAGGCATACCAGAGGCATCTTAGGGGTTTGTTAGGCTGTACATTGCGGACATACAGGGCTATGGAGGGCAAAGCAGAGGCATCTTAGGGGTTTCCTAGGCTGTATGTTGCTGACATACACGGCTATGAAAGGCATACCAGAAGCATTTTAGGGGTTTGTGAGGCTGTATGTTGCGGACATACAGGGCTATGGAGGGCAAAGCAGAGGCATCTTACGGGTTTTCCTAGGCTGTATGTTGCCGACATACAGGGCTATGAAGGGCATACCAGAGGCATCTTAGGGGTTTGTTAGGCTGTACATTGCGGACATACAGGGCTATGGAGGGCAAAGCAGAGGCATCTTAGGGGTTTCCTAGGCTGTATGTTGCTGACATACACGGCTATGAAAGGCATACCAGAAGCATTTTAGGGGTTTGTGAGGCTGTATGTTGCGGACATACAGGGCTATTAAGGGCATACCAGAGACATGTTAGAGGTTTCCTAGGCTGTATGTTACCGACATGCTATGAAGGGCAAACCTGAGGCATCTGACTGAAACACTCAATGGTCTGAAGGGCCTCAAGTGGTGGACTTCCACACCAAACCTAGCTTATCTTCCTCATTGTTGAATCATTTCCACTTGAATCCTTTGAAACCCCGAGGTCGCTATGGTGGCCTGCTGCTGCAGTTTAACGTGAACCTGTTCCGGGATCCGCGTTGGGGTCGTGGTCAAGAGACCCCAGGAGAAAGCCCTGAGCTCAGTAGCGCCTTTGCAGAGGAATACGTGCCTTGCCTACAAGAGAGGGTTAGAGGGTTGGGGCGCGGCATTTGTTGAACCTGGCGTGACCCATTGGCGGCAGGAGGACATCGGGGTGAGTCAATGCTGCAAGATCCGCTGTGTCAGACAGAAGTTGATGTGCAGCGAGGTGCTTGGCATCCAAAGCCCTATCGAAGGCACTAGCACCCCACAAGCAGGTGCTTCCTGTGCCTTGGCGGAACTTTGGTATGCAGAGGATGCGTGCTGCTGGATTTTGGAAATTTGCTCAGCGAAGGTAAGCATTTTGCAGCCTACTCGTTTGAGGGAGGACCCACTTTGCTGAACAGGCTGGGTTACTCACCGTTACTCTTGTCAATGGGATGCAGCAGGAAAGTGTTGTTGATTTGTACGCAGCGGGCGCTGAATATGCTCAATGTTTCAGACGAGAGCAAGAATGTACATTGTACATCAAAGCCATTTGTTGAGACGAGGATAAAACTACCTACCAAGTGTGTGCTTCATGTGCCGCTGCATAGGACCGAGTCTATGAGACAAACTCTGCCCGGGCAGTCCAATCTTAGCCGACACAACGAGACGCACGGCAAAAAGATGTGTGGTTTTCCAAGGCTGTTGGACCAAGTGGTTCTCATGTAAGTCGTTATTGTATGTAAGTGTCACCACCATCACCACCACCACAGTGACTGTCGTCAACCATCAGCATCAGGAGTAGAAGCAGCATCATCAGCATCAGGGGATGGAGTTTGCATGCTAGCTGCTGAGCTAATGCTGCTGAGGAATGCCATTGTGTCACGCCGTGACTTCGCAGAATCCTATGCCAAGCCCTTCAAGGCATGCGCAAAGGCCAAAGCCCTTGGAGTGATGTGTGCCTACAACCAGGCGCAGGGAGCGAAAGCTAATGTTGGACATTCCTCATCGGTTTACTCTTATGCCAATGAAGAGATTTTGCGATTTTGGACCTCTGAAATGGACACTTTGCTTTGGATAGGCCCTGTATGGTCTTATCACTGCACCAACTTTAGAGTGCCACAGCATAGACAAGTTAGACAACTTCTAGCTCCACCGGAGGTGAACGGCGTCCCTTCCTGCGGAAGCAAGCGGCTTCTGCGTGGGCTCTTGCGGGAGAAGTGGGGCTTTGACGGTGTCGTCGTGACCGACTGTGACTCCATTTCGGTCTCTTGCCATGCAGAAACGTTGGTATCACCAAGGAAGACAGAGGCTAGTGGGGGCAACCTTCCGTCTTGGCACCATACTGGAAACTTCCATTTTTTTTTAGATATTGGGTGATCTTCGAGTATTGTAGACTATTTCCTCTCAACAAATGCATTTGCACTGGCCAACTCAGTGCCCATGTGACAGTGTCACTGAGGACATGTACGCGCTGCAAGGCTTCAAGTCGACCCCTTCTGGAACAGTCCGAGCTGCACTGGCTGCTGGCACCAATGTCGCTTGCAGCCCAGGTGCCAAATGATTTTGAATTGCAGCCGAGTGGGTATCAAGGGTATTGCAAGACCCCCAATCCACAAGCTTTTGAATCTTTTGATCATTTTTGGATATTTTTGGTATGTATTTGCTGGCATTAAATCATTACTTCCGGTGAAGACTGTTGCTGGGAAGGCAGCACGGATCCACTCTGATCAATACACTTCGGTATTGGTTTGACCGTTTGACCTCGCCAATTTTCCTCCAAGTTATTTTGTAGCAGAGGAGTGCGCTCCGCATGCTCCGCGATGACAGCTGCAGGTTTTTTCAAGAAGTATGCCACTCCTGCGATGAACCCATTGCTGACACAAGCTTTGAAGGATGCACTGCGGGTGCGATTCCGCTTGGGTGAGCCACTGGGTATCGATTTGGATTTCCTGACCGTACAAACCAAGATAGATGTTGAACTGTTGAGAAGCAGACTGCCGAACAGAATGGGTCCAGATGGGTCCAGTTTCGATGGCTGCTTTCGATGGGTTGGAACTCTTACATCACCTCGGATTTAGACATATTTGGAAGCTATATCTATATCTATATAATTCTATATATATATAATATACTAGTATATATGATATTTTAAGAAATCTCCTCCAGGAATTCCTGCAATTCCTGAGACATCCTGAGACCACCTGAGACCACGCCCTGCTGAGGTTTGACCCTCCGCCACCACTTCTCACCTGGCCGGTGGTGAGCCGTGGTCATGCCGAATTGGCGTTCCTTGACAGAAGTTCTGTGGTGAGTGAAGGATGGCCATCCCTTGCAGGTGGGGATTAGGCGAGTCAATGCTTCAAACCAAAGCCTTGCAACCAGTTGATGCTGATATGAATGGTAGATTCTGGTAGATCATGAACCAAAGACATTTTGCAAGTACTTTGTGGTGCTTGCAGCAACATGTGTTAACACATGTCAAACTATCAAGGTTAATTCAAGAGAACATGCCCCGATCTTGCCCTCGAGGGGTCTCAAGAGCTGCCATGCCCTTGACGCTCGATGCAGCGAAGCCAAGGTTGGATGCTGCATTGCAAAGCACTGTCTTGCTGAAGAACGATGGAAGGCCGTAGGGTCTGCGACTTGTGAGGGGAAGGATTTAGGATGAACCAGTTTTGCCCACTTTATGGCGGGGTTTCCGAATCTTCACAACCCCTTGTTGTTCTCCTGAACTTCCTACCATCAGGTTGCCGCTGCAACGCAATTTGCGACTGGCAGTTTATGGACCTTTGAGGAATGCCACGCAAGAATTGTTGGGCAACTACCAGGTGGCAATCAGCATTTTGAGCTGAGGGATGTTGATGGGATTCATGCCTTTTGACAATTGATTGATGAATTGGTTGAGTGTTCCGGACATTTTCTTCCTAAAACTTCATTTGACATACTGTATGCATGTTACTGTGGGCTTGAATTTATAGTGAGATGGCATATACACAGTGTATATTATAATATAATATTAATATGTTTTTGAATTATGTGGAACAGATCAGAAACCGAACAGGCTTGGCCAGTTGACGTGGTGACACCGCTCGACGGCTTGAGGAAGGCCTTAAACGGGAAGCCCATGAGCTTCAACTGGGGGGGATCTCAAAGTCACCGGGGGTTTCAATATTAAAATAGTCGAATGAATAGAATGAATAGATGATTTGAGGGTACCCTCTGGTAATTTAACATAGCTATGGAAAGATCCACCATTTTTAATGGGAAAAATCCACTATTTCGATGGCCATTTTCAATAGCTACGTTAAATTACCAGAGGGTACAGCCATGGATTGGATCCAAATGGATCCATCAAGGGCTGTGCAGGTGGCCACTGTACTGACACCTGGCGACGACATGGAACTCTGTGGCACAGCGCCCGCGCCCGGACCTGAGGACCGATTTCGGTTCTTGAAGGATCGTAAGTTCAGCCTCAGGCATCAGTCCAAAAACTTCAGCCATCCGTCCGAATCTGTCCCTTCCTATTAGAGTCATTGGAATATGGTATGATTACTGTATATACGAGCTTCAAATGTCATGAGTTGAAATCCTTCCTTTCTTGCTGTTCTGCTATGTTGGTCCAATGCATCTATCCTCTCAAGAACATTGCCGATGCAAACGAGTCTTGAGCACCATACAAGGATCATGTCAGAAACATGATGCCCAGCGTTCCTATCTCAAAAGACACAAAGAGGACGGCCAAGCACAAACTGTCACAGAACAAAGGCGTTGTGTCATTTCTGCAGGGAAAGCGTGAAAGACGCTGGCTTTCCAAAAATCCACCTCTCAACGAGGGTGCAGTTGGCGTCAACCTGTCGTAGGACGCCGGCACATGAACATCACAAAGTCCTTAGGTTTGCCCAACAAAGATCAGCCAACCGTTGATATCGTTGATCTGGATTTGCAGCTCCACGGCTCTGGGTGGACAAACATCGCGACTATCGCGACTTCGCTGAGGCCCTCTAGACCTGATGCTGATGCTGTGATCATCGTCGCTGGCCTCACGGGCGATGACCCAAAGGCCGGTGAATCGCCAAAGCATGGTGAATTGGATGGGTAGCCGATGGTGAACCCAATTGTACTTATCTACAGTATGTATAATATATATATATATAATATATATATATGTATCTGTATATGTGTCTTTACATGCTTGACTGTCAAATATGTTTGGGATGATCTCCAATGACTCATATTGGATGGGATGAAACCGCCAATCCGCGATTGGATGGGGATATTTCTGGCCACGCTTTGAACTGTGAGGTACAAGATCCTGACCTTCGGCCCAAGGATTCGAAGCTTTGCAAAGGAGGCGCAGTGACTCATGCTGTGAATTCTAAAGATCAAGCGATCCAAGAATTGATTGGAGCATCGTTAGGTCTCCTGTAAGAGAGTTGAGGCAGTGTGTTGGATTTTAGGAGCAAAGTTCAGTGTTCATGTTGCTGGATACAGGGCAGCCTGAGTCTGTTGTGTTCAGGCAACCAAGATCAAAATTGTGAGTTGAATTGCAGCAGATTTCTTGGAGAAATGCGAGACACCACATAGAAATCATAGAGCCCTTAGTTAGGAGAGACCAATCACACATCCAATCGGCAGGCTGCTTGGAGGGAGAAGGTTGCGATCGACCAAACATCACCCTTCCCAAGGGACAGGAGAAGCTGAGAAGCCTTGGAAATTGTTGGCATATTGCAATCAAAATAGCTGGCAAATGGCTTTTCATCCTGGTATGAACTACGGTATCATCTGGTTTGGCATATCCCAATCTCCCCATCTTTGATCATAAGTGGGTGGCTCTTCCCATTTGGCTCCCTGATTTTAGTGGGGAAAATGAAAGTGTGCTGGATTTGTACGCTCTCTTGGAATTTCCCAAGACGTGTTCAACAGACAGGAGCTATCATGGATGAATGTGGGGCGCAACTAGCAAGAATATGCAAAAACGGCGTTGAATTACCAGATTACCAGGGCAGAGGTTGCTTCCAATGAACCTTCAATCTGTTCCCACCCGTTGTTCTTCCAGGAAGAGTTGGTTCGCACTGCAGTGCCACAGCTGAATTCCTTGTGACAAGAGTGTAGAATGATCCTCAGATCAAAATTGGGGGTCAAAAAATTGAGAATCTTTTGGGTTTATTTCATTCTCTATATACTCTTATGGGATACTGTAGTGGCTGCTGCACCATTGTCTCTGAATCTTGCACTGACTAGTGCGTTCCTTCTTGTTTCGTCCTTCTCCTGGCACTTGTGTATGTCCTGAAAGTCATGCTGAACATTTGAGGCTTCCTGGAATTTGCCAGTGGTCCTGGTGTTGATTAGTGGCGGCGCTCTGGACATCTCGAGTGTGAAGGACCTTCCCAATTTGGCAGGAATCATGTGGATGGGCTTCTTGCTGCAAAATGGCTCCAAGCTAAGCAGCAGTGGCCTTTGTCTTACCTTTCCTCGCGTTCTGTGAAGTGCTCTGTAGATTCACAACAGTGGCAATATCCCACAAACCAGCTGCAGCATGCTAGGTATGTTGGAATTGCACAAGTAAACGTTTGTACAAGCCATCATTAAACCAAGTTTGTCCCACGGGATGGCTTCCGGGATGGCTTTCCTTTTTTGACACCCGGCACGCCATCACAGAAAACCTCATCCGGTGATATCCAGTGGACTAGAATCCAAATCTTCCTAGCGGATCCTAGCGGTGTCATGGAAGCACTGAGGCTATCCAGGACAGCTTGGAGGCTTGGCCTTGGGGCAGCTCTTGGTGGGTGATGTGTCGCCCAGTGGACGGCTCTCCCAGACCTTCTACCGCAGCCTGGCAAAGCGTAGTGACGTAGCCCCCTGGGGGCCCCCAATCAGCGAATAAAGACCGAGCCCAGGCAACCAGTACCTGGAGCACGTGCCCATGAACGACTATAGCTTCCCCGCGCGCGCAGGCTACCCGGGAAGAGGCTACAGATTTGTGCAGGACCAGCAGCTTTATGTCAAAATTGACCACATATATATATATATATATTCAAATATCATCCAAACCAGTGGGGTGTTTGAATGGTTTGACTGCTTCCTGATGCTGAAGGACGAATGGGTTCTGTATCCTTTCGGCTTTGGTCTGTCTTACGATACCTTCTCGAAACTTGGATTGATGCAACACAGTGGATTTGTGCATTAAGACAATGTTTTGATACTTCCAATGAGTTTGACCAGTTCAGCTGGGTGCCCCAAGCTGTAACTCATCAATGAATTTCGAGCCAATTCTTGAGGCATAGAGTGGCATAGACAAGAAAATTCTGATAGACATAGTAAAAAATCTGAACAAAGACATTTGAAGACGGGAGCGAGTCGAACAGATGAACACCTGGCCTAACAAACAGCTGGGCAACAAGTATACCATCTGCAGGTATTCTTGGGAGCAGCTGAACCACCCTATGGACGTGGTTGAGGCAGAGGACCGCGGCCTCAGAAGCAGATTTTTAAATAGCCCATTGGTTTCGCCAAATCCTGGATATAGATAGATGGAGTAGAGTCGGTGTAGAGCCTTTTCTTAACGCAACTCAGAAAGCAATGAAAGGATATGAAAGGAAGCACTGTGTCGTGCAGATTCTTCAGCACGTAGCCCAGCCAGCCGAGCTAGTGTGATGCGATCAGGAAGACGCGCTCACTATGACTAATTATCACTCATTCTTGACTTTTCAACGTGTGCTGAAACGCAACACGAGATGTAGGTTGATAGATCTCAGAGTTGAATTTTGATGCATTTTGTTCCTTTGCATATCTTTGCATGTTCGTCGTTCCTCACCGTGCCGGAAGGATGAGGATGAGGGTCTCCGCGGCTGTCGGCTGCAACTGCAAGTTACATCTGCTGGCAAAAGCGACGTCTCTGTGTTGTGCCTTCGGCTGATCAATTCTTACTGTTGCAATCAGCCGTGGTCTTGATGGTCCACATCCACATGATGGTCCACAAAAACTGATGTCAATCGGATGGCCGAAACCCTTCCAAAGTCCATCAAAGTCGTTTATTCTGGATGGTGTTGTTTTGCACGGGCTTTCCATTGAAGCAGATGAAGCTCGAAAACTGAAGTGGCTCTTAAATGTCTTGCAACAGACTGGCACAGCAAGCATGTTTCGAAACGTATTCCTGGAACTGCAGAACATGTAGGAGAAAGAATGCCATGATATAGGATACTAGATGCTGGACCCAGGTTCTTCCTCCGCCCACCGTCCGGTCATTCTGGTGCCCTGCAAAAGCGCCTGGTTCATTTCGAGCGATTGAATGCTGCAAGGCTCCAGGGGCCCAGGGGTGAGGTCAGGTTATGTCCCTATGTCAGTAGGTTTTCCATCCCAGGATCCAAGTTGGAAAGGCATGGCCCCATGGCCCCATGGCCCCTCTGGCTTCGCCATGCTGCGCCATGCTTCGCCAGGTCGCATTCGGTGCCTGTGACCTTCCGCCCCCGGGACTTCGCCTTGTACCTGGACGGGAACGATGCCCGCGATGCGAGCGATGCGAGCGATGCAGATGAGCCCAGGCCACAACTGGTCACCGGGACATGGACCGTGGAAGTGATCCTGGGCAGCACCACACTGGTGGGATTGGGGCGTGGATTGCTATGGATCAGAGGATTAAATATGGATTTGCTTGGGTCTTCATGCCTGAATAGAGCCATCAAGGGTTGATCTGTTTGATTTGATTAGTTTTGGAATTTGACTGGTTGAAAGTGCACCTAAAGTGCTAGCTGCTAAAGCAAAGCTAGTTGGACTGGTGTAGCAGGAGATCGGACCAATACACCCAGACTCTTCGCTTCCAGTGAGGAACCAGCCTGCTGATTTGAGTCATGAGATCGTTGTGACAGAGCAAGGCTGCTCAGTGGGCAGTGCACCAATTTTGCTTTGAAGAGCTTGGTGTTTCCTCACGAGACCGTGATTTTTACAGTTTCCTTGTAATTCCTTGTATATATCCCTGTGCCAGATGCGCACCTCATTTGCTCAGTGTACAGCACCGATTTTGTTATGACAATAACGCGTGCCAACCTTGTGTTTCGAAGTAGTCGACGGGTCACTTGAAGCCACAGGCGGTCGGCAAATTTCCGTTGCCACAGTCGCAGCAGTCGAAGGCTTGAAGTGATTCCTGCAATGGCAGGACCTGTCGCAATGTGTGAAGCTTGCATGAGTTTGGAGGCAATGTCCTTGAATTTGTCCACAGGGCTCGAATGGTGACTTGAGCTGAGATATGCAGCTCTACTAATTTATCCTCCCTTCGAAGCCCTGTCATTACCATCTGGATTGCTGTGATTGCTGTGCAACCAGAAAAGCTCCTACTGCATATCAGACAACTGAACGAGACTCTTTAGTTGTTGTACTCATTGTATCAATGATTGTACTCAAGTAGATGTGAGTTCCCTAATGTTCCCTGGGCGGCGAATCGCGGCAACGAAGCCTTGGGGCTTCCGAGGCTCCAATCAGAAGGACTCGTCAGAGAGGCGTCGCAGCAGGATGGCTCGGAGTCTCAGGAAATGTCACCGTCGCGACCCTGCTGAACTGCTGTAGATCCCAATTTCTCGAGAAAAACAACCAAATCAAACAACAATGATTGTTTCACTCAGGTTCTTTTCTGACTCTGGAATGCATTCCTCATCATTCCTGTTTCATCCTGTTTCCTGTTGCAATCCAAAGTGCTGCCAGTGAGGCTGGACCACCTTTGCTCGTTTCTCTGGCGCTTTGTGGGAAACCTTTGTGGATGTTTGGAGACCTTGGAGCTTTCAGAGCTTTCGGAGCTTTCGGAGCTTTCGGAGCTGCATTTTCAGCAAGTTCTTTCATGCAGTGATGACTAGTGATGCTCATTTTAAAGAGGATTGGTGAGGAAAAATATGGAAAAACTAGCTTGGCTTTTTGGGTGATGTGTAGACCGCATCAGTGATTAACCATTCCTGGGAATTCAAGAATAAAGACTCGTTTTAAGTAAAGAAGGAGCCAACATGAGTCAACAATAAATAAGGAATTCGTTTGCAACTTGCATCAACTTGCCGACAGAAACATACCAAAAAAATCCAAAAAATGCTACCCTGCATGCTTTCGTATTCAGGTTTCGGCGTTTCCGTGTGTCCTTGTCACCTGTGTCTACCCTAGGTGGCCACATCGCGAAGTCCCCGCGAGCGCAAGGGGTGGCTCTGATGCGTTTGAGCGGCGAGATTTTAGGGTTTGAGGCTTTCAACTTTTTTCAGCCTCTGCAACCAATCAGCAACACCAGGCAGTTGGTTGAATAGATCCACTATATTTATCAATAATTCAAGTAGCTGCAAGTCCATCAGTTATTTCCTCTTGGAGCAGGCAGCAGGATGGTTTTCATGACGCATTTCTTCATATTTCTTCCCTTTTAGCGAAAATGGCTGGTAACTAGTCGCGACCTTGAAGGTTGCGCAATGGCCCTCCCATGTTGAGGGGCGGGCTAAGGGCACTGATCTTTTACTGTAGGTGTCGATCATGTGCACATTTTCTCGATCTCCAGTGCACTCGAAGCTTCAGCTTGAATGCTATATATACATCAGAATTTGTTGTGGAAAGAGAGTCGTCTCACTCGGCTGACGCATGAAGTAAACACCTGTTTCAAGACTAGAGTTTATTGCGATGTTCCCAGTGGAATGTAGGGCCATGTAGGGCCTTTCGTTCATGTTGGAAAAAAGCAGTCAACTTGTTCTCGGAATCTTTGAAACTTCTTTTGACAGGTGGGAATACCGAAAGGGAATCGAAGGAATGTCCATGGGCAGCATGGCCTACGAGATGCTCACAGTGTGGTGAACTCAGAACCGACTCTGTGAAGTGCGCCCAAGGATGCATGGCTTATGGCTTGGAGGATATGGCAAGTCCAGTGAAAACCCAGTAGCCACACCTCGAAAGATCTCGAAAGTAGAAGATTTGTTCCTCAGTGATGGGATGCCTGGGATGCCATGAGGTCTGAAGATACCAAAGACTTCCAGGAACTGCAAAAGGAATACGAAGCTGGATATGGCGTGCGAGCTCTCAGAGGAATATACTGAATCATACTGAATCCAATCATATCCAATCCAATTCATGGAATTTGGCTTCATTATGTTTAATTGGCATGCCATGTACCCTGGCTGTTACAGATGAATGAACACTCGTTTGTCTCTGGCCTGACCGTTTTCTCTGCACATTTTGGAAGGGGGTGATAGGGTGATATGGGCAGAAAGGCCCTGGCTAGAATGTTGCGGGCGCGAGGTTCCATTCCTGAACCTTTCTGCCCGGAAGCTCACTGCCATGACCAGAGATGTTCCACCCCCCTGCCGAAGGGATGCCCTTGCTGTTTTTGTTTACACGTCCAGGATCATCTAAATGAGCCTTGACTTTGATGCTCTAGGTTTATATGAACATATATATATATATATATGAACATATATGAACATGTGCTGACGCTTGAGTTTCGGGGTTTTGGGCTTTCGTTCACAGAACAGGCAGATTTGAAGCGCTTGGAGCGTTTGAAGTGTCACAGGGACGTTGCCTGTCAGTAGTTTTGTGGTTGGTGCTATTTGGCTCTACAGCGGACTCACATACCGCTCTCGTTGCCCGATGAACTCACTCACGTCATATCACGTCATGAGCTGGAGATTGTGCCATTTCTGGATTGCCAGTCTGCACGTACCTTTAGCACTTGCACTACGAAGCAGCTACGGAGAAGTGCAGAGTTGTGCCTACACCGAGCTCTATGATGCCCAGGTGGAAAGGACCTTCTGGGGAAATGTTCAGGTGAAGTATTGCGGGACATCTATCACCCTGACTCAGTCATCTGCCCAGCCATCTGCGTGGACCATTGTGAACTGGTGGGATCCAAAGCTCCAAAACACTTCTCTGACCGATGATGACCTGAAGACTTTCAAGGACTTTAGTGCCGCATTGTACTCCGTTAGTGACTGTTAGTGCAGCATGTAGCAGCTTCAAAGGTGGACCTCCATTTGGCAGTCGGGTAGGCTTCGTTTTAGGCCAGGAAGCGCATGCCGCATGTTTGGCATTCCACTTCATCGAAACAACGCTGGGAGGCAGTGGTACTGTTTGCATACTACTGAATTAACAGAATACATTTCAAACGTGGCCAACCTAGGAGCTTACACATGCTCCAGTGCAAACATTATCATTATAACTTATAACTATAGCTGTAGCTATAGCTATGTACCAGTAGTACCGCGCAAGGCGGTGGCGGAAGTTTCAAAAATAGGAAACCTATAGGAGAAGTTGGTTGTTGTGAATCAGGGATGGCAGAGCGAAGCCACTGATTGACCGAAAGGTGGTTGGAGTTGTGTTTGCTGGAATGGTTGCAATGGTTGCAGTGGTCACCTCACCCACAACTGTTGGATGTAGTGTGATGTACTGCAACTGTAGTTGTAGTTGTAGCGTAGTGGAGTTGTAGTTGTGGTGTAATGTAATTAGTGTAGTGTAGTTGCAGTCATATGGTTGTAGCTGTAGTTGTTTTGTAGTTGCAGTTGTAGTTGTTGTAGTTGTAGTTGTTGTGTGGTTGTAGCTGTTGTGTAGTGTAGTTGTAGTAGTAGTAGTAGTAGTAGTAGTAGTAGTAGAAGTAGTAGTAGTAGTTGTTGTTGTTGTTGTTGCTGTAGTTGTAGTTGTAGTTGTAGTTGTAGTTGTTGTAGTAGTAGTAGTAGTTGTTGTTGTTGTGGTTGTTATAGCTGTAGTTGTTGTAGTTGTAGTTCTAGTTGTAGTTGTTGTGTAGGTGTAGTTGTAGTTGTAGTTGTTCTAGTTGTAGTTGTTCTAGTTGTAGTTGTTGTAGTTGTAGTTGTTGTAGTTGTAGTTGCTGTTGTTTTTGTTGTTGTTGTAGTTGTTGTTGTTGTAGTTCTAGTTGTAGTTGTAGTTGTAGTTGTTGTGTAGTTGTTGTAATTGTAGTTGTTGTAGTTGTAGTTGTTGTGGTTGGTGTTGTTGTTGTTGTTGTTGCTGTTGCTGTTGTCGTCGAAGTTAAGGTAGTTAAGTTAGTGAAGTTAGTTAAGTTAATCAGTGTCTACTTTTTCGACATCTTCACGTCAAAAAAGGCTCAAAACCCTCAGTTTTTTACACGTTTGACTTCGAAATGTGCTTCGCGCCACAACGGCGTGCACTTTTTCGACACTTTTTCGACATCTGAACCTCCAAAAGTGGTCCGAGACCGTCAGTTTTTTACACTTTTGACTTCGAAATGTGCTTCGCGCCACAACGGCGTGCACTTTTTCGACATCTCAACTTCCAAAAGTGGTCCGAGAATGGTGTGTTTTGTACAGTTTGACTTGGAAATGTGCTTCGCGCCACAACGGCGTGCACTTTTTCGACATCTCAACTTCCAAAAGTGGTCCGAGAATGGTGTGTTTTGTACATTTTGACTTGGACATGTGCTTCGCGCCACAACGGCGTGCACTTTTTAGACATCTCAACTTCCAAAAGTGGTCCGACGCTGAGGTGTTTTGTACATTTTGACTTGGAAATGTGCTTCGCGCCACAACGGCGTGCACTTTTTCATGTCTCATCTGGCCAGCTGGCTCCGCACCTGCCGCTTTAGCGAGCCTACTTTTCGACCCTCCGGAGCCACAAATCATTGGAAAAACACAGTGAATCGCGACTTTCCTATCTTTTCGCGCATCTACCTCTTCTTTCTTCTGATCTTGTCTCTTCTGACTCTTCTCACCTCTGCGTTTCAACTGTCCATATTGTCGGAAGTTTCACTTCTAATACATTGTATGAATTGTATTATGAATTATATATATATATATACACGTATATATCCCATTAATACAATGAGCAAGATTCTGCTTTGCCAACGTTTCGAGGAGCACTTGGGCTCATATGAGCATTCCATGGCAGTCGGAATGCTTGGTCGTGGTTTGGTCCCGGCACAACCGGAAAATGGCGAGTGGGCGTGGAAACAGAGCGACCCAGCGCCCAGTCCGCAAGAGTTACGCCGCAGCATGATGCGCATGATGAGTCTCCACTCTTTGAGTTTGACAGGATAGCAGCAATTGGTGGGTGATAGACTCCTTTCGACTCTACATATGGCATCATATATATTATATATATTATAGTATATTATACTATATCTTATCAATCTCTATATATACATATTATATCATATAATAATACATATATATATAAAATAATTTATGTGTGTTTGATGCACTTGTTGACTAAGTATAAGTCCTACGAGCCCAGGGGAGTGATTCCTTTGTTTTTTTTGTTTTCGGAGGTTGCTTTGGTACGAGAAGTGCTGAACTTCGAGGTGCCCTGGCGTTCAATAGTGGATAGATCATGCTATACAATGCTATATATATATACAATGTCTGATTTGGATTGATCCACAAACGATCGATCTTGTTTGAGACCTATATCATCTTATGCAGTAAACGATAGTAAAGGTTTGATCGCCTGATCAACGTCGTGGGGTTGGTCGTCAGCTTGACAACTGCCTGAGAAGATGATTTCATCCGACATCTTTTTTTGCCCGCAATTTTTGTGTTGAGGTGAAGTTGGCACGTGGCTTGAACAAACTACCGGACGCGACTAATCAGACCTACTTTTGGAGAGGCCATGGCTGAACATGGCCTGGTGCACTTTTTGGTTTTGTATCATTTTGAACATAGGTTGGGTGCATGTCTGTTTGCTTCTGTTTCACGATATTATTTCTTTGCTTTTCTTCAGTCAGTCAGACTGAGTTGAATTCTCCCATGGTGCATGCTGATCCTATGCGTCTCCCGTCTCCAACTGTTTTCTTTTAAATTTCTTTTCGGAACAGTAATCACCTTGTTTCTCCTTGCACACACACACACACTCACACTTACCAAGCCCTTTGAGTCGTTGATATGCTGGGTTCTTGGTCCTGGCCTTGAACTGTTTTCAGCAATGTGTCAGTCTTTTTGGCAAGTCAGGTGCATGGCTGCCGCCAGAGGCACTTGATTCTCTGAGGGCCGGCTCCACGGTGAGCTTCCCGTGGTTTCAATCTGCAACAACAGATGAAGTGCATTCCTATACGCTGCTTGGGCTCAAAGATGTCCAGTTTTTGAGAGGAACAAAATAATCATCTTGATATTTGTTGATCAAAGTTTTATAGAATGCTCAAACATGTCCAGTGCAAGCTACTGACCAGACGAATCGGTGACCAGGTTTATTCACACGAAGTGGCAGCCTACATTTTGCGCGCCATCTTGTGAACGGCGAGGCAGCTTGTCGATGTTCAGCAAAGCAAACCATTTCGATGCGGACAAAGTCCGATTCCGAAACCATGTTTCGACGCTTCCGCAACCAAATTTCGACGATTCCGCAACCAAAATCAGACACGCTTCCGCAACCAAAAAAAGGCGCTTCCGCAACCAAAAAAGAACCGATTCCGCAACCAAAAATAACCGATTCCGCAACCAAAAAAAGACGATTCCGCAACCAAAAAAAGGCGATTCCGCAACCAAAACAAGAGGATTTCGAAACCAAAAAAAGGCCATTCACCAACCATTATTCGAATGACTCAGAAACCAACATCCGCGTCACAATTGCGGCCACAGTCAACATAGCATCGTCTCCAGATGCCGGGGGGTGGGGTGGCGTGGGGTGGGGTGGGGTGGGATAATAACGTCCTGGCAGCTGCGTTCCTTCCTCTGACACACTTGTGGCCACACTCAACATGGAATCGTCCCCAGATGCGGTGGGGTGTGGGATAATAACGTCCTGGCAGCTGCGTTCCTTCCTCTGACACACTTGCGGCCACACTCAACATGGCATCGTCTCCAGATGCGGGGGGGTGGGGTGGGGTGGGGGGTGGGATAATAACGTCCTGGCAGCTGCGTTCCTTCCTCTGACACACTTGCGGCCACACTCAACATGGCATCGTCTCCAGATGCGGGGGGGTGGGGTGGGGTGGGGTGGGAGTCCTGGCAGCTGCGTTCCTTCCCTGACAACGCGGCCACATTCCTGGCATCGTCTCCAGATGCGGGGGGTGGGGTGGGGTGGATAATAACGTCCTGGCAGCTGCTTTCCTTCCTCTGACACACTTGCAGCCAGACTCAACATGGCATCGTCTCCAGATGCGGGGGGTGGGGTGGGGTGGGATAATAACGTCCTGGCAGCTGCGTTCCTTCCTCTGACACACTTGCGGCCATGGCATCGTTTCCAGATGAAGAGACAATATAATGTTCCAGTGCATGGAGACAGGCTCTCAAGAGATCACGCCGTCCACGGCTGTTCTAGGCAGGTGGTCACGGGCAGGCTCACCCTTGTCTTTATAGTAGACCTTTATAGCTTCTTCCCTCTTTCGAAACTTCTGTCACACAACTAACTAACTTAAATAACTAAATTAACTAACTTGACTAACTTGACTAACTTAACTAACCTAACTATCTTAACTAACATAACTACCTTAACTAACTTAACTAGCTTATATAACTAACAAACTAACTAAGTAACTGAGGTAACTTAACTAATTATCTTAAATAGCTTAATTCACGCAAACCACTTAACTAACTTAACTAGCTTTACTAGCGTAACCGACTGATCTAACGGAACTAACACAACTAACTCAACTAGCTAGCCAACTTAACTACATCAAGTATCTAGCTAACTTAACCAACCTAACTCACTTAACCGACCAACTAACTAAGTAACTCGTCTCATCTTAGCTGACTCAATTAACTAACGTAACTAATTTAACTAACTTAACTAACCCGACCAACGTAACTAACTTAACTAACTTAACTAATTAGATAGATAGATGGATAGATAGACAGATAGATAGATAGACAGATAGCTAGACACATAGATAGATAGATAGATAGATAGATAGATAGATAGATAGATAGACAGATAGCCAGATAGCTAGAGAGCTAGAGAGCTAGAGAGATAGAGAGCTAGAGATCTAGATAGCTAGATAGATAGATGGACAGATAGATTGATAGAGAGACAGGCAGACTGCTAGATGGCTAGAGAGCTAGATAGCTAGATAGATAGATAGGTAGATGGACAGATAGATAGCCCGCCTGTGGATCCATCAGTGTGTTCGCTCTGCCATCCATGATTCTCAACAACCAACCTGTCCTATAGGTTTCCTATTGTGCAACTTCCGCCTTGATGCTTCGAAAAGAAAAGAAATGCACACCGCTTGATTGCTGAGCCGTGCCATTTTTGGTTTCCAGGTGTCCTTGGTTTCGGAATCATCCTTGGTTTCAGAATCATTTTTTTGGTTTCAGAATCATTTTTGGTTGCAGAATCATCGGTTTTGGTTTCAGAATCATCCGGTTTTGGTTGCAGAATCATCCTTGGTTTCAGAATCATTCCTCATCCTTTCGATGCAGTTGAAAAGCAAATGCGTTGAAGGTTATGCCTTTCCTGTCCATTTTCACATCGAGAGCTGCCATGCCAAGGACGCAGACACCATGCATTTGAGTTTCTGCTAATTTTACGATGTTTTCCTGACAACTCTCAAAAGATTCAAGTTCCACAGCACTGTTTCCTATCAAAACTCAGCACGGCTTTCTTTCAAGACCTGCTTCTTTCTCTGCGAATGAAAGCCGGAAGTCTTCGGCTGCCCTAAGATTTGCGTCTCTAGTCACTATAGTCTCAGCCTGCGAGGATATGCGGAAATGGAACGCAGATGAGTCGGAGTTTATCCTTTTGCCAAATTTGCGCTTTGAAGTTGTGAATGTCACAAAGATCGCCAACGATCCTGAGCCTTGGCCCAAATGGAGTACAAGTGAGTGAAGGTGTACTGGAAGTGTGTACTTGCAGAATCTTGCAGACAAGACGCTACAAATCATGATGTAAACCAGGCAAACGAATCAACCTGACAGTGTGCATTCATGGTAGTGCTGGATCATGCTGGATCAGGGACGGACATGACTCCAGCATCTTGCTCCAGATGCTTAGTAAATGGGTTAATCCAGGAAAAGACAGGAAATATATGGAAATATGATTTGGCTCCAGGATTTCCATAGATTTCCATAGCATCCCCCTTTGCCTTTGAAAAGCCCTTTGAATCAACCACTTCTGATGGCTCTGTTGGCTAAGCTGTTGGCGCCTAGGTTTGGGAGGCCACGGCAAAGGACAGCTTTTTCTCGGACGTTGACAGATTGAAAAGTATCTACATGTATCATCATGTATCTATATCCCATATAACTATATAATTATATAAGATCATAGAAGATGATGTTAGATAATTATATATGTATAATGCACTTCTTGTTACTTTCAAGGTGCTGAACAGCTTACCGCTTTGAAAGCTGCCGCTGGGGCGCGAGGAAATGGAAGCATGGCTGAGGCAGAAGCACGAGTTGCCAGAGTGGTACATGAAGCAGGACTTTTTTCGCAGCAACAAGGACTCTCACAGGGAAAGCCTGGAAATCAAGAATTTCATTCCGCAGATTCCTGCGGTGCCATCATGCAGTGAATCATTCAGGTATTCAGGTAGCGAAAGAGTCTTTCCATGAGATTTCCATTTCGCCATTGAATCATGTGGTATAAACCATCCCCAAATGGTAGGTATTTACTGCATTTGGGTTTGCACCAGCCTGCCAGGACCCGAAAGTAGTGGGGCCCTGGCCCAAAGTTGCTGACGTGGTGAGAGATTGGCACATGAATGGACCTGTCTTCCTCGCTTGGTACAACGTCAGGCAAGGATGGCTGCCAGAAATTTTTAAACTACAACCTAACTGGATTGAAGTTTTCTATTTCGTAAATACATACAAGTACCTGACGTGTGGTTGTACGAGCTTTAGTTCCACCAATCACCAATCACAGTCATCAAAGCAGGGAAGTTTTGATCCTGGTGGCTGGGTGGCCCAATGTGGCCCATGGAATTTCAGGAATCTGTCGAGTGACGCCTTTACTTCGGATAGCGTTCTTGTCACGGGCAAAACTTGTAGATTCATCGGCAGATTTTGGATGATTTTGTGGCAGGTTTGACAGACTGCTATGGTCTACTTTCAGAGTTGGAACTGCTTATATATTAATTGTACCAACCCAAGCACTCTGACCCAATAAACGATTGTCAAGATGTCCTACAAGGCACAGAGTTAGGTGAGCTAAGCAGTCCAGAACACAGGTCTGTATGTACTAGTATCTCAAAAGCCTGTCTGTGCGCCACGTGGGGAGAAGATGTGTGTCCAGTGTACGAGTTCTGGTCCTAAACCTTTGCGTCCAATGATCTGCACGTGAACAGCGTAGGCCACAATTTGTCTGTCTTTCAGTTCTTGCTGGCTGCAGGCTGGTATTGTTCCTAGTAATATCTCAAAATCTTCTGGTTTGGTTTTGGACGGAATGTGATACATCATCGTGTGCTGAAGTGGATTTCTCGCCCTGCAAGGTTTACAAACCCAAACAATGGACTGGACAAGGAGATGAACATGAGCTTTGAGGAAACTTTTGATTTACGCAAGGCAATGGATGGACGCTTTCGCCTCGCAACCCTCGGGGGTTACCGCAAGACTCCCAACTCTGCAAGATTTTTCCATCGAGTTGAACTGCGAGACGCCCTTCCATGCCAATGAGTATAATGACTGCAGGCAGGCTGGCTGCAACGCTAGTGCAGCTATGTTCTCAATCCTGCACGAGCAGAAAAAAAGGAGATCAATTGCTCACGGTGCCGTATATTTGACAAAGCTGTCTAGCAAGTGGCGGCAAGAACTGACGCAATCCATTGCTCCCTTATTGGGTCTTACTTCAAGTACTGCCAGCAGCTTGGGGTGGAGATTGTGACAAATCTTATGATGTTGTGCGCTTGGTTTGGATGATTGGCTTGAAGCACTGGGCAGTGGTGCAACTGATTATGTAGGCATTTCCAACAGTGTCGCCCAGCCAAAGCAAATCGTCTTGTGATTCAATCCAGACTACATCAAACCTTTCTGTAATGGCCACCTGTGGCCACTACTCAGAAGCTTACCACATACTACTCATCCAAGCTCATCAGTGTGGGCGGAAAGTCTGTCGGTTGCTGCACGATTCCTCTGGCGAGAGGAATTGTCTCAGTTTGTCCAAAGTTATTACAGGTTATGTGGTTGCCCCAAAATCCAATTTTTCATCATCATGTTCCTCATTAAGATATATTTTCAACATGGCATTTTTGGGTAGCCCATCTGGACAACCCCTTTGCCACTAGCAGAACAGTACCGACGTGGCCAACTCTGTCGCAGCTCTTGGCACAAAAAGGAGTCGATTCCCTTGCTCCAGTGGCTTTCCGAGCCATCTCAGGCTGGGACTTAAATGGTGTCAGTGATATATATAATAATCTAATTATGGTGATGTATAAATGTAAATGAGTCTTTTCAGAGACAAACGACGTACCTTTTGGATGGGACGGTGTACCCTTTCCGCGTGTGCTCTTTGCCCCAGGACTCTCACAGCACAGATCAACAATGGCCGACGGGGGGGAGGAGACTGATCTCTGACTGATCAATAGGTGGTGTTCGTATGCAACATTTGTCAGATGTCAGATTCATAGAATTGGATGATGGTAAATTTACAGGAAAGCCCTATATTTGATGGTAAAAACCATGGTTTCCTGTAGATTTTCCCTTAAACCAATCCAATGTCAGATGTAGACCTCTTCAGTGCTGACACTGCACAGCCATGCAATTATGAACAGAGAAAAACAGAAAGATACGGTGCCTGTCATGTTCATTCAGCTTTGGATTGGAGACAGACAGTTTTTCTTCCCCCAGCCTTTCTACCTTCCGCTAAAGGATTGATGGCGGGTATTGGATTGCCTGTTTTGGCAACTTGCGACACTTTCAAACCCTCGACACATATTTGACACTATTTGACAAAATGCCATATGACCCCATACGTACCCTTAGTTCAAACCAAACTGCAACATACTGTAGCCATGTTCTAGTCTATCAGTTCTGCTCATACCTGTCACAGCATTGTCGAAATGATCAGATAGCATCAGACGGGACTTCTCTAAGGTTCTCCATATGAGGAAACTTCCAGTGCACAGTGTTCAGTGGAAAAGGTCTCGATTCTTCCTTGTGTTTCCACGGAATCACTCACTATTTACCTCCTGGAGGTCCTGTTTTAGCCGCCCGTTGGAGGAGCTGCCTGATTTCGATGAGGAGGAGCAGAAGGATGAGAAAGACAAGGCCATGGGCAAACACACACTGTCGATAGACATCCTGGGTTTGTCTGGAAAAGGGTATCCTAAATTCTTCCATGGACTATCACCATCTTTCCCCATTAAAATGGCAATTCTCAGACAAACCCATCTACTGCTAGTTCTCTCTTTTGCATTGAGACCTTGCTGGAAAAAGTTCCAGGAGAATGGCGATGCCAAGAAAGCGAGCCAAGCAGGAATGCATGCGCAAGGGACACTCAGTGGGGACCTGCTGATGACCTGGTGATGTGCGCAAGGGACTGGAGTCTCCAAAAGTTGAGATGGAGTCGTGGTAGTCGTGTGGGTTTTCTCCATCTTTCCTGGATGATGTTCTTGTGAATCAAATGTTTGTGCATGGCCATTGGAGCGTCAACAAATATAGTGTGGCTGTGGCAGTGTGGCCGTCCCCGGCTTCACGTGGCTTCGTAGCCGCAAGCCATTGGCCCAGGTCCGGCTTTAAGGACTTCCTGTTGAAACCCGAATTGCTCCGAGCCATTGTGGACTGTGGCTTCGAGCATCCCTCAGAGGCGCGGTTGTGATATCACCATTGATATCACCATTGATATCACCATTGATCACCATTTTATAAATGGGACATAGATGGACATAGTGGGAAAGTATGAGCAGGTCCAGCACGAATGCATTCCGCAAGCGATCCTGGGTACCGACGTGCTGTGCCAAGCAAAGCCTACAGCCTCAGTTGGTCAAACACGGCACAGGGATGACAAGACTGTGGACTGTGGACCACAATATTCCATATATTCCATCAGGATTGCATCGGCTGTCCTTGTACGACCACATTGACCCCAATTCATGAAATGTGAGGTCCGGCATGGGAAAGACCGCCGTTTTCGTGCTTGCGTGCTTGCAGCAGATTGATTCCTCTGAGAAGGCTGGGGGCTACCTGAAGCTACTGTGGGCCACAAGGATTGACACCGCCATGGATGTTCGCATCAGATGGACCACGTCTCTGGAATTGCCGGCATTTTTTTCATGTCTATTTCATATTCAAAAAACATTAGCTGTAGCTGATCAGCTGTTGACATCCTGCAGTGCTGGATTGCTGAGGCAGTTCGAACCTTGGTCGTTTGCCACACCCGAGAGTTGGCATATCAGGTGCAGCAAGGGCGAGCTGAATTGGAATCAATAAACAACAGGTAATGGAATATCATGAATAATGCAATTGTTTGGACAAATTCCCCAAAGCCATCCACAGCAGACTGTCAGCTTGAGACCCTACTTCTTTTGCATTAGTCTTGAATGTCTTGAGAAGGCAGTTTGGACAGTGTACAGTCGGTAGAGTATCGTGTAAGAATACATTTTCCAGCTTTTGCTGTCATTTCTGGTGCCAACCTGTTCAGATCAAACAAGAGTTCGAACGCTTCTCCAAGTACTTCTCGGCGCGGAAATGCGGAGGGCTTTTCAAGTCTCTCACAAAGCGAAGGGAGTTGTTGGAGAGAAGAGAGAGAGAGAGAGAGAGAGGCAATCATCTATCAGAAGATCTTGCCAAATCGGAAATACACTATGTTTGGGTGAAGTTTTTTTTGAAATCCAGTGCGAAATGGAGTTTTGGCACTTCACTACAAAGTTTTTTTCTTTTTTAAATACATGTTTGAGGTATCTGCAGTATCCAATTTTGATCCATCGCAATATGAAGTCACCGGACCGTCGCAGCCTGCGCAGCCTGCGCAGCCTGCGCAGCCTGCGCAGCCTGCGCAGGGCGTCAAGTCGGCCGTGGTCTACGGTGGCACCCCCATGTCAACTGACAAGGAGATGCTCAAGGACATCCGGGTGCATGATGGTCAGCGAGAGATGATAACCAGTGAGTATCGTAGGAATTATAGATATTATGCAATTATATTATTTCACAATATTCACAATATATGACACGGTATCATATTAGTAATTGTACTATTGATGTTTTTCATGTCATTATTGGCAATCTAATACTTTCTCAGGCATTTCTCCTGTTATTGAGGGATGAGTTACTCCCTTGCTCTGTTCTCCCCTAGGTCCCTAACATCCTCAGGGCTGGAACAAAGACAACATCCAACGATTTCTGGGTGCAAATATGAACCAGAAATCCCTTGCCTGCAGTTTTAGCCTGGCACATTTGAGGCTAAAGGTTGATGTCACTGAGTCGCCATCGCATCAGGATTCCTGTCCGCACGTCCTCATTGGCACCCCAGGGAGAATGCTTGCGCTGCTCAGAGAGAAGGAACCGATACACCTGATGTTGGCGGCTGTGTCAACAAATTGCAGACCTCTATGGATCACCATGGATCACCATGGATCACGACTAGTCATAAATTGACAACTGAGCTTTGTCACCTGCTGACATCTTAAGCGATCTTTCCCATGGTTATTTTCAGAGAGATCCACAACTAGAGATCTTTCACACCTTATTAAGCCATATCATTTTCACCATTTTTCACCCAGATTCACAAACTGTTGCGATCGATCAGGACTTGAAACTGGACAAGCTGCAGCACTTTGTCCTGGATGAGTGCGACAAGTGCTTGGACAAGATCGACATGCGAAAGGCCCAAACTTTCCGGCTGTGCAGATTGCTGGTCCAACCTTTCCGGCTGTAAAGGCTGGAAAGGAACGAAGCAGATCATTTCCAGCAAAGCCGTTACTACTTGTTCGGCTTGACATTCTTCGGCTTCAGTGACAGTGGATGAAAGGCGCTGATGAATCCTCAAATGTCTGATGTGGAACAGGATGTGCAGTCCATCTTCATGGAATCTCCAAAGAAGAAGCAGGCCTGCGGACAATGGGTAGCGGTGACATATCCATGAGGAGTGCTATTTGCCGGTGGCAGCGAGATTCAAATCAGCTGAAACGAAAGGAACTATTGCGTGGAACACTTCTTTGTGGCAATGTTGCTCTTTACAACTTTATGGAAGTGACGGAAATTTAGCACACTCTCGCCAAGAGGGCTCCTTTTTCGTTTGATAGGCTTCGAGCATCGTGACACTTGATGTTTTGTGGGCGTTGCGGCGTATCTCAAAGGACATGTTCATCCTCAAGCCTTCCAGAGAACTTCGAAAGTTTGTCAACAGAGTTTAGCCTCAATCACTTGCTCCAGGAGGTAGCTGTACAGTAGGATGATGTTTTGCCACATTTGTGTCCCTTGCAATCCAGCATTGCTGCTGGGAGGTCATGATGTTCAGCGCTACCATGAGTGCCGAGACCAGGGCTTTGTGCAAGAAGTCGCTTGGATAACGACACATTCTCAACAGGGCCAGGGTTCCAGCAGGCGACACTACAGCTGCTACAGGTACCTCATCTTGCCAGCGCCACAACAAATAAGAAGTCCGAGGTCCCAAAGTTTCAAAGACACTGCTGTCGTTGGGAACTCTAAGGTTCATGACTGATCCGCACGAAATTCGTGTCGATGAAGAGTCAAAGTTGACACTGCACGGGTTGCTTCAGTACTATGCACCTTGGAAGAATTTGGACCAGATGGTACTGGAAGACTGGAAGAGAGGAAGTATAACATTCTATTTTGCAGCAGTACCCCTTGCTGCCCAGACTTTTCACACTGTACCGTACCTCTATATTTGGCCATATCTTTAATAAGAGGATATCTACACTTGATTTTTAGCTTTACAAGCATTAAACTTATCAAGCCCATAAAATCGATGACATCTTTGAGGTACTTCCTGAATTCTGGCAAGCTGTGCAAGTGAATTCAATGCTAATCCATGAGGTGAAGCTGACGGAGAAGGAGAAAAACCGAAAGCTGAACGACTTGCTGGATGCCTTGGAATTTAACCAGGTCGACTTTGTCAGTCTGACTGTCAGGGTGGCGAGGTGATGGGCCCATGGGCAGATTCTCAGCCCATCGGGCTACAATACCGATGAATATACCGTTATGCTGATACTGTTATACTGTTATACTGGTACTCATTGATACTGACGAGAGTATTGAAATATATCATAATACAATATAATACATCACTTGATAGCATGTGGTTAAACATTTGCTAGTACCGATAGCCACCAGCCTTACTGACCCGCCAGGTGGTGATCTTTGTGAAGTCTGTGCAGCGTGCCGTTGCCCTCGACAAGTTGTTGGTCTGGCTGCCCAGCTCGCGTCGTCCACCAGATTTTGTCCCCCGAAGTAGGAAAGAATTCAGAATTAAGATATTGATGATATTGGCAATTGCAATGGCAATCTTTACCATTCGGCCAGCAGGAGCGTTGAATTTGAAGCCATCGAGACAGACACCTTGGAAGACAGGTTGTCAAGTTGTTAGCAGACCTGGTTTAATTTTGCAATGGGACCTTCCTTTGCTGCGGGCCTGCGCTACTTTTAGGTGGAGTGCAACTTCCCCTCAATCGCTATCCACTCTGGCCTCCAGCAGGATGAGCGGATTGCGAGGCTGGAGTCAACCACCAGATTCTGAACGAGTTTACAGTAAACTGAGTTGGAGCAAGACATTTGGCATGGAAAGATAAAAAGGAACTACTATATCGCTGCCATTTTTTTGCTCACACATTCGCAGGAGTCATTTGGGTAACACTTTTGTTGACATCTCTGTGGTTTGAACCATTTGCAGGTATAAGCAGTTCAAGGAGTTCCAGAAGCGCATCCTGGTAGCCACTGACCTCTTCGGGCGAGGAATTGATATTGAGCGAGTTCGGGATGCCCAGGTCCACACCAACATGCATCAACTATGAAAGGAATGGACCCACTGAGCGGCCAAATGGCAATCGACAGCTTCCACTAGACTCGAGCAGCTGCGGCCGAATTGCACACATTGAGGTGAACATCGTCATCAACTATGACATGCCGGATGAGAGTGACTCCTACTTGCTGCTTGGAAGGAACGACGTGGCATGACATGGCACAGCTTTTCTTTGTGGTGGAACACCATGGAAAACCATTGGGCATCCTCTTAGGCCTTGTTGATTCTAAGCTTTGGATCCTCTGGCACTATCAGCATTATCGTTTTGGCCGAGAGCTTGAAAGGTAGACCCCGTGGGGCTACGCAGTGGATTGTTGCTTAAAAAGCTCAGCCAAACCCAAGAAGACAGGACCTTGCGGATTGCCACAACCCAAAGTTGTGGCAGATAGTAGGTTGCCTACTGGAAGTTTGGATCACATTGCAAGTATACAAGGCGTAAAGTACGCAGGGCAAGTCTAAGTGCTGCATTTGACTTCTGACTGGCACCCGACCCAAAGTTGCCTGGGGTGTTTCCTTGTTTTCCTGGTACTCAAAGCACTCAACGTTGCAGTTCTTGTCAATGCAGCCCTCAGCTCCCGGCTTTCAAGTGAGACTTCAAGAGCGCATGCTCGAATGCAGTCAAGGTTTTTGGTCTTGTTGGTAGAAAAGATAGGCCTGATAGAATCCACCAAACTAATATTGCTAGCGGGGGAAATCCCAAATTTCCCTGGGAAATTTGGCAACGTCATTGACTTAAGTATTTCAAACTTGTCACCAAACCAACATCCGGAGTGATATGAGTTATACTATCATCATTTACTCATAGTCAATGTTTACCGTTTACCTGTTATATAACATCTATATCTCTACATAGACATCTGTATGTAATACATATATTATAGTATATATACACATATATATAATAACACCCTTTCTTGTTCCGTTCTGTTCTGTTCTTTATCTATTTTGTATACACTATGATAAATTATAAATAATTTAATAGACCACCATATAATTAAAACTGGTGATTTACCCATTAGAACTTTGCTGATTTACCCATAGTTAATAATATATACCCCCTGGTAAACTAACATAGCTATGGAAAATCACCATTTTCAATGGGAAAATCCACTATAAATCACCATTTTCAATAGCTATGTTAAATTACCAGAGGGTAATAGATAGACTACCCCCCCCATATTTTTCCAAGCCTCCTGGCCGTGGCTCCGCCTTAGGCACCGCGTGGGCCGCGCTGGGCGCTTCGGCACCAAGGGCTTGGCTCTGACCTTCGTGGCCACGGATGAGGACTCGGAGGTCGCGGAAGTCATGGGATTTCATGGGGAGTTGTGCCCTGTTCGCAAATGCCATAGACCAGGTATGTTTCATATTGATGTACCATAGGTATATGTGTATATATATATATACATATGTACCATATATGGTATACATCCTTAAATGATCATTTTGGGAAAAAGGAAAGTTGATGTTCACGACCATTGTTGATGAAGAACTGTTGAACACCCATGGGCTAAGCTGTTATTTGTTTTGCCTTGGCCCAAAATCAGTAGAGTCCGTAGTGAAATCAATGGGTCAAGTCATTGGGTACCCCAATAATTGGATGGTTAATACTAGATATATTAAACATACACATATATAATTCGGTAGTCCTCCAAGTCTTTAATTTTTACCCATTTCAAATGGCATTACATACCCTTTGTGCTCCTTAATGATATTGTTTTTTTGTCCTGACAGTCTGCGAGGTCGTGCAGATGATCCAGAAACGTGAGAGAATTTCGCAATCAATTCTACTCGTGGCACAAGGTGATATGGAATTTTTGCCTCCCTACCTGGCTGTTTGTGAGTGGGCCACTGCTGATGTGCCTCAACTAGTCTGTGTTAGCAAATACTGACATGACAACCTTGAATGCTGAAGTGAATAACGATTCAATGTTGCTGCGGGCAGTCTCTGAGGGGTGACAGGGTCTCCTTGTTGTGACCCAGGGCGGGACCTTTGTAGTCCTTTGGAAGCTTCTCAGTCCAGCGTCTCCGCCCGACATCGCGGCCTTTGACAGCGTTCTACCAGATGGTGACATGATAATTTTGAAGGCGAAGCTTTGAAGTGACAATCTGGTTTGAACTCATGGTTCATGTCGCTTCTGAAGATGACCCTTCCTATCCATGGCCACCAGGCCTCCAACCCCCAAACTTAACAACCACGACCTTGTTCCTTCTAAGGCTTTGGCTGATGGCAATGGCAGAAGTGCATGTCGGCGACAATCCGAATGTGAAACAGGAGGAGCCACAGGCAAGTTCGAAAGAAATGAAAGAAGCCAAGGCGGTGTCATTGAAGCGCCACAGACCAGAAGGTGAGACTCAGTTGAAAGAAAACGGAAGATTTGATTCGCAGCATGCAGCTGCAGAAGCTAGTGAAGTTCTTCGGGATATCGATGATCTCGACCCGATTATCGTGGCAATGCGATATTTGGGGGTGCCAGAGGAGATGTCGGTCCAGGACCATCCTGCCACTTGGCAAATGACAATCAAGCGGTCTTTTTCCCGAATGCGTAGCAAGGGTTCCTGTTTCACTCTGGGGGTCTGGGGGTTGAAGGTGTGTTTGCTCGACGTTGCGTTTATGTTCGCAACCGTCCGCAGCCGTTCGCAACCGTCTGTAGCCGTCCGCGCGATCCCCATATGGCCGTGCCTATGGTAAGTTCTGCAAAAGGGGTCACTTTTGGAGGTTTCACATGTGGCGTTGCTTCGTTTCGCGTGGCAGGCGTGGCACTTTGTGACATTCAGACGTGTTTGGTAACGTGTCGAAAGTCTTTTTCTGTGGCAGGCGCAATACTTTTGCGACGTTTTCAGAAGATGTGTTGCAGTTTTCGTGGCAGGCGCAGCACTTTGGACGTGTCCATCGGCATTTTGCGTGGCAGGCGCAGCGCTTTAGACGCGTCGTGTTGCGTGTTTTTTACGAATCGCATTGGCAGGGCTGCGTCAAGTGGCGACAAGGTGCAAATTCCGTGGCAGGCGCGGCATTTTGTGAGATGTGCTGAAAATTGGCGAAAGCCTCGCACGAAACATCGATTTTGAGGTAGCAAATTTTCAGGTTCTAAGGAAAACTCGTAGGAAAACAGCGATTTTGAAGCTACAAAGTGTCAAAGTTGGAGGAAGTCTCGCACGAAATGCTCGTTTTGATGCTCTCGCATGTCTCGTCTCGAGTCTCTGGTTTTCCTGTGGCCTCGCCCTGTCTGTGGGGGAAGCTGCAAAACCTTGGTGTCAAAGCAGGTTGTAATGTTGTTTTGCGTGGCAGGCACGGCACTTTGTGACATTCCAACCTGTTTGATAACGTGTCGGAAATCGTTTTGTGTGGCAGGCGCAATACTTTTGCGTCGTTTGCACAAGATGAGTTGCAGTTTCGTGGCAGGCGCAGCATTTCAGACATGTCGTATTGCGTGCTCTACACTCCAAACTCCGCACTCTACACTCCACACTCCACCCTTTACACTTCACACTCCACATTTTACATTCCACACTCCATACTATACACTCCACACTCTACACTTTACACTCCACACTCCACACTCTACACTCCACACTTCACACTCCACACTCTACACACAACACTCCCCACTTTACACTTTACACTCCACACTTTACAATTTACACTCCGCACTTCACGCTCCACAATCCACACTCTACACAGTACACTCCAGACTCCACACCCGACACTTTATACTCCACACTCCACACTCTACACTTTACACTCTACACCCTTGCGCTCTACACTTTACACTCTACACTTTACACTCCACACTCTACACTCCACACTGTGCACTCCACACTGTACACTCCACACACTCCACACTTTATACTTTACACTCCACACTTTGCACTTCAGACTCCACACTCTACACTTTACACTCCACACTCCACACTTTACACTCCACACACTACACTTGACACTCTACACTTGACACTCTACACTTGACACTCCACACTCCGCACTCCGCACTTTACACTTTACACTCCACACTTTACATTTTACACTCCACACTTTACACTCCACACTTTACACTTGACACTCCCACACTCTACACTCCACACTCTACACACGGCACTCCCCACTTTACACTTTACACTCCCCACTTTACACTTTACACCCGCACTTTACACTTTACACTCCACACACTACACTCCACACTCCACACGCTACAATTTACACTTTACCCTTTACACTCCGCACTTTACATTCCACACTTTACACACTACACTTCACACTCTACACTTTACACTCCACACTCTACACTCCACACCCCATACTCTACACACTTCACACTCCAAACTCCAGAATCTACACTTTACACTCCACACTTTACACTTTACACTCCACACTTCACACTCCGCGCTCCACACTTTACACTTTACACTCCGCACTCTACACTCCACCCTCTACACACGACACTCCCCACTTTACACTTTACACTCCACACTTTACACTTTACACTCCGCACTTTGCACTTTACACTCTACACTACACTCCACACTCCACACTTTACACTTTACACTTCGCAGTCCACACTTTACGCTCCACACTTTACACTGCAGACTCCACACTCTACGCTTTACACTCCTCACTCTACACTCCACACTGTACACTTTACACTCCACACTTTACACTGTACACTCCACACTTTACATTTTACACTCAATATTTTATACTTGACACTCCTCACTCCACACTCTACACTTTACACTCCACACTTTACACTCCAAACTCCACACTTACACTCCACACTCTACACTCCACACTCTACACTCCACACTCCACACCCTACACTTTACACTCCACACTTTCACTCCAAACTCCACACTTTACACTCCACACTCTACACTCCACACTCTACACTCCACACTCCACACGCTACAATTTACACTTTACCCTTTACACTCCGCACTTTACATTCCACACTTTACACACTACACTTCACACTCTACACTTTACACTCCACACTCTACACTCCACACCCCATACTCTACACACTTCACACTCCAAACTCCAGAATCTACACTTTACACTCCACACTTTACACTTTACACTCCACACTTCACACTCCGCGCTCCACACTTTACACTTTACACTCCGCACTCTACACTCCACCCTCTACACACGACACTCCCCACTTTACACTTTACACTCCACACTTTACACTGTACACCCTACACTTTACACTCCACACTTCACACTCCGAACTCCAGACTCTACACTTTATACTCCACACTCCACACTTTACACTTCGCACTTTACACTGTACCCTCCACACTCCACACTTCACAGTTTGCACTCCACACTCTACACTCCACACTCTACACTCACACCCTACACTCCACACTCTACACTTTACACTCCACACTCTACACTTTACACTCCGCGCTTTACATTCCACACTTTACGCTCTACACTTTACACTCTACACTTTACACTCCACACTCTACAGTCCACACTTTACACTCCACACTTCGCACTCCAAACTCCAGACTCTACACTTTATACTCCACACTTTACACTTTGAACTTTGCACTTTACACTCCACACTCTACACTCTACACTTTACATCTACACTTTACACCCTACACTCCACACTCCACACTCTACACTTTACACTCCACACTTTACACTTTACATTTTACACGTTGCGCTTCACACTCTATACTTTTCACTCCACGCTACATTCTTTCACGTCAATGACGTTTCCCCATCTACGCGTTTCGGAATCCGTACCACTATCATGCGTGTGAGCATTCGGGTTCGTGGGCTGCATCTTGTTTAAAAGCATCCCTTCAATACCACCCAGACAGGCCAACAGGTAGCACAGATGCACAAAACAAGTTGCGTGACAGATGCGACTTGCTGGCCGAAAAGGCTAGTCAATGGATTGAGGTGCACGAGAAACTCGGCAGATTGCTGTCTCCACACGGAACGCAGTTCCAGTGCCACTGCCAGAGCTGCTTGACACTGCAGCTGGAGAGGCTCGAGTGCAAGTTCTGCCTGGAAGTTGACAGGAAAAGAGGGCACACCTGCGGCCTGGGACGCGACAGCTCCACCCATATGAGATCGCATCCCCACACCGTGGATTTGTACTTGAAGCTCGTGGTTCATGGTGTGCAGGGGCCAATGGAAGATTGAGAGCATGCTGCCCGTCTCGAAGTGAAGCGGCGTCAAGCCAAGAAGACTGTGGAGCGGACGGTCAGTAAGCAGTGGGAGGCACATCAAAAAAAGAAGAGAAACAACAGGTCGAAATTGAATGTGCTCAGTCCTTGAGACACGAATTGGAGGTGCACAAGGCCAAGATAAACGATCAGCTTGCCACCGGGAACCCTTCCCTGGCATGCCTCCTTGCAAGGCAGCAGCAACGCGGAGGCTTCGCCCATCACCAGGCATCACTAAACGTGCTCGAGCAGTGGAAGCTGGCACAACTGCTCCACCAGCTCCTAGCGCTGCCGGAGGGAGACCTAGTGACTAGTGAGGAGATCCTTACAGTGCCGATAGTTGATGCACCCCACTCAGGACCTCTCCCACCTGAGCCAGTGACTGAAGCAGCGTTTCAGTCGCAACTTTTGGGAACATGCCCAGCATGCAAATTCCAGAGCTGCAAATGGCAGAGGCACCGGAACGGTAGCATGTGGTATAGGTGCTGCAGGTTTCCGGAATGTGAGTGAAGAAAGGTTGCCCGTAAAGCGTTTGGATCCTAAAAATGCCAGGACTCTAGTGGACATCCAACATCTCAACAAATACCAAAATCGGACACCGTCGGGCACCCAACGAGTAAACAAAACAAATGCATACAAATGTGCCATGCCGGGAACTTGTGGCAGCTTGCCTGGCGCGAAGACGCAATGTGGCAGGGATTGTTTTCTTGAAAAGGTTCGTTTTAAGCTCCAGTGTGCTAGGGGATCCCAATGGGGTAATGATATTGAGAGAGGAGGACAATTCGTGCAAGAGTGTGAAACTGCTCACCATGTTTGCATTAACATAAAATGAGTTCGGCCTGCTACGTCAGGACGGAGGATGGCTGGCCTATGAAGGGTTGTACCACAAACAAAGTTGCACCGAGACTTTGGGACAGCCAAGATTTAGGTGTGTGAACAACATTTTGATTCCGATCAGCCCCCAGACTGGGGCAACCAATTGATGCAGTGCCAAAGCACTTGGGCTGAACGCGAGGAGTGCGATAGGATATGAGATTTTCAATGATTTTCCTATGGTTTTGTAAACAACATTCCAGGGTGAAATGCGCTTGAGATCAACATATCCACATTGTTATGTATGCTTGCGGTGATTCTGCAGTGATTATGTCAAATGAGTGAAGAGATCTGCATGTTCAGAGATCTTATTTTGCGTGTTTGGTCCGGCATCTGCATTTTTCAGTTCCGCTTTGACTTGCTTGACGTTGTGCCCAGCATGATAGGCAGTGTGCCAAGGTAATTCGGCCAGATGACTCGCAATTCATGAAACGCAGCAGGTCTGCTGCCCACATCTGACCAATCAGCAGATGTTGGGCAGGCGTTTCCGCTGGTCGGATGCCGGTGTCAGACACAGTGCTTCCTGGAAAAAAAGACAGCGCTGAAGCAGCATCTAGCCACACCCATCAATTGATTGAGCATGCCTCAGGCTGGGTTAATCAGGAGCATTTGCAGTAGAAACGCCAAAGAGGGAGAGCATTGTTATAGTGCTCGCTCTTCAGGGGCAGTTCTGGGATGAAATGCAATGGCGCTGCTTCGAAAAACATAAAGTGTTTGGATGAAGGGAGACAGGGGCGAAAAATGAAAGTCAACCAGACCGGACCAGAGGGTCGCAAGCCAAATGAGGGGAGGCAAAGGAAGAGAGAAATGAACATGGGAGACAATTCTAGCAGAGCCAGCCAAAGATAGTTATTCCAAGGCGGAAGAATCTATTTCAAGGTTTTGCGACGCCTGAGACGTGCAACCGCAGAGTCACAGAGTTGTACTGATACGCGCAACCATTCAATTCGCCCACACAACTTTTTAGGGCTTTCAAAGGATATCGATCAAGTAAATCTTAAAGATGTTTCAACAGAGATTCTAGGGAATCATCAAATCCATTCCCCGTTAAACTTCATATTTAAGGGAAGTTTCAAGGAGTTTCGGGTTTGGGGTTCAGGGATGATGTTGATGATGATAATAATGATGCTGTTGTGAGTGACAGGACCTTTTTGATAGCAAAAAAAACGTGGAAAATACTAGTGAAAATTGGCGTTTTTGAGGATTTCGGATTGGACCGGCTATGCCCCCCATTTTTTGAAGCTATATGGACCTCGACTTGGGCCGAAGTTACTCGCACCATCTTGGTCCGAGTTGGCCGAAGTTGGGGCCTCGTTGGCGGCCATGCGGGGTTGGGCCGGGCCGATCTGCTCCTTCGGTGCGGGCGGATTTTCTGCGGCAGGGCAGTAATGTCCCTCCCTGATCTGTGTGTGCCCACCCGTTTGAAACGAATGCTATACCCTCTTTAAAGTTGAATTTTCAAAAACTGTTCACCAGAAACAAACGATCTTACATGAAAATAAGAACTTTACTTGGCGGCAGCTGAAAGCCAATTGGAACTTTTTTTTCGCCGGTGAACTTGTGATATTAGCAGTACGTCTAGTACTTGAGTGCTTGCAATACTTGTAGTGAACGGGGTTCTGCAGGTTGATTGTGTTACATTTTCCACCCTATTTTTTTAAAAGGTGTAATAAGAGAAAGAGAAAGGATTTAAAAAAAAACGGAATAAAGAGAAAAAAATAAAAAGAGGAAGAGGAAGAGGAAGAGGAAGAGGAAGAGGAAGAGATGGAGAGAGGAAAGGGAAGAGGAAAAGAAAGAGGAAGAGAAGGTCGTTTTTGTAAAAGGTTTTTGTGTTTTCTTTTGGCTGCGGGGTCACCACCGGACAAATTTGCTGTAATTTTGAACCTATGCAACAAACCCACTAAAGTTACCAAAGTGAACTAGACTTTCTCATGGTCCAGTGCCTTGGAAATTTGTGGGGAAGGCTGTTTGTTCTTTCAAAAGGGTTTAACAAACAATCTGATTCTTTTGGGAACGGCTTTGACTTTGAACTAGGCAATGCTTTGAACTAGGCAGTTGCTTCTCTTGGCTCCGGGATCAGCTCAGCTCTGGAAACGTTTGCTGCAATTGTGACAAGCCTGCTAAAGTGCATTGGGCCCTCTCATGGCCCAGTGCCATGGAAATTTGCGGAAAAACTGTTCTTTAATAAGGCTTTAGTTAGCGATCTGATTCTTTTGGGAAAGGCACACAGGCATTTTTTTTCCAGACATGTTAAGTATTTTTTTGCACAAAGATAGTTTTTGACAAATGCTGGTCTGCCAAAAATTCTAGCCAAAATCGTGAAACTTCCAAACATACCATGGGTTCAGAATAATTTGGACTTTGCTACTAATCAGGATGAAACATTGTTGCCAACTTACTTTACTACTATGACTACTGATTCACAACTGTGCTATCTCACTTGATTTTACTTCACCGCTGTGAATATCATAATTATAAGTGCCAATTCTCATGTTCCAGGCCGATTGCGATTTGGAAGATATCTCAAATTTTCATCACATTTCCACGCTTTTAGATTTCCGTCTAGCTGCGTTAGCCATTCTTATTTCCAGGGTTGAACTTGTTGGGCATTTGGTTTGGATGATGCCCCAAAACTGGTTCATAATGGCTCCCATATCGGCTTCTATAGTGACTGGTTGTTCGAGACTGCTTCATTTTTCCATTCCAGTCGCAAGGCAGCATCAAATCAACAAAATCAACAACAAATTGCACCTCCATTTCGCCCCAACTGGCCCCAACTGGTCCCAACATTCTGTGCAGCACCTCCAGCTGGGCCAGGTATTGAAGAAGGTGCAGGAGCGCTTCGAGGTTGGGACACGGGGAGACTAAGGCCTGAGGTATGCACAGTGTGCACAGTGCAGTTTCAAGGCCACTTGACAGACTTGAGGTCAATCATGCCATGAGCTTTTTCCATGTCATTTGTTTGCGGAAGTACTGCCACATGGTCTCAAGGTGTTGTGTCTTGAAAAGAAGAGAAATCATGGACATGATGGTAAGAGAAATCATTGCTTTGCCAGGTGAACATTGGAGAGATGCCAGGTCAAATTGACGCCAGCTCAGTCAGTTTTCAGATATGTAAAGCACCTGCGACGGCAGAGCATGCATGTGTCCAGATGATGCAGGCTTTTAATTACGAACTGTAGCAAGGTTTAGTACATGCATCGATTCAGAGTAATAATGAATATAATGATATTAATAATAATCATCATGACACTAGTAGTAATAATAGTATAGTAGCAGCAATGATAATGATAACAATAATCATACGAGCAACAACAATAATAGTAATAATAGTAATAATAGTAATAATAATAATGATAATAATGATAATAATAATAGTAACAATAATAGTAACAATTACTAATAAACACAGTACAAAATGGTAATCATCATGGCAAAGAAGTCCAAGGACACCACCTCCTACTTGAACGCGTGAGTTTGCGCGCGCCGCCAGTGAAGAAAGCCGCAGTTGGCAACGGATGGCTCGGCGTTGCCCGCTGAAAATTTTGATGCGCATGTGTAAACCATATGCAAATCATGTGCCGGGCTTTTGGGTTGCTAGATGCCAGAGATGTTGCACTTGGAAGATGAGACATTGATGGAAATCGAAATCGATAGAAACTGTCACATTTGAATCATTTTGAATCCACATAGTTTTGAGGAGAATTCGCAACACTGGCAGACTGCAATCAGCTCAGTATACTTGGCAGCTTTCATTTGGAGCTGATCAAGTAGCGACTGTATATTTGGCAAAGACACATCCAACTGTTGATATTGTTCGGAACGCGCATGAACTTACCTGTAGAGGTCCAAATTGCTCTGAACTCCTGAGATGTCATTGACATGATTGTACCAAATTGTAAAATGTTTGCCATGTCCAGATGATTTAGATGATGTGTTTCTAGAAGGGAACCAGTGCACAGAGCATTCTCTTAGCGAGAAAACGAGTGCTTGCAGAATTGTAGTGAAGCATTTGGAGCTGGACCATTTGGATGTCAAAGCCATCCCCAACAAAGCAGTATCTCTTGGGGGTTCCGTTTGCTGGCGAGATTGCGAGAACACCCCCAGCCACTAAGAAGTTTCCTGACCAAAGACTCGTTTAGAAGGGTGATGCAGATCCATTCCAAAGATATTGAAACGGTAAGCTGGAAGGACTATCGTAGAATGCCTTACCATGTCTGAGTGTTGCACCCCTGCGCAGATGAGCAAAGCTGTGGGTCTGGATGGGCCGTGGCTGACCTTCATCAACGCAACTTGGTGTGAATGATAACCCAACAGCAGTTGGGTTTTATCTATAGATCTTGGACTGAGGAACTCTGGAACCCTATAACTCTGAAAGCTGCAACGTGCTGCAACCCTAGTCAGAGAAAAACAATTCTTGTGGCCCATAACAGGTATGAATCAACTGTGGATGCTCCACGCAGGGCCCCGTCTCTGATCAATGGCTGCGTAGTCATAGGCATAGCACTCCTGGAACACATGAACGTCAAGGAGAATACGGGAAACATTCCAACCCCTGTGCTTTGGAAAGTGTGAAAAGAAACTGTAGAACTGTAGAACTTTTGCCGCACTCCCTTGAGCTCCTGACTGTTGGGGGGCTCAACAGCCACTTGAGGTTCTGCAAACTGCTGGTGTGAGCGGCGGTTTCATTGATGGCATCCCAGTGCAGAACAAGTGCCTTGAGCTGCAGCAGTAGCAGCAAGTTTCCCATTCCACTGGTGGAACTGCTGTTGTTGCTTTGAAATCTGGGATTTTCAAAACGAATGCTTGGCAACTTGAGTGCCAAGAATTTCCGATTGTGATTCTGGTCGTGGGACTTGCCACTGAGGTGGATCAACATCGTGCAAGACAACATGAAGCACTTCGCATCAGAAGACCCAGAGCAAGGACCAGCAGATCACAGGAAAGTTGCTTTTCGATGCATTTCTGAATCGTTGAAATATGTTGAACTGCTCCAGTTTTGCGGCTGCCAGCGATGGATTAGCAGTTGGAGCCAGTTTTAGCATGTTTTAGCACCATCCCATGTTTGGGGTATCATGGGGTATCCAATTTTGACCATGCAGCTGCGTCAAACGCTGGACGTGAAGGACAACGACATGCCACTGACCTTCTGCAGAACATGATCATGGGACGCATGGAAAGGCGATGTTGGGATTCATGAAACAATGTGGATGGAATTCTTTCTCGACAGCCAATGGCAGCTTCAGAAGACCTAAAGACTTTTGTGCTGTATGGACTGTATGGGTTGCTCGTGAACATGTACATGACAGCTTGGAACATGGAATATCACGGAATGTTTTTCAAGAAGTCGCACGTGCTCTGCAAGGATTACAGGCGCACCAATGCCAGTCTTCTTGGAGGGCTATGGCGAGAGTGAGGGCATCTACAAGATTGCTCGGGCTCCTAGACACCCTAAAGCTATGGCCTATGGCTCGGCTATGGGTCAAAACATGTCAAAACCCTGGTACCTTGTAGTTCACACCAAAATAGCTGGCAAGTGGATGATAGTGGATGTTCATGGCTCCAAATGGCGCCACTGGAGGTCATTGGCCCACGCTCTGTCGTGGTGGTGTCGGATCCTGTGATCATCAAGCGCATCCTCACCAGCCAGCCGGAGCCGAGGGGTTCAGATATTGTGGCAGTTGATAGGTGCTGCAACCGTCAGGAAGATTGATATAGGCATAATATACACAGACATATACACTTACACATACTGTATATATATATAAAACATAGAGTATTATATATACATATGTATTATTATATATAATTATATTTATACATTCATTATTCAAGACTTGGGATCCAGTCAACAGCATGGAACAACCATGTCACCACGTCACCATGTCAGATGAGATGGCTTCAAATTGAGGTTTTTCATATAAAAGATCATTTTTGAAAGTTTATGCTCTATTGTAGTTGTGCCCCCCAGGAACTCTACACCAAAGGCATTCTGACCGAAGTTCTGGAGCCCATCATGGGTCGAGCCCTTGATGGCTCCGATGTTTTTTTTTGCCACCGGTGTCACGCACTTGCAGAAATGCAGAGCCCCCAATGCATGCGACATTTATGCCACTTCATGATGTTTCATCACATTTCATAGTTGAAACATCTTGAAACATTCAAAGGACAGAAGACCCTCATTTAGGCATCAATGGTCAGGTCAAGGCCTGATACCTGCGAGTCCGGAGACATGGAGGTGTCCTGTGGATCCTGTGGATCCTGTGGTTTGGGTGGTTGATCCTGAAAATGGTGAGCGGTTTGCAACAGCCCGTGAGGTGATTCAATACACAGTGACTTGCTGCGATCCAAACGGAGTCCAGTCTTAATATTCAAAGATCCGATCCAAACGAGTATCTGGTGCTGGTGCTAGTAGTGCTGCTGGGTTTACTACAAGGGACTTGTATTTGCTTGTAGTAGATAATTTCCCTTGCTATTTTTTTGGGCCGGCCTTGGGGGTTTGACTGAACACCAAGAATGGAAACCCATGGTCACATTTCGGTCTCGATCAATATTGGAGAACCAAAGAATGAATGGTTACTCCCAACCAACAACTGAAATTGGTGACCTTCGGTTTTTGAGCCATACCCATGTCCTTTCCTGCAGCCTTAGACGCTCTTCACAGGAAACGAAGGAGGGCCATAGTGCCAGGCTTCCACAAGAAATGGCTTCAGGCGCTTTGATGAGACTCGAAAAACACAGCAGATCAAGGGTAAGTAGATACTGTATGTAGTTTCAGAGTCATTTTTACAACAAGAAAGATGCCTGCACTCAAATGCTGTCGAGTTCCTCAATTTCAGTTCCAAGATCCTGTGGTTTTTGAAAGTTGCAGTTTTTTTGACCGATTTCAACGAACCCTGATGATCCATGAACTCTTCCGCTGACGAGTGTTTCCCTTCCTAAATCGTTGCTAGCTGGATTCAATTAGCAGACTTAGCAGACGCCCTATATTGCCCTATCAATGTTTGGTATTCGAGTTGCTTGCACGATGTGGACTTGATAACATGTGTATACCGTATACTTGTATGCAGAAGTTTGACCCTCCATAAGTAGCACAAGAGCAGCCACAACTGCAAGCGCTGGACCAACACTGCAAAGACCACCAGTGGATCGGAAGACTACTGCAATCTTTAGGTTGGTCTCATTCCTACCACTTCAATATAGTTGAACTAGTTCCTGCATTTGTGGACGTGAACGCCTTAAAATTGTGGATCTGTTTTTTCAGGCCACCACTGACGTGATGGTCGAATGCGCGGTGCGCCCGTCGATTTTTATTGTGTGGCTTATCACAGGATTTAAGAAGACCGAGTAGGCTGAGTAGGCCGTTTAACTTTGGTGTGTCCCTTCTGTTCATTTGATCAAGTGATGACTCGATGATGATGGTCCTAGCGATGGACCATCAGAGATTGCATGTGTCATTGGTTATCCATGACATCAATAATTTTAATATCCATGCAATCAAACAAGCCATCAATTTAGTGTCTAGTTCATGTAAGTTTTTTTTCACTTTGATCAATATGACAATGACATAGTGTGAGTAAAACAATAGTAAACCATCCCCAATTCAACCACATATCATTGGTGTTATAAACCATGAACATATGGCAGCGTGTCAAAACCTTGTACCCCTGGTGAACATCAAAATAGCTGGTAAATGGATGTTCATCCCACTAAAAATGGTATTAATAGGTATTGATCCATACCCATATGGGTGGTTTGTTATTGCTTTACAAACACTATGTCGAATATGAGTGCGACAGTCGGGCTCCGCCAGGTCAATCTCGCTGATGATCTGGAGAGGACCATCTCCCTCTCATCTACCACCGCCGAGGTGGGAGATCACGTGGAAGAAAGTGGATGGAAAGTGGATAGAAATCATCATTGGATCTTTTAATGTCCATCCAATTATCCAATTTTGGATATCCAATGATCTTGGATATCCAATTTTAAATCATCTTTTATGATTTTTTTTCAATTATTGAATACCCTCTGGTAAACGTTTACATAACTATGGAAAGATCCACCATTTTTAATGGGAAAATCCACTATGAATGGTAATTTTCAATAGCTATGTCAAATTACCAGAGGGTATTTTTGGAGGTTTGGCTTTCAATGTCCACAACAGGATCAGATTGGGACAATGCTGCAGGTCCGGACGGTTTTTAAACATCGGTGGTTTTTTTTGCAAGACTTTGTGCAGGTGAACATGGAAGAGAAGTTCACGTCTGCATCTCTGGACATTATTGGCAAGGCATGGCCAAGCACCATTCTGAAGGATGCCATGAAGGATGATCCTTCGGCATGTCATAGGAGCTCCCATAAACATCCATAAACCATGAGAAAAACCACTAGCTCCAGCAGCGAATCGCTGTGTGTTCCTCTCTGTTGTGAGTTCAACATGGAGATGCTGTTGGTTTTGGAGGCCATCTTTGACTATGACTTCGGATCCACCACGCCGCTTGGATTTCCGTTACAAAACATGGGTGAATCGCGAGGGGTAACTGGGTGCCAAGTCGTTGAGTATGGTGAGATGAGCCAACCATGGAAACTAACAAACAGTTTAAGCCACCTTGGAATACCCATGAATGACTTCATGATACTCGATGATACTCGATGATACTCAATGATCAGTCATCAGCGCCAGAGAGCAAAGAATCATCTTCTCGATTTTTCAATTGGGTATGGGTCAAAATTATCACCATCCCCTGAACAATGGATGGTTTAAGTATGTTTAAGTCATATTTGAGATTTTAAAGTTGGTTTAAGATAAAACAAACATCTCAAAGATCCACAAAACACAGACATTCTGTGGTCCAGAAATGTCGGTTGGATCCCGTGGATTCCGTGCCTGCTTTCGTCACGCAGGCGTGAGTCACCGCTCATCCGTGCGGTGTACAACTTGCTGCGGGAGGCCGAACGACGTGCGCAATCCGTGTGCTGCTCAGTGGTTGAATAAAGGGGTTCGTGATGTTGGTCGAAAGCCTGGGGCTACCAAGTCATCCAAGTCATAGTTGGTGAATGGAGAATTTTTACTCCAAGTAAAAAATGGTAGGAATAGCTGCTATGACCTATTAGTATTAAAAGTACCGTCATTTACCGCAATGTTCACTAATTATTGACAATGATAATAATATTCTACAGTAAACTATATTGATATTGACTAATTGTTTATTATATTATTGTAGTGCATTATTACTGTAGTATACCAATTTAGTACTATTCACTAAACCCACTAATTGATATCGTACAACAAGATAATTGTGTGCATTGGTAACAATGGCAGTGACAGGATTACCACCAGAAACTCCGTATTCACTGGGATAATCCCCACTAAGAGACTCTCCCAATTGGCAATGCTCTCACATATTCACTAATTCGTTATATTATATAATATACCAGACACTTCATAGAATTGCTATATTAGAATGGTATATCAATGGTATCCTGATATTATACTGATTGGTATATTGATGTTATACATACTGATTGGTATGTTGATGGCATATATCTTTTCTATGGAGAGGGACATTCCTTATAGGGACACTCCTAGAACATTCCTTTTCATTCATTTTAATTCCAATAGTTCAATTTCGTTCCAAATAATTCCATTTCATTCCAGAAAAATATATTTCATTCCAGATATTTTTTTTCATTCATGTTTTAAAATGATATTTTAAAGAAGTACTTACAGTCACCGACAGAATTATGGAAAAAAATAAAACGTTTCAATTTACAGGCGCCGCCTGTCTATGATAGAAAAGTTACGAACCTTTTTTTTTCCATAATTATTGTTTCCATAATTATTTTTTTTCCCATAATTCTGTCGGTGACTGTATGTCCATCGATTCGCAATTTGAATGCATTTTAAGGGGGAATATTGAATTATAGAAAATATGAAATATGTGTCTAAAGATCTGGTATATGCCCCTAAGTCTTCCATTGATATACATAATATCATGTGATGTTCGCAATTTGAATGCATTTTAAGGGGGAATATTGAATTATAGAAAATATGTGTCTAAAGATCTGGTATATGCCCCTAAAGCCTGCCATTGATATACATAATATCTGGATGTTTCCTTTTGCCAAGCCACCAATTGGGTTGATACTACATACTTGCATTTGCATACATATTTCCATAACCCCCAAAAAAACGGGTTTGAATTGTGGATCCATGACATGTCCAACAGGTGGAGCCCCAAACATTAATTATGGAAAAAATAATTATGGAAAAACCGGTCAATCTGCCCTAGCCCCCTGATTTCACAGGAAAAATCAATTATGGAAATAATGGCCACCTCCAAGAATTATGGAAAAAAAAAGGTTCGGATCACTTCCGGGATATTTTGAACCCTTATGGGGAAAAATCCAATTATGGAAAAATCGGACGCAGGCGCCGCCTGTCTAAGTTGAACGTTTTATTTTTTTCCATAATTCTGTCGGTGACCATAAATAATTTTTGATAATTTCAAAATTGTTTTCTGTTTTTTTTTTTTTAATTACGTTTTTTTTTTAAATAACACATTCTTTTTTTATTTTGTGTTTCAACTTTTTTTTTGAATTTATTTCTTTTGAACTTTTTTGAACTTCTTTGTTTTTTTGAGTTTTTTTTTTTTTAAATCCGTTGTGTTTTTTTTTGAGGTTTCGAGTTTCTTTTGAATTGTTGGATTGAATTTTTGAGTTTTTTTCTTTTTTGTTTCTTAATTTTTCTTTTTTGAAAGGATAGTAACTTTTAGAGAGTGGCCCTGTTAGGAGTAGTGCAGGGATCCCAACTTGGTAAACCGGGTAAAAACCATCCCAACTTGCAATAACTTAGCAGATATTTATGGCATTGGACCCATTGGATCGAGGTCTTACCATATTGGAACCTGCCTGGTGCATCTGCCAGCGCCTGAGCCGAGCCCCAGGGTCCCCAGGGTCCCCAGGGTCCCCAGGGTCCCCAGGGTCCCCAGTGTCGGAACACAGAAATGTCCCCATGGATGCTCTGGGACTGACCCTGAGGAATTCTTCCGCGATCAGAAGGATCATTCAGATAATTTGGTGCGCTCGTGGGAAGGAATGATGACACTTTGTATTGGTATCAAGAGCAGGTTAGGCAGTAGAGGGTATTTCTCGAAAAAAAAGAGGCACAGAGAAACATTAGTAAATCGCCAAAATGTGTCGTCATTGGACAGCACTTGTATTGAGGCAGTATAGGTGGAAATAAAATACTGCGACCAAGACAAACGAGTGTCTACAGACTTATTGAGTGCCAAACCAAAAGGCCTTTAGTGACTAGGATCAGGTTGGGAGAGGTTCCAAGGGAAACTGCAGGACGCATTCCTGAGAGTTGATCCAAACTCATGTCTGGCAGACTTTGGTGAATGCTGTCTTGGACGAGCTCATCCGAAATGTCTTTGAGGAGAGTGGGACCCTCCAACAGTAAGCTGAAGATGGCTGAAGAATCTGAAGCATCAGGTCTTGTTATTGGGATCCCTTGTTGTTGCAATCCCAATGTACCAATGGATGTCCATATCGAGTTCCATCATAGTGAAACCCCAAATCCTGGCAGTAGACCAGTCCAAATTGCTGGTTTGGATGACCCCAATCTATCCAATCTCAACCGTTTTTTTCACCTGACAGGAGCCACGAGACGAAGACCAACGATTGTCTTTGCTTCAATACCTGGTTTTCAATAAGGGCGAAGACGTGACCAACAGGTGGGTCTGACAGGTGTTTCTGTGGCTAGGTTCTTTTATCGAATCACTACTTTGTCTGTGACAAGTTCAAAGCAATTCCATGTGTCTGGACAGATTTCCCTCATTTTCTCTGTAGTGTAACGCTGTAAATGTAGATTTAACAATGTCTACTGCATTTACAGATGAAACTCGTGAGTGTGAGGGCACAGGTGTTGCCACTTGATGCCTATGGCTCAAGGCTTGACCATGTCAAGCCCAGTCTATAGAAAGGGCCACTCAGAAATTGCTGACCTCTGAACTTCTCAAACAGCAAGTTCTTTTCTCGGCACAAACCCCAAGCACCAATGTTTTTTTTTGTGTTTCCAACCTTTTCACCTCCCACTGACCTTTGCGCGTAGATGGGGCACATGTCAGCAACAATCTCGGTATCTCGCTACAGCATATACTGGCCCAAGCAAAATCAAGTCAACATCTTTGATTGAAGGAAAATAACTGGCTATTTAACTGGCCCAAGCACCTCCATTTCCATCAGGAATTAACTTCCCTATTTGCCATGTATGCCAAGAACCCTTTGATTCGGGTGGTTGTCGCCTCAGTTGTCCATCGGACCAAGATTCAATGAACCTTTAAAGCTTTCCAACTTTGCTATGCTCATTTCAGATCATTTTCACACTTTTAATATCTTTTAGTTAGTTTCTCAGAGCAACAGATTTGCAGCAGAATTCTCCTTGCACCATCACTCTTGATCAGTATTCAAACAGGGAGCACATATTTTATCCTACTTTCAGTATCTTTCAGTCAGTCCAAAAATCCTGTTAACACATGATTAACAACTGATTAACACCTGGCTATGGATCAATACCTATAGATACAGTTTATTAGGGGATGAACATCCATTTGCCACCTATTTTGATGTTCACCAGGGTTACATGGTGTTGACCCATTCCTACCTGATTATCACAGTATTATGCAACAAGTTGATGCAACAATCGATCCCTGGATGCCATTGGATGCTGAGGCTTCGGCCGGTCCCGTGCTTTTGATCCTGGGCGTTTTTTGTTTTGAATGGCGCCTCAGCGGAAGGGCGAGCCTGGACGGGACGGGGGACGGATTCACGGGTTGGATTCCTGGGAAGTTAAAGCAGCAAGCCTGGCAGCATGTGTTGGGAAATATCACATTTCTACACATTTTCACGCTCCGATGAATATGTATGTATATATCATTATATATATATATATACATCATATGTATATATGATATTTATATATATATATATATCTATATAATATCATTATATCTATATATACCAGACGATTCCTTGTGACCTTGTTTGTGTTTTCTGCTAAATGGCCTTTAGAAAGAGGTCAGATAAGGAAAACGTAGAAAGAGGTCACTTAAGGAAACGAACCAAACAGTGGCCTACCAGTGACACGCAAGTGATACGCAGGTGACACGCAGGTGACACGCAGACAGCCAATCCTTAAGTGACTTTTTCAAGGCCAAAGTGACCTTTTCAGGGTCCTAAGTGACCTCGTTTCATCCCACCTCGAAACCCCAGTGACACGCAAGTGACACGCAGAAATCATGAGATCAGCCAGGCAAAGAGGTCACTTAAGGATTCATGAAACGAGGTCACTTATGCATGATTGATCTTGTAAGTGACCGTTTGGCACTTTGGGTCTAAGTGGCTTCCATTCGAGGGCAGAAGTAACTGCCTGGTATATATATATATATCACTATATATATATATCACTATATATATATATCACTATATATATATATATCACTATATATATATATCACTATATATATATACATCATATGTATATATGATATTTATATAGTTTCAATGTATACATCCCGTATGCTGTTTGTTAATGGGTATAGGCAACAGTTGTAACTTCATGTATGACTTCCTGAGTCATGTGCATCATATTTCTGTAGGTCGACAAGCCAAGGTATGCCTTCAATTGCATCTTCATGCTGCGAGGGCTTGGAGAACTCAGTGATGAAATCAGAATTTGCCATGCGGTTGTCACATCATTTCTATATTTTTCTATACATTTCATTTATCATTTGTATACAACAGGTGAAGATTTGCGATCGCAATGGAAACATAGGGCCAAAGCTGTTTCTGAAAATGAGCTTTCTATGATATTTTTGCCTTATTTGGATGCACAATTTTGATATGCTGAACAGCAAAACGCGGAGTACGCGGAACGTGCGTTGATTTCCAGCATGAAACCAGCTGCAGTTTCACTACGTGGAGTGCACGCTCAATATTAAGCTGGAACAGTGGAAGTGTCATCACCTCCACGTTAAGCCATGCAGTTTCCATCAGTTTCCTATGGTCTAGCGCACTGTGGTGGCAGACATACCATAGTAGAGCGAAGTAGTTCTTTGGAAGTAGCTCGCCCTGGTTTGTGCCTGCCATAAATTGAATGCATCCGCGGGCCAACTTTATACCAGCTTGGCACTTCTCTCTTGGTGCTAGAGCTCGTAGAAGGATGGCAAAGTGAGTGTTAGCACCTCCACGTTGGGCGACGCACTTTCCTGTGGTCAAGCGCACTGTGCTGTCAGACAACAAACCGCTAATTTTCTTCCTGTTGCACCTGTGGATTCTTGTGCCGCTGCAGTTTCGCATGAGCAAGCCTGAGGCAAAGAAAACAGCTGCAAATTGCATTGTCAAAGACATGCGCTGCGAAATTGTCATGATGCTGATGCGATGCTTGCAGATGAATGTGCTAGCTGCCAGCGGCTAGCCAACTTTATACCAGCTTGGCACTTTCTTTTGGTGCTGGAGTTCGTAAAAGGATGGCAAAGCGGCCCGGTGCCTTCCTGATGCTGGTCTATGACTACATATAGAATTCAGCAACATGACACTGAACAATACGATCACTTGCTCCAAAATGCTACAGCTGATGCTCTGATAGCTGTGTTTCTGAATCATACGACACATTTCAAGTGACAAGAAAAACTTCCGCGTCTCGTGTCTTACCATGTCTTGTCAATCGTGCTCTGCTCACCGCAAGCCTTTTCTCTTTCTTCCTTATTTATATCCACCATGTTGATATGCTGAACAGCATAACGCGGAGTACGCGGAACGTGCGTTGATTTCCAGCATGAAACCAGCTGCAGTTTCACTACGTGGAGTGCACGCTCAATATTAAGCTGGAACAGTGGAAGTGTCATCACCTCCACGTTAAGCCATGCAGTTTCCTATGGTCTAGCGCACTGTGGTGGCAGACATACCATAGTAGAGCGAAGTAGTTCTTTGGAAGTAGCTTGCCCTGGTTTGTGCCTGCCATAAATTGAATGCATCCGCGGGCCAACTTTATACCAGCTTGGCACTTCTCTCTTGGTGCTAGAGCTCGTAGAAGGATGGCAAAGTGAGTGTTAGCACCTCCACGTTGGGCGACGCACTTTCCTGTGGTCAAGCGCACTGTGCTGTCAGACAGCAAACCGCTAATTTTCTGTTGCACCTGTGGATTCTTGTGCCGCTGCAGTTTCGCATGAGCAAGCCTGAGGCAAAGAAAACAGCTGCAAATTGCATTGTCAAAGACATGCGCTGCGAAATTGTCATGATGCTGATGCGATGCTTGCAGATGAATGTGCTAGCTGCCAGCGGCTAGCCAACTTTATACCAGCTTGGCACTTTCTTTTGGTGCTGGAGCTCGTAAAAGGATGGCAAAGCGGCCCGGTGCCTTCCTGATGCTGGTCTATGACTACATGTAGAATTCAGCAATATGACACTGAACAATACGATCACTTGCTGCAAAATGCTACAGCTGATGCTCTGATAGCTGTGTTTCTGAATCATACGACACATTTCAAGTGACAAGAAAAACTTCCGCGTCTCGTGTCTTACCATGTCTTGTCAATCTTGCTCGCTCACCGCAAGCCTTTTCTCTTTCTTCCTTATTTATATCCACCATGTTGATATGCTGAACAGCATAACGCGGAGTACGCGGAACGTGCGTTGATTTCCAGCATGAAACCAGCTGCAGTTTCACTACGTGGAGTGCACGCTCAATATTAAGCTGGAACAGTGGAAGTGTCATCACCTCCACGTTAAGCCATGCAGTTTCCTATGGTCTAGCGCACTGTGGTGGCAGACATACCATAGTAGAGCGAAGTAGTTCTTTGGAAGTAGCTTGCCCTGGTTTGTGCCTGTCGTAAATTGAAAATTGAATGCGTCCTACGTCTTCCCTGTCTTGCGGATCCTTTGGTCTCACTGCAAGGTATTGTGATGGTGAGTTTCTATGCTGTGCAGTTGGGAAATTCTGCCAAGTTTGCTGTGCTTTGTTGTTTATGGATTGTTCTCCTGAGGTTAGGGCGCTGGAAGGGTGAAGCCATCGAAGTTGCCTTCGCAGGAAGCTCAAGGTATTGCCAAACATCCAGACAATTGTCTTGTTGGTTTGAGCTGGGGGATGTTTGAGCAACGGTTTGACACTCATACTCCCTGTTTCATCCGCCGTATGGAGTTGTCTTTCGATGCGAAGAGCTTTCACACACACACACCGCTGTGAATTAGCTATTTTAAACAAAGAGTGTTTCCCCAGCAAAAGCATTCTCTTCCCTCAACTTACCAGATACTGAAGAACCCTCTGCACATACATTGCAGTCCTTTGTTTATACCAAGTTTCGCGCCTTTTTCTTCAATGCCTTCTGGCTTCTGGCCATGTCCGGTGCCTCAAAACGTCCAGCACACGGCTCAAGGATGCTCAAGTGAAGATGATGGCGGGACTAAAACTCCTCACCTCGAAGTCTATCTCGAAAAAGCATCGAATATCCACAGGTGATTTTTCTATGTCAGGAGGTTTTCGTCAAATTTTTCGCCATGTTTCAGCAATTCTTTGCTTATGCAAGAAGCAAAGCGACATGCACAGATGGAGCTTTCTACGCTGTGCCTTCAGTGATCCTGGCTTTGTTCCACGATGGCGGGGGGCACAGAAAAGAGGCAGACACTGCGGTTGACGATCTTGATCGACAGCATTTGACACGCAGGAATTCTAGGCTTTTTAATGCGTTTTAAATGCATTTTATTTCTTCTCATTTCGTGCAGTGCGTCGTTCCTCCTTTTTGGCAAAACATACTTGAAAGCAGCTTACAGTCGGGCAGTCAGCTAGCAGTGTCATGGGTCGGAAACTTACTGAGGTGGCTAGACCAGAATCAGGGATGCAGAACGGAGCGGGCGTGTTGCAAGGGTGGGAAGCACTTCCAGCACCGGAACGATGGTCGTGTCTGATCTTCTTTGAAACACCGCGATTGTATTCTCAAACCGGTTATGTTGGGTTCCTTATGCCGTGACTTAAATGATAAAATGGCCCATGCCATCCAGGAGCCCAGCTACTTTGGCTGGATGCCTGGGTGCGACCATGGGATCCATGTGTCACATTGGGGAGATGCGTGAAAGTGTAAACTATATGGTGAATTTAAGCTGATTCTCAAGAAGATGTTCAGTTGTTGCCATTGCTGTTGGACCAAGGCAGAGGAGTTTGATGAGGATTGAAGTAGCAATATTGGATAACATTGGCATAGGATGCTTGAATTTGCAGCTCTGACACCCATGCACCCTCCCACACAGGAATGGAGGAGTCTTTCAAAATGCAGTGATTTCTCTCATGCCCAGCAAAGTGGAGAAACTGATGTCCAGGCGACCGTCGAGCTGCGGGAAATGTGAAGTCCCACGTCCTGAGCGTTTGGGAGCTCAGATGCTTCAAGCTTCGTTGAAAGGCGCTAGCTTGGACGAACAGGAGCTAAGACCATTGATGTCTAGCGATTTTTGGGATACAGTTCGGATCTGAGCCCGAAATCCGTGTAAGATCTGGACTGCAGACAACTTGGACAACTTGGTCCATTCAGTTCAGATCATCCTCACTTGCCGCATTGCCTGCGCAATACTTTTCTTGACCCTTGCTTACCCTTCTGTTGGGGTGTGACTCGGTGTGACGGTGCCATTTCGCAAACCAAGGTGCTCATCATTGTAGCATTTGTGGGAAATGTGTGCTGCGCATGGTGCCAGGCCTAGTTTTTGCAACCCACCTCCGCCATGTCCCCTTTGGGGTGTTTGAAGGAGCCACTGTTCAGTAAATCTAGTGACTGCCAGGGTTCACTCAAGGGACTTATGCGGGAACAACTTGCACAACGTGTTGTTGACAGCTGTGAGCCCTTTGCGCCGCAAAGCTGTTCACTTCGGGTGCCTCTGACCAAGGATCACCACTGTCCCTGGGTTGGTAATTGTACCTCGCTGGCAATCCAAATTGGTTCGGACATGACCGGACCCCTCGCAGATCACGAAAGGACAGACCTGCTCTGCGAATATTTTGATTTGACTATTCAAAACTGCACATGATCCGCAACCAGTTGCAGCACATTGCATTTGAAGTGTGTGGTACTGCTGGCGTTGCCGTAGCTTTCATCTGAGGGATTGAATATTTGTGGAGGTCAAATGAAATCCTCCTGAGCCACCTTTGAAATTTGAAAAATTGGTCCGCAGATTGTCAGACTTAGGTGTTGGAGCTTACAATCACAAGCGTCTGGTCTGCATGTGTGAGCAAACCTTTAGCAGTTAGCGAAGACAAACAATTGCCAAAAATATATTAGACTTTGCACACTGGAGTCAGGAGCCAAGAGTTGCAGGATGTCCATTTGTCAAGACTGGGACGCACTTCATTGGTATCAAAAGGGGGGTGCACATTTGCCTGAAAGTTTTTAGAGGAGGAGCTTTGACGTTGATGACATGACAAGACCTTGCAATGCTGTAGAAACTGGGGCAAAAAGTTGTGTTTCCTTTTTGCTGGCCAACGGGCCGTGGGGCTAACAGTTTCCTTGCAGCGGATCTCAATTTGGAACAGTCTGCAGAAGTGTTCCCAAGAAATTGACCTCATGTGATTCTCAGCCCGGTCTTCCCGAAGGGTGCATGGAACCCGAGGTATTTTATTTTGATGTTGTTTTATGGCATCCTTGCTGCGATGACCTATGTGCGGTCCTTACTGTTTTGGTGGCGTGTTCAGCGCAGAGCAGACTTGTCAACAGTCATCGTATGATATTATGTTGTGTATTGTGAATGTACTTGCTCACCCAACATGTGGCGTTCAGGATTCTTTGTTGAAGTTCACTTAACGACTTCTAAGTGACAGCGCAGTCGTATCCAGCTTGACAGATGCTTTGCCTGCCCAAGGGGTCCTCTGCTGCTCCTGTTCTAGCAGCCATGTTTGGCAAAGGTGGTGGCGTGGAACTCAAACCTGAAAACGTTTGAGTTCAACAAAACGATCAACAGGTTTGTCAAGCAAATATGCTGCAAGTTAGTTGAGTAGCGTTCAGACTCCCTGTTGGTTGATGATTACAAGGTGTCATCCTTTGAACAGCCGGCCAAGGTCATTGGACCATTGGCAACTTGGGAGTGAAAGGCCAGGGCCTCCGGTAGCCAAATGAAGGGATGATACAGAAGTCCATTTTGGGCCGATAAGGGCCTGAAACTTGATCCTGGCACTCCTCACCCCTTGGAACTAGATTCCCATTTTCTGCAATTACATATATTATATACATACACAATCATACACATATAAATGGCCAAGGGCAAGTCTTGAGAACAGGGCGGCTGGTTGGGTTTGGGCTTGGTCGCTCGAGATTCCAGGCTTGTTGATAGTTGACTTCTTCCTTGGTATTTCCAAAGCCATTTGAGAAATTTAGTCTGGAACGGCGCAGCTTCTTCCTTGAGCCAGATTCAGATTGATTCAGCGGAAAAAAGGTTTCTTTGTGTCCGGCTTTGGACCAACATGGACCAATATGGACGAGCCATGTAGTTGTGGTTTCATATTCTTTCATCATTTTGGTTTCGGTGGATGTCATGCTCAAACTTCTAGTCGTGCAGTCAAATTCGGGCTTGGTTTTGCAGTTGTCATTGACTCATCTTTAACTCTCATGAAGCGAACCAACATTTAAAATCCAAACCACCCGTTTTGCCTGTATTCTTGAGACATTTTTTGCATTTGCTTCCGGAGTGGCATTGCCAAAAAGGTTTCCAGACGCCGGGGAAAGAAAACTATGCAATCCTCCTGGGCTGGCGTCGCTCCAGGCTGGGGACTCTTCAGCATGGGAGCCGTTTTGGCAGCGTCGCTGTGTTCACGGCCTCAGCTGGCTGCAGTGACAAAAAAGTTCCACATCGAATTCACAGTCCGAGTAAACATGTGGGTTTGTCTGGAAATGGGGTATATTCCCAATTATAACCATTTAATAGGGATAATGATCATTAACCATTGGGTACAATGGGGTACACTATTTTCAGACACACCCATGTGAGTAAACACAGTAACAATGAAATTATGCACAATCATCCTCCACCGCTTTCAACAGGATCAAGAGTGGACAGAAAGCCGAGGCTTGGCAATGTCCATCCTGTTTCTCTCCCACCTCTGGTCGCCCAGCTGCATAGCGGTCGAATTTGTGATGCTTTATTCAATGCAGTTGGAGCTCACCGGGACCAAAAAATACAAAACATGAATATAAATGAACACAATATCAAAAACCTTTCAGATTTGTTAAATGTTGCCCACATAGGTCGTCAGATTTCTGTACTTGCCAATTACATGAAATTACCAATGGTCAGCATCATCGTAAAGGTAAACGTTCCAGGACAAACTGGAACGGCGAACTGGAACTTTAACTTCAGCCCCAGTAAATTATGTGGAATTCAATTGTGGAAGGCGTTTCCTCTCAAGGCCTTTTCATGCAAGTCGGCTGTTCCATGAATCAATTCAATGAATTGGTGCTCTCTTTCTGCTTTGCTTCCTTATTAGCCGTAGGAAAAAAAGCCTTGTCGTGTTTGACACGCACTCGCGTTTCACATCTGCGACCAGTCCATAAGACTCACATGACCCAGTCTTTACATCGCCCTTTTGACTCGGAAAGGTTGATGGCTGTGAATCGCACGTCCATCGAGGTGGCATATGCTGGCAGGACTGCTCGTCGGCTCCCATGACGTGCAGTGCTCATGCGCCGAATTTTACGCCACTCCTAAAAACTATTGTCTTACCATGTCTTACCAATGTTTGACCTGTACCCAGCTCTGATGTCAACCAAACAGAAATACTATGGGGGTGCATTTGTGTACAAGCACCTTTGAAGAAACACACCATTGGCATTGTTTTCGTATCCACCTCAGGCAAATTCCGTTACTGTACCCCTCTTTGATGAAAGCACCAGGAATCCATACAGCAAAGGCGTGTCTGAGAACGTGCCGGCCCAAGCAACGCATTCGTGCACAGTGTTTGGAGTACATGAAGAAATAGGTGGGCAGTTTGCAGACAACAATTCTTAAGGCCAGCTCCCTTTAGATCTCCTACATTCATGCGACCCCAAGCAATGGATCAGGGTTTCTTGTGGGGAATCTATTCCTCTGTCGGAGTTCGGGACATGGTATTTGTCCAAAGTATCGGGTGGTACCAGTGGCACCCCAAAATCTAATGAGTAATCATGGTTTATCATGGTTTATCCATGGTTTTCCCATGTTTTCCCCGTTGAAGTTGCCATCATTTTCCCGGCATCCCAGATTTTTCAACTGGTGCAGCGAAACATTTTAAACTAACCGAGGCCGCGCAGCTCTGTGGCCGCTTCGGTATTGATTGGCTGTTGCCCATCCCATCTTTCAGGCTGAAACCACACACGGCGATGCTTTGGATCATTGGATGATCATCCTGCATCCTTTCCTGGGAGGCCTATGACCGATGGCTGCAAATACATAGCTCCTCGTCTACATTTCTTGGAGGAGTTTACTTGTAGTTGAAAGTGGTATTTGGAAGTGTCAAACTGAGATAATGTTTGCATAGATTCTTGAAGGGGTGTGGTGAGACATAGTCGGAGTACTTTGCAATCCAGTGGCAAACATTTTCGTTGATCAAAAAATCTACATTCGCTTTAGCCTTTGCTGTCCACTGCCTCAACTGTAGTGTGAAAGAAAAGCTGGTAGCCGTGAAGGAAAGAATGAAAGACACTGACTCTTCCAGACCAATGGGATCCAGTCGTTTTCTCTCTTGGCAAGGACAATACATAGCTGGGAAAAGCTCTCAAAATCTTGACCATTTCAGCTCAGAGTTTCCTTCTGAAATCAAACGTGTCTGCAGCCGGACGCTGCGGAATTCTGAGGATTACAATCGTGTGGATCCAGAATGTGGCGTGTGATTTCTGCTCAAACATCTGACAGAGGGCTGGCAATCTTTTCCGACTCAACCATGATACAGTAGATACAGGATGTCCCCAATCCTGGGAAAGTAGAAAGGAATGCAAAACTATAGAGGAATGCAAAAGACAAGTTGCTTTGCAATTTCGTCCAAGCTCCATTCTCAACATTCCATTTGACTTTCGGTGGGGGGCAGCATCTAATCACCATCAGGGAGTTTCACGAGTTTCAGCCGGCTCAAGTGTTGGGAGTAGGTTCTCTAATGTGAGAGCTCACTGCCGTGGCAAAAAGGAGTCCGCCTTGTCCTGAATCCAATTTTGACATTTGAAACAGACGAAACAGATCGGTTGATTGGTGAAGATACAGCCCTTCCCATCACACTTCCATTGGTTGGGAATGCAGGCAGCTCCGTGACGATTTGATGACTTTACTCATTGCTGGCCATGAGACCACGGCGGCGATGCTGACTTGGGCAGGGCACTGAAAATTGCACTGTTTCATGGATTATGATAGATTGCATGAAGCAAAGGAATGCACATTTCAAGTTTGTGTGTGGCGCTGCGAAAAATCCTAGACGTTCTGACCCTTTTCTTTGTTGGATCATAAATTGCAGTCCATTGTTCGTGGAGACAGCGACAGATTTGGGGATACTGTCAATCCAATTGTACCAGATAAACATAGATAAACTTTACAAGAGCCAGCTGCAGAGGCTTGGGACACACAGACTGGAGCCGGTATTTACGAACACAACATTGGACTGGATTGAAAATTTACAGGAACCACCAATGGGACCAATTGCAGAAAAACCCTTCAGGGTTTCCTGAGTTTCCGGTTTTTCTTTTCCCAATTTTTCCAATCCAATGAACCATCATTCACCATTGAAACCATGATATTTCCATGATAATCCCATGATATTTCCATGATATTTCCATGATATTTCCATGATATTTCCATGATAATCCCATGATATTTCCATGATAATCCCATGATATTTCCATGATATTTCCATGATAATCCCATGATATTTCCATGATATTTCCATGATAATCCCATGATATTTCCATGATATTTCCATGATATTTCCATGATATTTCCATGATAATCCCATGATATTCCCGTAACTCTCCATGTCCCAAAGTCTCCATGTGCTGAGACTCTCCACGAGCTGATGAAGCCCGAAAACCGCATCTTCCTGGACGAACTCCATGACGAGGTCGGCTGATGGCCTGGTGTTTGGTGGTTGGAAGCCTCGAACCTTCGAAAAGTCCCAAGGTATGTGTGAAAAATGGTGAAGAATGATGAACATTTGGGAAAGACATCCAGCATTGCAGCATTTTTTCTTGGAATATGATGATAAACATGGATAAGAGATGATAGGGCCTATAGGGATTTTTTTTGGGTATAAACAGATATAAACAGAACCCTAGAGATGATTGGATACTATGGATCAAAGTCTGGATGTTATAGTGAAGCCCTGTGAGACCATTACTGGTCGGAGAGGGGCATGGCAGCCCAGGTGGATTCCCTTGATGGTCGCAATCCAACGTTCGAGGAGCAGAATTTACTGCCACGTCATGCCACGTCGGTCCGTGGAATGTCGGTGTTTGTTGCCACTTAGAAAATCATTTTCGCAAATCATGATGATGATGATGATTATTATTATTATTACTATTATTATTATTATTTTCTATGCCCAATCTATGCTGCTCTTGATGTGTTGCAAGCTCCGCATAGTGCAGGAATTGGTGCAGCTGCCAGCCTTGCGAGCCTGCCTTCTTGAAGCTTTGAGGCATGGAATCCGTCAGACTTTGTGAACTTCTTGAAGAACTTAGTGCAGTCTTGAACTGTGCAAATTCAGAAACCTGCAGCAAGTGTAAAAGGAAGACGTTGCTTACTGTACGAATTCCTGAGCTTGATGTTACAAATACTTGAGACCGTGTAAAATCTGGATTTGATTTCATTCCATTAGCCATTGCGATCCATTACGGCACTGGATTCGAACTTGTCATGACTCAAAAGACTGTGAGAAACGGAAGAGATATCGAAAACGCAGTTCTCTGGCTTCCTCACTAGGCTCTATCCGGAGCCTCCCTTGCTGATTCGACGCTGCGTGGGTGGAGATGATGTGCCTGTGGGTCTCCAACTTGGTTCGACCACTTTTTGATTATTTCACCCAAGACCCGAAGAAGGTCTGATCATGTCTGATCAATTTCCTCAAGGCATGCTAAGTTTGGGGTGAACGTGATCCGTGTCGAGTCAACACCCCATGGTTCTTGGAAGTTCATCACCCATCGATAGTATTCACACGGCAGAGGCACATGTGCTGAGGTCCACTTTGCAAAGATGTGGAAGGGGACACCGTGAGCTTCCTTCCTGGCCAGGACCAAACCATGTCACTCTGCTGAGGGATGAGATGGATTGAACATGGACACATTTCGGACTCAGATGGATCTAGTTGTGAAGGCTTGCAAGAGGGTGACCAGATACAGCCAGGTGGCTATTTGTTGGGAGTTCTGAGTGGTCTTACTTTGGTGTTTTGGAATGACGTTACTCAGGAGGCATTTTATTCTCACCAGGCATACATTTCGCTCGTCTTCCTCCCCTTGGCAGGACATTTTCATTTCAACCTGGTCGCTGCAGCGCTCACAGACACTGTGGGGTGAGGTGCACTGAGCCCTGGTTGCTGTGTGCAAGCTTGTAAGGTAGAAAGATGGTTACAGCTACATGTAACAGCTAAATCTTTCCCATTGATTTCCAACTTCGCACGGCAGGATGCAAGCCGCTTCAATCCACATCGGTGGAAGGACACATCTTTCAAGATGTTTCCAAATCAAAAACTCGTTCGCATATGGTTGGAACTCCTGCAATCACCACGAAGCCTGAACCTTGTGCCCGTCGTGACATACAGCGTTGTCTAGTGGCTGCATGCTTTGTGTCTCAAGTGTAGCTGTGTGAAAGTCTGAAGCGGAGCCCAAACATGAAAGAGAATTGAAGACATTGGAATTGCACGTGCCATTGAGAAGTTTAAGATGCATGTCGTTTGACGATGTTTGACGGCAGCAAATGGCAGCAAGCCAGAGTAGCTCACTGCATCTGTAGCATCTATTTGACTTGGAAAAAATTGCAGGAGAGCATCCCTGGCAAGGGAGGTTGGCTCGGGTACAATCCTGACAAGGCGGTCATGGAAGGGCAACTGCATGGGTTCTGTGCGGAGTGTGCGTTTTTGTTGTGCAGTCATCCTTGCCTATCAAATCGGGTTCATTCATGAAAGATATGAAGCTGCTCAGACACTGAGATCACCAGGGTTTATCAAGTACTAGTAGGTTGCGCTCAATCGTTTTCAAAGCGGGCCCTTCTACGGAGATGGGAGATACAGGCAGGCGAACTCTAAAGGCAGGCAAAGGATTCAAAGACTCAAAGCCCACAAACTTGATGCATTTAGCGAACAACTTCAGAAGCCGACATCATCTGATCGGCCTTTGCCCTTTCTATCTACGCTAGCTCTATGTTTTTCCTGCATGACAAAGCCACTGGAGACACGTCACTAGTTTGGCTTGGCACCAATTGTCGCAGCCTGAGCTTGGCGGTATGAAGCTTCGCCATGAAGCGACCTCCCTTCCATCGCATCAATGCCTCATCGATGGGTTGTATGTTCTCGACTGCTACGGAAAGGTCTACGAATACGCGTTCCCGCCAGCACCGGAACTTGAGGGATTTGCTTGTGGGACAAAAAAAAGTAGACGAAGACATCCCGCAACGCACGCAAGAAGAACTCCCCTTCATGGTAGTAGTGCTGATGTGGAACCACAGGTGGCCAGTTACCAGGATGAAAGGGCTGTGACCTCAAGATATCTCAAGATCAGTTGAGTCTTCATGTCATTTCAATTCATTTCATATACCATCTGGTTATTTAACATAGCCATGGACAATCACCATGCTATTAATAGGTAAACATAGGTAAACCATCTATTTTGATTAGGGCCATCTATACCATGGCTATGTTAGTCATAACCAGAGGGTATTTCATGTCCGACTTACCCAGTGGAGTTTCCATGGCATTTTTTGAAGCTGAAGAGTCCACAATGACCTGCACTTCGATGCCACTTCGATGCCACGAGGCCTCCGACTATGCTTTCCTTCCCTTCGGTGCGGGGCAGCACTTTCCTCAAAAGGTGATGGTGGGATCTGATGATCATGTTGACAATTGTTGACCTTTTTGTGACAGAGGGAGCCCTTCCATGTCTCGAAAACATGACACCTTTAGATATGCATAGACTGCATAGATATGCTATCATCTTAGTCATTGGTGAAAGTGGTCAATTGTTGATGAGAGGCTGAGGGGCCACCATAGCAGGAAAATAAGTTACGAACATCCAGCCAGACACATAAATGCCAAAGCATTCAAGAATCGGAGCTCTTGATTCTTGGAGGCAAGTAATGATAATAAAACATAATGAAACCACATTTGGAAACCATATGAAAGCTAGGGATCAATGGTCCTTTGGCAAATCATGGCAAATCCACTCTGAGGCGAAAATGTGTGGGCGATCAATTCGCGTTGCTGGAGGCAGAGGCAGAGGAATACCGATGTCGATGAATATGCCGGTGGTGGAACGTGGAACGTGGTGGAAATTTGGTGAAGTCAACGGAATCAATACTAAGAAGAAAAGATAAGAAAAGTGAACTTGAAATGAAAGAGTAGCACCAGTTGAAATGGACAACCCACAAAGGGATATAAAGGGAAGCTTCCTGTTTCCATGGTGCGAAGCTGCGAAGCCTTGTTCCTGAAGAGTGTTGAACTCCTGATCGTCAGGCGGTCTTGGTGGCCCTGCTGCAGCGCTTTGAGTTCAAGGCCTGTTGTGGCTGTGACTTGACACCTTCGAAGATGCATGCAACCTGAGCTGTCGAATGTTCAGTTGGCATTTGTTGAAGATGTTGAAGCAAGTTCAACCATGTTCAAACCATAAATTTGCCATCACTGTTTTAACATGTTTCAACATGTTTTAACATTTCTAAAACCATGTTCAACCATCTTCAACCATCCTTAATCCCGCAAAAAAAATGTTGGTTAGTTGCGCAGGCAGCTGAACATCGCGGAGAGGTGGAGATCACCACTGGTGCCACAATCCATACTGCAGGTCAGATCCCGAGAGACTGGAGATAGGACTGCCATCACGGAGAGATTTTTGATGATTTTTGGTGCGCCAAGTCACGTGCTGCAATAGGTGGGCTCTTTGCAGAGATCTCACATCGAACGGACAAGCGTGCTCGCAAGAATGGCAAAGGCCAGCCTGTGAGGAAGAGGTCTTGGATTCCACTTTTTGGATTAAGTAAACGATACAAAGGATTACTTTTCATCGTGTTTGTTGTATTTCACTGGAAAAGTGTACTTTGATGTACTTGTTGTTCTTACGCAGCTAATTTTATGCGCCGGCGCCGTCGTTTACGCAAGACAACTAGAGTCCCTTGCTTTATCTTGTAGATCCACTTTACCCCATCAATGATAGGTCAATCGTTTACTGTAGCGTGTTTCTTTTTTGTCAGGACCCTCAATCCCACCCTGCAGATTCAGTCTGTGCAAACGACAACCCCTGACCGCATCAGTTGCCCAGTATAGTGCCGCTATGCCATGGTCAACAGGATTGATATGTCTCAGAATTGCGGAACCCCACAATCTCCGGGTCTATGATCATGATTGAAAAACATTATCGCCAGGTCGGAAGCCTGTGAGTACCAAGGGATTCGCCAGTATGGTTCGGGACCTAAGGGAGAACCAGGGAAAACTTGGAGTAATGGATGGGACCCTTAAATCACCATAAAATCCCATTTAATCACCATGAAATATCATAAAATCCGGTAAAATCCCTGTTAAATAAATCCCCATATGATGTTTTGTCAAAATGCTGCCAGACTCCATTGGATAATGGATAGATGATCTGCAGTTTTCGTATGTTTTCGTCGCAACTTGGAGATGGCCATTGTGATGATTTGTGAGCAATTCTTTGAATCTGCAAACAGATTCGATGGCCCGACTGTTTGTAGCAGATGTAGCAGACAGATGTACTTTGGCAGACACACCGTTTGCTGTTTGCTACAAAAGCCTGCGCACTCCGACCCCAAGGAGAAACGACTCACAGGCAGTGTGGCACAACGAGTTCGGAGCCCAGTTTGATTTGGCGATGGCAGGGAGAGGAGTACAGTCTGGGCAAGTGCACTGCCAGTACAGCTGCCAGAGTGCCGATGCAGTGCCTCACTGAGATACAGCCAGAAGCATTGGTCGTGCCAACCGCTCGCGAGTTGCGAATGCTTTTCACTGCCCAGAAGGAGGCAAGCTGGGATGACCATGGGCTGCAGGATGGAAGCTTGTTCCCTAGTCGTCGAATGTTGTTACAACATGTTAAAACTGATTAAAACTTTGGGCTTCGGGCTCCATGAATTGATTAAATTTGGTGCTGGGTTGAGGGCATGGATCCTGTATGATCCTGTGTCAGGATGTTCGGAAGCTGGCAGACGCGCCGCTGGCCTCAGTTCAAGGCAAGGGATGGACTCGCTCTACGAGAAGCGCTTCCCAATGGTGGCAAGATATTCGAGTGCTTATGGTAATATCACGGTTACATATATGGTTACTGCATGTTACTGCATAACATGTACATTTGCAATCACCTGCATCTACTGTGTGTATTGTGCTTTCCACATGTACATCTATCTAGGCACATGACAAAGGCGCATGACAAAGGCACATGACAGAGGCACATGACAAAGGCACATGACAAGCACACACTCCCTCACCGCTAGCTACACAAAATGACATGGACAACCGGACAACCTTTGTTTTTTTTTTTCACAACATGGCTGAGAAGGACAACAACGATGCCATGGTGATGTCAGATCGAGGAACTTTTGAGATGAGATCTAGCAAAGGCAAACTTGGCTGTGATCCAGACCGCTTGGAAGAAAGACAGTCAAATGAGGCCTGAACTCTATGACGCTTTGGAAAAGGCATACAAACAATGTGCTGCACTCAGTGCATGACTCCGGTGGAGTCATGGCCGAAGTCCTTTGGCTTGGCAGTGACCAGTTCTCTGAGATGAGTGATGTCGAATGATGACAAATGTTGACGACAAATGTTGACGACAAATGTTGACAAAGGTCAGGAAGTCACCAAAGAGTATTCCAAAACGTCCCTCGGACAGAATCTGCGGCGACTGGGAAGTCAACGTGCTTGCTGATCTTGCTAAGTCCTGCAGTCAGATATGCTATGGTCAAATGTTGAAGTGTATACAGTATACAGATATTATACACATATTGGGCGATGGTCATCAATCCATTAAATGGGATTTGTATCCGCATCACAAGGCTTCCGTTGTGAGAGTGATGATCACAACCTATTTTTGATATATATATATTATTACGTACATATGTTGTACGTACCATGTTTTAACCCCAGTACAGATGTCAGCTTTCTGAATTATGGGCGCCAGGTTCTACTTGGGTTCGCAGCTGTTGGACAAGGATGAGCAGCGAGTTGTTTGGGTCAGACTCCTCAGCTTTTGACCCATCTTTTTGAGCTTTGGCATATCTTGTTTTGGTCGCAAGATCTTGTAACTTGAAACAAAAATGGTCCGAGGCCATCTATGATTGGTGCAGAAGCACAGATGAACTGGTGGCCCGAGTCTGAGTGCATGGAGGAAAGATGTGGAAACGACTGAGGTTCGGTTCACTCCTCATGTCCATGGTTTCCCTTGCGACTTTGCGGGAACTGTGGATGAATCTTGCAACATGGCGACACCGCGATCACTGAGGATGGGCCAGAGGCTGCCAACACCACCATGGATGACTTGGAAGTCTGGGAAGAACGGCTGAACAAGATTTTCCAGTTGGAGGCCTGACCTTGGATCAGGGGCCAACTGCTGAGACTTATACATCTTATACAGCAAGCATTAGCACGTGAATTATAATTAAAGACAGACTTTCAGACTTACGACCAAGCGGACAAGATTATATATAATACAGATAATGAATATAACTGATATAATATATGTATAATACTGTATAATGTTTTATAAAATTGCATCTTGCAAATAATACATATGCAAATCTATGCACATCTATGCACGTAGACAATATACACACACACAGTATAGATAGTCTAAGCCACTTCCCAATGGCAGAAACCTTCATCTTTGTCTTGCGACAACCAGGCCCTTGAGGTGACAGACCCATCTGATTTGGCCATGCGGGACAGCGTAAAGAAGTGATGCTCCCAGTCGCTGTATGAAGTGTGAGGTTTCAGGTGCATTTGCCAAGCGACATTCATTTACATGGCTGAGGAGGTACCGGTACAGGTATCTTTATTATAGTTTTCAATTTTATTAAAAAGATTTCGTAAAGAATCACACGCTGGGTCCCAGAACTAGCGACGAGCCTCAGGTTTTCTCTGATTCAAAGGCCTTTCCAAGACATGTGCCTTGGCAACGATTCTCACATGCTTGGGCCGTTGGACTCCTTGTGTGTGGCGCATGCACACCTTGGAGCCTAGCAAATTGATGTCAACCAGTCCCAGACCCAGTGTCCTTTTAATCCGTGGCACAAGTGATACGTTTCTTGGCAAATCAAGTCCAGCATCTCGGAGGATTGGTGGTATGGCTATGGACCTTGTGAAGGCATTCTGCAACTGAGCAGTGTGTCCACCTGGGACATTTCAACAAACAATGTATGTTTGTCCTTGTCGTATCTTGTCGTATGTGAAGATGCTGGTATCTCAAGCATCGAAATCGGTGCGTTGCAGGACAGATATGAAACCTTCTACGAACTCGAGGCATTTGTGGATTCGCCATGTTGCGTGTGGAGTTTGAACGACTTCGGCAGTGCGGGGTCCCTTTCGAAAAATTATCGCCAGAGGAATGGTGAGTATCATGGCCATCAGCCAAGCCAAACCGGGTGGTTGCTACCTGCTACCTAAGAAACAGCCACATCATGGTAGCTGCAGGTCTACTGCTATCGGGTTGCTGGCACAGTGGGCATCATGACACTGCCCGTCCTGGGTTTCGATCCTATGCTGCTTGGCTTGAAAAGGGCTATCTCGCCTTTGCACCAAAGTTGCCTAGGCAGGCTAGGCATTTCAAACATTTAGCCGAAGGGGTACATCTCCTCTAAATAGATGGACAAGTAAATCCCTACTAATTTGATGATGATGATGATGATGATGATGATGATGATGATGATGTTGTTGTTGTTGTTGTTGTTGTTGTACTTATTGTACTTTTCCATCTATTTCGGGATGACTATTCACTTGGTATCACGAAACACTTGAGGCAAAACTTCACGGAGGACTTGCAGGACACCCATTGGAATCACGTGTCTCGTGTGGTCATAAAAACAGAAACTCTAAAAAAAAAGTCGAGTCAAGCCGCGTTGATCCAGTCATATCCAGTCATTTTTTGGCTGCAACTCCACAACCACAGCATGGTTGAGTTAGTGTTCAAACATGTTCAAACAGACTCACAGCATGTGTGGAGAGGAGCAGACCATTGCAGCCGCGATGTCTTTGGGTGTCGCCTTCCAGCTCACGCCCAGCTGGCTCATTGTTTCCTTTGCAGCTAGTGAGTTGAAAGTTTGAAAGTCCTGCTACAATTGCCACACTCTGCCAGGAATATCCTGCGAGATATCGGAGAGGAGGGGCATCAAATTCATTCGCGTATGTTCACAAAAGATCTTGCGTGACATTGATAGATCATGATAGATCCTAGTGGTATGTGGCTATTCAGACCATGCATTTCTGTGTCTCAGTATTTGGATGCATTTGGCAGGAAGTAAATAGACAATAGAATCATTTCAGCAAGGCTGCTGACTCGTTCAGCATACTATATCATCGGTACGCTGCCCAACCCTGCAATTTCCCATCATTTTCTCTGTTCTGACACAAACCAAGTCCATCCTCAAAAGATTAGGTGAGTATTTATCTGTAACTGCGTTTTATTAGGTTCATAATAAAACATAGGTTCATACCAATATTTCATAATGATAGATAGGTTCATAATATTTCATAATGATTCATACCAAATAGCAGCATCACTAAACCAAGGGCTGAACTGCAGGATGCCCAGCGAGGGCGTATCTACGTGCCGCTGGAGGACACAACACATCGTGCTTTGCACCGCTTGGTGCAGTACGGATTTAATCATCAAGTTTTGATGGGAGGCTGGCGTGCCATTTGATGTTTCTCCTTGGACATGTGTTTCCATTGGCCGTTTCAGTCCAACTTGAATTGGTAGATGTCTTGCCTATGTCTGCGGGTTCCATTGCTACGTCCTGTAAGAAGCACAAAAAACCGACTTATTTTTCTTGAATTTTGAATTCTTGACGCGGATCAGCTGCTACTTCTACTGAGTGTGAGATAGTATGAGTGTCTCAATGTCAGAAGCCTTGTCAAAACCAGTTGCTGTCTTTGAGTAATCATTGGATATCATTGGTAATTCATGGGTAATTCGCCCGCATCCAGCAACATCCACTTTTTTCCGGTGAAGGATTTACGCCGCTTTGGCATCACTGAGGAAGAGGCCTGGCATGGGAATTTTCGCAGTTTGGATGGTCAACCTGCCACCAAAATGGTCAGTGGGTGAAACTTTGACATGCTTCAATTCATCACTCATGTTGGGTCTGTTGGGGTGCCAATGGAAATCTCTGTTCGTGGCTTAACACAGATACTGTCCGACACTGAGTCCTGAACTTTGGAAGGTGTTGGAAGCTAGCAAGACGCAGAGCTCCCTCCACCAAGAGCAGAAGTGGATTGATTTTATGGAAGCCCGGCAGCATCCGGCAGCGTCTGGCAGCATCTGGGAGCACCGCTTTCGGACCTTGGATGACACTTTTCCATACTTTTCCTGTTCTCCTGGATCTCCTGGTTTGCGAATATATGAGAATATAATGTAGAATATATGAGAAAATTCATGCACAACCGTGACAGCGTTTGCCTTTGTACCGTTTTGATTCGTTTTGATCCGTTTTGTGCCTGTTTGCATTGTTTGCTTTAGGTCCTTACCTGCGTTTCGATAGTATGTGATGAAGTACTCATCCCAGTCTTCGAGATGACCTCGCCACTAAGGAGTTCCAGATGGCCAGGTGCGAAAAGTCTCAGCCTCGGACAGCTGACCTAGTTTTATGATGTTTCATGGATTTGGTACAGTTTGGGGACGTGGCCACCATATACCAGTCACATACACGCAAAGTGCGCACTCCTCCTGTTGGGTTGCCTTTGGGCCCGCCACCCTCTGCCAACAAGAGGTGGGGAGACGAAAGCGAAGAACCCATTGAAGCTGCTCCAATCTTCCCGCCCATGCAAAGGTTTCGGCTCGAACCGCCCTATTCCGAAGAGTCTAGGGTTGGCCTGCCATTAGCCTTAGCGGGAATCTGTGTCCTCCCGCGGGCTATCAGGTACTTCGTCTACCTGAATACCTGTGGAAGGTTTAGGGCCATCCTGAAAACCCTTGGTGATACAATTGGATCTAAATTGGATTGAGGCATTAGCTGTCATTAACTTGACCTCTTGCAACTTTTACTTCAATTTTTATTCCTTTGTTGACTTTCTGGCACTGCGGGAGCCGATCACCGTTTCATCTGACCATAGTGATTTTCCTTGGTTTGTTCGGTGGCTGGTGGTGGTGCAAAGAACAGTTCAATTTGATTTTCGACTGGATCGTGGATGTGCTCATTTTTGTTGCTTTTCCTGGTCTTGATCGTTACATTTTCGCATTTACAAGATTTCGCTCAAGCGCAAGTCAGATACCCAGAAGCGTAAGGACAGGCGCACACGGGCCCTGGCTCGCAGGCAGTGGTTCCTGCACAAAACTGGAAAGGTTGCCTTGTCAGTTTCGTCGCTGATTCGTGTCAAGAACATCTTTTCCAAGCATCATTCGAGGGATCAAGCCTTTTTGAGCAGAATATCATCGGAAATTTGCAATACAATGGCTGCAGAAGAAGCCTACCCATGGGTCTGCCCGTGTCGGCGGCTCAACAAAAAATCAGCAAACCAATGTGCCATCTGTTGGTCTCACTGGACAAAAGGCAAAAAACACGATGTTACTCCGAAGCAACAGACTTATGGAGGTGCCGACAAGTGGGAAAGTGCCTGGAATCGGTGGGATCATGGATGGGAAGATTGGAATCAAGAATGGGACGATGCAGAAAGTGTTGGTCATCCATCCTCTCTTTCGCCAAGGGGACGTGCGACTCAACACGAGGATTACTCACCAAGAGGGAGAACATACAAAGGAAAGGGAAAGAACAAGAGCAAGAACAAGAGCAAGGGCAAAAGCGAGAGCAATGCAAGCCCGTTTGCCCCAGGAAGCACAAGTTCTGCACAGTTGCCCTCTTGGCCATCATGGAATCCTCCGGAACTCAATTCGTCACCATTTCAACCAACTCAGTCCAACAAAACAGCACTATGCAGGAAATGGCTGTTCATTTGCGTCAAGCATACAAGGAGAAGGATGCTCCTCCAGATGTGCAAGCGTTTTTGGACAAAGCCGAGAAGGAGTTCAGTCGCAACAACATCAAGTCCTTGCAGGCTGCTACCAAAAGTTTGGATCACGCTCAGAAGGCGCTGAGAGATGCAGTCCAAGCCAAAAAGGAGCACCGTCTACAATGGACGAAACACGTTGGAGACGGAGTCAAAATTTGGGAAACCCAACTGGAAAGTTTCAGGGTTCATCAAGCTGCCTTATCCGAACAGGCCAGCAAAGCAAGGGCAGAAATCGAGTTGTCCAGGAAGATATTGAAAGAGGTGAGCGAGAGTTCTGTGAAAGAAGGCAACCTGTCGATCCCTCAGCCAATTCAAGAGGAGACGGAGGACGCCAACACAGACAATGCAATGGATCCAGAAGAGCAAAAGCTGAGAGATCAGCTGCAAGGCGTGTTGAATGCCTGTGCTGGTTCCCTCGGCTTGCAGGCTACAGAGGTCCAGGTGCAGGAGGTATCAGACGACGAAAGGGAATCAGGACCGCACAACCAAAGGCAAAGATCTGTAGAGCCTGCGAAGACAGGCCAAGGTCAGGCAAAGCAGTGACACTAGGCCGTGAGTCTCCAGTTTCGAGAAATGGTACTCATGAGGCCCATGTATACATGTTTCCAAACGGCCACTCTGTTGTAGGGGAAAAGGACTACTTGAGTCCAATGTCAGCTGTGTGGAAGGCTTGGAAACTTCGATGTGATCTGTTTTGCCCAAATGCTGAAAACTCTCTTGTGGACCATTCCTTGCAGTTGCCAAATGCTTGCCAGATTGATTCGGTTTTCAGATCTGTTTTGCGCAATTCTCAAGAACCACAAGATGTTCGTCGCCATTTGAAGCGTGTTCACTTTGATGGTTGCATTGAATTAGCTATGCAGACAGAGTATGGTTCTGAGTTTCATTCGGTTTTTGTGTTGCATGAGGCATTGCAAGATTGGCATGAGAAGCCATGGTTTTATCGACCTGAACCACCAAGTCGTCGTTTTTCCTGGAGAAAGCTTGCCAATCTTTCATTCCCATTTTGCAGTTTCGAAGAGCAATCTCCAGGCTTTCATGATGTTTGCGACACCTCCCATGATGGCGAACATGAATCAAGGAAAGGTTTTGTCGATGATGCTGCGATTGGTCATCAAATTGATGGTTGTACCAGTGAATGCAAGGTGCTCAATGACATTACCAATTTTGAATCCCAACATTTCTCAGCCTCTCGAATCAGTATGGTTGCTGGTGCTCCGCTGTCAAGATTGGCCGTGTTGAGCTCTCAACCTACCTCTGCAAATCATTTCATCGGTCCATATGCTCTGAGTCAAGAAGTTGGAAAAGAGAATATTGACACAGTCTCTCTTGTACAGACAAGTAGGCCCTCCATCCTTTCTTTGAAAAATGCCCCTCCGGACTTGCAACAAGCGTATCGATGGCAGTCGCTTCAAGATGGTCAGGGGTATCCAGAAAGTGATGATGAAAATGGGAACCAGCACGAAGAAGATGAGTCAGGAGGCTATTCACCTAGCGATGGACCTGCACCATCGAATGTTCAGCCCCCATCTTCGGATGAAAGTCGACAAGATGTTATTCTCTTTCACCTTCAAGATCCACAGATACGAGCATTGATCAATTGGAATAGCTATGAAGAAATGATTGGTGAAATTGCCAATCACATGGCATTGCCACGTGATGAAATCTTCGATGCTTATGAAGTGGTCACCTCGCCGTCAGACCTTGGAAATGAAGTTGTGCCTACCATTGTTCATGTTCACGGAGACATACCTCCTACTAGCACTGATAGGTTGGTTTTGCTCCACATTGATGTCCATGCGCACAGGATTGAGCCAAACTTCAGAACAGGTCCTGACGTAATCCGTGGTGTTTACCCGCTCAAGCACGTCGCAACAAGAAACGATGTTCTTGCTCTGGCAAACATCGATAGATATTGCCGAGCAGAAAACGATCGCTGTCTGGTTTTTCTCACTGCTAGAAGATGGCCTGACTACGACACTGATCGTAAAATAATTGAACATGGCGATTATATACGAATTGCGGTACCACCGTCAGAAAGGTTTGTATGTTCCACTGCTTCAATTTCTGAAATGACTCAAAGAGGACTTTCCGATCAACAGATCATCGATGCCATTCACTACGACGATGCAGATTCCGGCTTCTCACCAAGCCTCTTAGGTGATGATGAGGTAAGAGAGTTAGCTGCTCTGCCTCACAGTGAGTCCGATGAGATGCAAATTATGCAGATTGAGACTGTAATTTCGGATACAGGACATGAAGTTCGTGATGCCTCGGAGTCACATGGAAGTAGCAGTTGCAACATTCCCCAGGATTGGTGGTTGGATCTACAAAGGCTTGTTCAGTCACATGCTGGTCAATGTCAACAGAACGAAGCTCAGGATTTTGAATTTGCCATCTGCACTTGGTTTCTGGATCATCAAACTCAGCATAGCTGTCGAGAACCGAAGGTCGTTTTCCTTGGTGGTGATCCAAGTGAGTGGCATGATGATATTCTTGAGCCATGGAAGTGCCGTATCTCACCGGATGATACAACTTTGATCGATTTAGTACAGCCATACACGCAGAGAATTGGCCTCGAAATGTGTATTGCCCATGTTATTCTCACTCAAAGACCAAGTGTTCGAGTATCGGTGCTTCTCTCCCTTGAGTTTGTTGACGATGATAGTCCTAGTGTGATTGTCAGAACAGCAGTCACAGCACCAGTTGAATGCACTTCTCAGAATCTTCGTGACCTTGTTCCGATCTTTCAATCCTTTTCGTTAAATGATCATGCTTGGACCAATCCGAAGCTGGATCATGATGATCAGGTATTTGCAGCCAGATCCGGCATGGGAATCGAAGTTAAGATCTATCCAGACAAGGACATCCCAACTGACCAAGGTGACGACAGAGTAAGTATGATCCAGAAGAAACATTCCAGCAAAGATTTGCCAATGGCTTCCCTCGAGGCTTATGAAGCAACCTTGCGCTGCGACCAAGATGGCCATGCACAAATTAGTGACAGCGAAACCCCGAAGGGGATTGGTTGTGTTACAGACAGACATGATTGTATTCCTTCAGACATTGACAGCTGCAGTTTGACTGATGAGTTTATTCAGTATGTGCAGGCAGTCAGTTCAAATGTACAGGCCGTCGATGTTGAAGAGCAGCCAGCAGGGATATCAGAACAGCCTACTTGGGTACAAGACCTATGGGAAAAGTGGACAGAAACACTGGTGTATCATGGTGGTGATCGGCAGGACGGATTGCGTATCGAGACTTGGTTCACCAATCCCAGACGATGGACGAGATGTGATGAAGCACGCCTTGCAGTACTATCACCCAATTTCCGTCAATGGGAAAGGGAACTATTAGCTGTTTGGTTTGACAGAGCAGAAATAGCCTTGCCTACCAACTTTGCAATCGTCTTTCCAACACCAGAGGACGTTGACAGAACAGTCCAGGAACAGCTGATGATCGAGCAACAGCCTGAACCATTTTCAAGATCAATTGTCTTCACTGTTTACGACACAGGACGTAACAGTGGTAGGCCGAAATCCTTGGCTATCGTGATGTCAGATAGATTGGAGGTTAGCTCGGTTGTCACTATGCTAGGATATGCTGAGAG